TTTTGGCACTGCTGGTACATTTTGTCAGTGATCATATTGTAAAATGTTAATACTTTTTGCTCTGAAACGTTAGCATTTGATTTGAGATTAAACTACGGTGTAGTAATTCTGACTCTAGAAGTGAAGTACAGATAGTGAAGTGCTTAGTGCCTGAATTTGTGCCTGTGAAGGGAAGAGAAAAGCGTCGACAGCAAAACACCTCGTGCTCTTCAGTAGTCCGGCAGTGTGCCGCAGAGAAAGGGTAATGAAGTAAAGGGAGAGGGAGTCGTGGCTAAGAGGGGAGATTTTATAAATAAATAAATAAGCAGTCGAGTCAGGATGTATATAGAGTCTTTAACTGTGAAGAGAAAACAGAGGACAAAGCTAAGTTGTGTCTGTGTGAGAGAGAAAGAGTGTGCGTGAGTCAGTGTGAGTGTGCTATCTCGATGATGTAATGATAGATCCGCCCATACCACCCTGCTTCTGTATCAGCTGCATGAGGACACACACACACACACATATATAATGCCAAGGTCTAAAATCCACCTGTGATGAACACTGTGCTGTACAGTGTGTGTCTGTGTGTGTGTTTGTGTATCACAAGGGCAAAACCTTTTCTTTATGGTTACTAAGTTTTAAGGTTTACTAAGTTTAGGTTTGAAACCAAGAGGAACATTTGCAAATCAAACAACGAAGCTGCTGGTGTTCTCAGACCAATGAACTGACCACCCCAGAGTCCAGACCTCAACATCACTAAATGTTTTTTCAAATACCTGGATCATGAGAAGCAGAAAATACAACCAACTTTTAGAGTTGTGGAAAAATATTCCTGCAGATTTCTTAGCAAAACTGAAAGCCAGCCTCTAGCAAATAGTGGAAGTTGCTGCTGTGTAATTTTGTATTAAACGTATGTTTTCTGCTGTATTTTCTATCACTTCACTTGTGAGTGTTAGGAATCTTTGTCTTTGGACAATATTTGAATTCCAGTTCTGGAAACTCCTGTTTTTTTTCCTTTTTCTATTTGACTTTCACTTTCCTTATGCGGCTGGATTATACAGTAATGAATAACTAAATGTCCAGGTTGACTGGAAAAAGTGGCCTTTTGTCCCATCTGTATTATATGTAAGTACCTGTATGTAATAATAATATGTTGTATCTTAATGGCTGATTTGACAGAAATGAAGGCTGTGCTTTATATATGGAACGTGTGTGTGTGTGTGTGTGTGTGTGTGTGTGTGTGTGTGTGTGTGTGTGTGTGTGTGTGTGTCTGTGTGTGGGTGGGTGGGTGTCTGTGTGTTGCCCTCTAAAGTCAAAGCCCTATCCTCAGTAGCTGTCAGCACTGTGTCAGTGTCTCCTCTTTCCACACCCTGACTTTTGCTACTGCTCTTGGCTTACTCAGCCTGAGTCCACACACACACACGCACACATACACAGAAGTACACACACGTACACACACACGCACTCTGAGTTGGGGTCCCATGTTTTTTGGCTGGCTTTTCCTGCATTTCTAAAATGCTGTGACTGTTAAATTGACATTGTGTGAATTGGTTTAGAAGTAAGTAGTTTGTGTGTTTGTGTTCGAGTATGTGTCTCTGAATTGTGCCATGACGTCAGGATGTTAATTGTACTCCTCTGAACTTTGATCGAGTTAGTCTTTGAAGACAGAGCAATCTTAGTGTGCAGTGTGTCTGTCTTTGCTCTTTGCACAGTGAACACCTCACTCACTTTGTAATTACTGAACGTCCTCAAGACCTTCATCTCTTTCATTCAGATATAAAAGAGAGACTTCTCTTTCACCTCAGATGGAGTGTGTGTGTAGGACTGTCAGAAGTGATCAATTAAATGTGATTACTTCATTTTTATATCATTGATTTAATTGACCTTCTTGATTTAATCAGCAATGGTTAATTAGCAGTTTGTATGATGATAATGCATAATTTGAATTCCCCAACTGACCTCCTGATAGACAAATGCGTTTATATGTATTTTGCCACGATGTTAATATATTTTCTTTAAATTGCGTGTTTTTCTTGTTTTTATCTTTTTGTGTGAAGTATAAATAGCTTGTTATTGTTGTTACGTCCATTATTGTTTTCTGTCTTTATAAAAAAAAACGGATTATTCGATTCATCATGAAAATAATCAGTAGATCACTCGTTTACTGATAAAGTATTGCCATTTATGTTTGATGGCATAGCGATTTCTGTTAATGTGTAAGGAACAATGTCAGAAAAGGGTATTGTATGGGTAGATTATTGTCCATCAAGATACAAACAATGTAAATATACCCTGTAAGGTCCAACAAAGTCCTTGAAGTCCAGTTCTGCACCTTAAATGGGTTTAAAGGTACACAATGTTCAGTTCTTCTGAGGAAAGATGCATATTTGTACATGTTCATAACTTTTTTTAAAAAAGTAAACTAAAAAAAAAGACAAGGCATAAGCAGACAATGCAAATTAAAACAGCAACTGAAAGTGTTTGGTACTATTATTTTACTGACTGAGTGCCGCCTCGATAAGAGTGTTTATACCCTGAACAACATTTTTTGACAGCAAAGGTGTGTCAGAATGTGTTTATCTGATGTGAAAAAACTTTTTTTATCTAAGCAGTAAGAAATGTATATGTTTATATGTCAGTGCACATTTGCGAGGGGGACAGTGGGGATACATGTCATTGTTAACACTTCAAGGTTGACACAAAGTGGCTCTTTCTGCTGTTTTATCTTCTGCTTTCCGTTATTAACACAATTTCTGAATGCGGTTGCTTTTATTTCAGTGTGTAAACATGATCTGACAAAGAAAAAAATTCTTGGGTTTTATTCAGCTTGTCTCACAAACCAATTTTATGCACACAGAAAAACATGAATAGGAATGTAAGTCACAAATCAGTCACACTTTATTTTTACTCAGTTTAAACAAATAAAAGACAGTAAATAAAGCACTTATCGATTGAACAGCGCTTTTAGTGAGCTCATGCTGTCGTGTAGAAGAAAACACTGTGCCTCCAATAATAAAAGAAGCCTTGTGCTTATTTCATACAGTGATAGAAAACACAGTAGCACATAAAAAGCTCTGGTTCTATATGCTGAAATTACTAAAATGATTTTGCTCTCTCCAGTGGGGACGTGCACATAGCATAGTGCCTTGGCCGATTTAAAGAAGTGGCTGTTTTTTCTGGTGCTTGGGTTCATATGGTTAACAGAAAGTATTATGTTCAGTTTAAATTGCAATTAAATCTACATGAATTTCACACATATGAAGTTGTGTTTACTTTTTTTTTTGTTTTTTTTTTAAACATTGCACTCATATGTGTCATTTGTCTGTAGTGACAGTGGCACCAAATACTGTATTCTTCGCTGGGGAACCAGCAAATAAGAAATCCTTGTATTTTTTGTGTGTGCGAGAGTATTTGAGTGGTTCACGTTCAGCAGATGGGCCTAGCTGCTCTAAACTGTATGTTTAGCTTTTTTAATGTGGTAAATTGGGGGGATTGGAACTGGGATTTGTGTTTGGAGCTTGTAGGTAATTTGACTGGATTAGGGAGCTTTTAGGAGTTGGGATGGTCCTAAATCTAGTGAATGCTTATGCGATTATCATATTCAGCATTGCAAGCTGCTGCTGCTCTGCTTTCATTCTGTATTTTCCATTTGTCCTACTGTCACTAATTTATTATGCTGTATTTGCATGTTAAAAACTCTTCTTACATCTGTAAATATTGAAGCACATCATGTTTGGCCATGTTTCATGGGCTCAGCTCCTGGGGTCAATATGCCAATGTTATTTCTAGCCACCACTGAGTCGCTGTGATGATGCAGTTAAATTCAAAACAGGACAAGTTGTTTTGTAACTTCCTGGTTCACTTCAGAGGCTGCTTTGGTGCAAGTGTGACAGTATTTAGTTGGGAAAGAATCTGTGACTAAATTACAGTGTCTCTGCCTTCACAAGCTTTTTTTTTTACATCTTGGAAAACCTCAGTGTTAAACTGCTGAATATGGAGACTTGTGCACTTTATAATAAATGTTTAGCTGACACTGTTCTAGTGAAAGGTTAAACTGTAAACTTCAACAGTCCCAAGTTTACAGTACTATTATTACTCTATATAGTATTGCATGCACATTGCCGTTATCAAATATAGAGTGCATGTTTGTGTGCATGTTTATATTTGTATGCATTTTCATTAAAATAATGTTCTGACTTTGTTGGAAAACATATTATTGCTGTCCACAACACCAAATTTATAGGAGAAGGCAAAGATGGTTTTAACTTTTAAATGTAAGTAAAGAAGTGATATATAAATATATATAGATTTATATATAAATATATATAGATTTATATATATATATATACACACACACACACACACATTTTGCAGATATACATTCATTTTGAAACTAATACCTGCCACACATTCCAGAAAAGTTGGGGCAATTGATGACTAGGAACATTGTCCCCCCAGTGCCAACAGGAAAGTGCAATGAAAACCCAATAGTCCTTTTCAATACTTTTATGTAGAAAGAAAGAGCAAATTACAGTAAACATCATTTAAAGATGTCACTATCCTTGTCTTTGCTCTGAACACACGGCCAGTAATGCTTAATAAACTGTAAACGGCTAAGGAAAGTCCAAAAACAGCCAACTTCCACAAATCCTGAACAAACATTGCATCAGGCCTGTTTAGGTGTGTTTGAGGCTTCCTCTTCTCCAGCGCGGAGATTTTTAGCCAGGACTTTTGTTTTGGCATTATTAGATGGTTGAAAAAATTGCTTGTTGAGATTACGATTGTAGAAAGCTGCCTGTGCCTCTCAGTAGTCCTGTCTTTCTGGAGCCTCCTGGTCTGTGACCCTAACCAGCTTCACCTGTCTGCCTGGATCACACTGCACATACTACACACACACTCGTGTTACACACCCAGACTTGTTGTCACTCTGTTATGTTGTCGCTGTGTTACGTTGTCATAGGGAAGTTTAGTTTGAACGAGTATCTTAATGAGTGAGTAATCTTCTCTCTTTCACTCTTCCTCAGACCTCATTGGACTCAAAAGCAGGCGGGCGACCCAGCATGCCGCGCTGCCGAAACCCAGTTGCTACAACAGCGGACGAGCAGCCACACATCGGCAACTACCGTCTGCTGAAGACCATCGGCAAGGGCAACTTTGCTAAAGTTAAACTGGCCAGACATGTCCTAACGGGGAAGGAGGTAACCAGAGCCTTCGTCTGACCTGTATCCAGTTCTCTGACCGTCTGTGCGTTTCTGTGCGAGTCTCCTTGTGGACTCCCCTCATGTCTCTCTGTCATGATGGCTCAATTAAAGTCAAGTACTCAGTTAAAAAAAATGATCAAAGTTGGCAGTTTGCATAGTGTGTATTATCTGTTCTGTAAGGTTAATTATTCTGAATTTTCAGTTGTCAGCATCATTGATCAAAAGCTCAATTTTTAACAGTTGATAATGACGGTACTAGACTCTGTCAGTCTGATTCACTATTAATGAGTGTGACACTTAAGTTTTTTTTAATTTCCTTTTTTCTATTTTAGGTTGCTGTAAAAATCATAGACAAGACACAGCTCAACTCTTCTAGTCTTCAAAAAGTGAGTCTGCAAATTCTCTGTTTTTTTTTTTCTTTTCTTTTTGATCTGTCTCTCTTGAGGGTATGCATAAAGGGGCTAATTACAGGAAGAGGGGCTGAATGACTTCCTTTAGTGAGGGGTGGGCGAGTCCTCCGGCTCATAAAATGGACACACCAGCCTCTGCATTCTCTCCTAAATCTTACTTGACTGTTAGAAACTTTTAGAATAGAGTGTCTTTTCTTACTGCAGGTCTTGGTAGATTTAAGTAATGTATAGGTTGTTTAAAGTTAGATAAAGATAATAGATAAATTTGCCAGACAAAGTGACAAAATCTGAATTTTCAAGTGAGGAGTTTTTTTCACCGTAGCAAATCAAAATACTTGCTTCTGCATCTTCAGCCATATTTTGGAAAACTGTGTTACTGTTCAGGTTGAAGTTTTCCTGTTCTTTAGAGGATTCTTACCCATGTACTGCATATAATTAACCAGTATTATTTGTTTTAGTTTGACACCATGCATCAAAGATTAGGTTTACGTACTGTACCAGAGGTTGTCTATAATACAAATGTCAATGTAAACAAAAAAAGCTAATATAATTTTGCAAGACTTCAGAACAATCTTTGAAAATATCTAAAGTATTTTTTCTGTTCTTTTTGTTTGTTGCTTCTTATAATGTTAGTTTTGTCTGTATGTAATGTATTTTGTTTTGGTTTGTATCAGGCCATAGGAACTACAGTTGAAAATTAGCCAGGTGGCTAGCATTGGCACATATACTTAAGTATGGAGGAATGTGCATTTTCTGACGTAATAATAATAATAATAATAATAATAATAATTAACCATTTGAGACTGAACCTGAACTCAAATTACAGTAAAAAGTATGAAGATTAACCTTAAGGGTTAAAAGCTTTTAACAGGGTGGACCTGATAATTACAGTTGATGGGAATCTTCTGAAGCTGCATTCTTTCTTCTCTCTGCCCTCAGTTGTTCCGAGAAGTGCGAATCATGAAGCTTTTAAATCATCCAAACATAGGTGAGTAAATTCTTCAGCACCCTGTATAGTTGTGCAGTGTGACTGTCTGACTCTGCTGTTACAGTTGTGTGTGAGTGATACTTTGTTTCATTCAGGACTGTGTGTGTGTGTGTGTGTGTGTGTGTGTGTGTGTGTGTGTGTGTGTGGCCCCGATGGCCTTGATGGCAGCAGTAGCTCATTAGTGTGTAGCCAGCACTCGTAAATATGAAAGATGAAAGCAGAAATATGAAAGGGAAAGCCATGGATGCTTTGAGGGTGCTGCACAAGAAAGAGAGAGGAGGAATCGGCCCCGTTTTAACCAGTTTAATGCTCTGTATTAAGGATTTGAATATGGGCAGCTTTTTACGATGGCAGCCTGTGCTTTGCTGCAGCATGCCCTGTTGGCGGCAAGATCAAGAGTAACTCGCACCAGTAGATCTGCTTGGCCGCTTTACTGACTTTTACTCAAACGTCTCAGTGGTTAAGATCACCATTTATTGCAGTGGTTATTTTCTGCTTTGTCAGGGCCTCTTCGGATTAAAATGAGGAGAGTTACAGCCATTTTGCTTCGATTATGTATAATAAACATTCTAAGACATTCTAACTGCCATGGAGAAATATACACAGTGGCATCAATAGCACAGCAACTGTAGTTAAGATTATTAGGCATGAGTATGAATCTCTTCTATCTGTGATTTGTTTACGATTCTTTAGGAAACAGTTCAGTGCATCCTGAAATCTTAAATTTCGCTAATTTAATTTGAAAAGATTGAGGATTATTGTTAAAAATACACTAAGACTACAGGAGCTACTAAACTAAACTACTATTCTTATGGAATTTTAGATGGGGAGATTGGATAATGTAATTTTATCACAAAATGTCTGCTAGTATCGGTTCGCACTTTCGGACCAGTTACAGGAAGTTTTTTGAAATGAAAGAGTTGTTGTTTTTTGTGATGTCATGAAAACCAATACATTTGCATATATTCACCCCTTCAGCCTACAGCAGCTTAGCCCTACCTGTTCATGCTGAAATTATTTCAGCCTGGATTTTTTTTTGAGTGAGGCTCAATACAGAGCAGCCAATCAGAACAGGCACAGTAACAAAAACAGCATGTTTAATTCTAAGGCTTAAAAATGCTCAAAGACAGAGTATTGTCATGTAAATATTGCAGGATGTGGACCTTTAAGAACAACTTGAAAATAGCCTGAGAGTTTTATTGTTGTCCAAAAACGAGTGCATGTATTAATTAACGTTTGTTATAATCGGATATGACTGATTGTGACTCGGTCCACTGATTTTTATATTGTTAGAGTGTACTTTAGTACTCTGGACATTACCTTTAAAAATCCTGTATCAGAAATATACGGAGTATGGCATAATTTGTAATTATCCAGTCTGGTGAAAGTGTTACTGGACTGATAGTTGTGGACATCCTTAACTGTTTCATATTTCTTTTTATTAGCTGTGTTATTATGTTTTGTGTAATTCATTATGTAATTTTTTATACTTCAGACTTCGTCATTTAGTTTTAATGGAAGCTAGCATTTAAACTGACCTTTGTCTTTTTTTTTGTTATGTATATGTGGTATATATTCATGCTTCAGTTGTTATTGCTTGGCTGCAGTTAAACTGTATAGTATTTTGCTTTATATATGGAAATAGTTGATTTCACCTGAAATGCTTTTTATTGCATGCATCCTAATGTTTTGGACACAGACTGTTGCCAGAATGCTGCAACATTTGTAACCGACCTTCAGTTGCAGTGTACGGTTGCCCACGGGTTGCCAAATCCCCAGTTAACCCTCTTCTAAATACCTCTCTGTTGACATGTTTTGACTGATAATGATCCTCTCTCTCTTTCTTTCTCTCTGACTTCCCCTTTTTCCCCTCCCTCTAGTGAAGTTATTTGAGGTGATCGAGACGGAGAAGACGCTGTATTTGGTTATGGAGTACGCCAGTGGAGGTGAGGGGGCTGTTTGAGGCCTGCTGTCACTAGCAATCTTATCAAGTGATGAGTACTCTCCTCAAAGCACTTTGAACACTGGGTTTAAATATCCTCATGCTATCTTATTCTCTTTCTTCCCTAACTTTCTCTCTCTCCTGTCCTTTTCTTCTCTTCCTTTTACTTTCTCTGTCCTTCATATCATTCACTTGTTTGTGTGGTCTTCTCTTCCATTATGTAGGAGAGGTTTTTGATTACCTCGTCGCTCATGGGAGGATGAAAGAAAAGGAGGCACGTGCCAAATTTAGACAGGTGAGTGTGTGTGTGATGTATTAATATTTTACAGGTAAAGTGTGTTTTGTCTGCTTAACTGCCTGTGTGTATCGGAGAGACACAGGACTCATTAAACTTATAAGCTCTCGTGTGTTCGTATTTAATGGTGACAGTTTAATTACAGACAGAACGTCTCATTTAGAGTGAGACAGTTCCCATGTGCACTGAGCACCACAGCCTAATTCACTTATCTTAGTAAAAGCTCTGTCTGCTCTCTCTCTCTTTCTCTCTCTCCCTCACTTTCTCTGTCTCTATGTACCTTTCTCTCTCTTTTTACTTGCCTGTCACTGTCTTTCTCTCTGTCTGTATATATGTCCATCTGTCTATTCCTCCTTTTCTGTCTGTCTGTCTACCTGACCTTTTGTTTCTCTTACTATCTTTCTTTGTCTTTCTCTGTTACTATGTTTTCTTCTGTCTGTTTGTCTGTCTGTCTGCCTGTCCATCCGTTTCTCTCACTGTCTTTGTCATTCTGTCTGCATCTCTCTCTCTCTCTCTCTCTCTCTCTCTCTTTCTGTCTCCCTCTCTCTGTATCTATCTGTCTGTTTGCCTATGTGTCTGTCTCTATCTGTCCGTTTCTCTCACTGTATTTCATCTCTGCATCTCTCTCTCTATCTATCTATCTATCTATCTATCTATCTATCTATCCAGATTGTGTCTGCAGTGCAGTACTGCCACCAGAAGTGCATTGTACACAGGGACCTGAAGGTAAGTGATGGCTATACCTTTATTCAGAGGGACTGTGTGTGTATGTGAGTGACCTTTCAGGGCTTCGTCTCTTATGCAAGAGGACAGGAGCAGGAGCATTTTTTTTTATCTCCGTTTGTTCTCTAATGGCTCTTACAGCCCTCCTATCTTAAAACATCTCTGAGCGCTGCATGAATTAATCAGGAAATAAAATCCCCTGATAAGTTCAAGGTTTTTTTTTCTTTTTTAGAATACACGTGAGTGCATGTAGGAATACATATCATCACAGTCCTGCACACACTGCCTGTTTGACCGCACAGCTTGATTTCACAACATTCTCTCTCTCTCTCTCTCTCTCTCTCTCTCTCTCTCTCTCTCTCTCTCTCTCTCTCTCTCTCTCTCTCTCTCTCTCTCTACTGTAAAGAACAGTACACAGCTCAGAACACTTCTGTTTTACAGCCTTTTGATCACCCACTCCCCTCTCTCCCATGACAATGCCACACCCATCCTTCACCTCTTCGCTGTATTGGTCCAGAACCCTGTCACTCTGACCTTTGAGCTTTCGAGTTAATCACAGTCACCATGGTAGCAGGAGTTAAACCCCCCCTTCATCTCAGAGAAGTAGTTTGAGCTTTAGATTAAATATGCTTTGTACCGACCACACAGATGTGAACCACACACACATTACACACACAAACATGCACACAGTGTGCATTACTATAGTAACACAGAAGAGCAGATTACAGTAATACTCACTGTTTTCCTCAGACTGCTAAATTAAAAGCAACTACTCCACAGTGCTGAGTGCAGAATAATCCCTTCTTACACACAAACAAAGATCTCCATTAAAGCTTTGCATTATTGAAATTATAAAGAGTAAATTATAAACAGAGGGTATATGGAATTATGAAAAGTTTTAGCAATGATAAAAACTTTTAAATGTTGAGCTGCCCGTAAATGTTAAGAGCTACAGTGAAAAATCTTAAGGAAAAAATCAGTTTTGTCTGCATTAAAAATCTGAGATTTTTTCCCCAGTTAAACCTGAAAAACAACAAAATTACAAAAATATTAGAATTTGACATTGAACCAAGGAAGCTTTTAAGTCTCTGTTTCAATTAAGCAAATTTATGACATTGACCATGATAACGCCTTGGTACAAAAGGCCTATTTCTTCCATTTAAGCCTGTGTTCAGTGTCCACTTGGGTGCACGTTGTCATTAAAGCAAAAGAGGGACATACTGTACCAAATACTAAGAAATTCTGATGTATGGAAATATTTAGAAGATTCCACTCACTCAAATTGTTATGCTGATGATATAATGTGTAATAAAAAAAATAGAAAAGAATGCAAAGTAGAAGCATTTTCACTTGTAGTCTCAGACTTTTGGACCCCACTGTATTACTATTACTGTATCTGTGACTGCAGCCTAAACTTTTGATGCCTTGCTAAGTGTGCAGTCAGCCAGCTAAGCCAAATGCATTTCATTATTTCCAAGCAGACACACAATATAAGGCTTGCAAGGTGTCAGAAAGCCACAACAGGCAGTATTTTACTTGTGAAAGCTAGAGATGCACTGATATTGGATTTGCAGGCCATCTGCTGATGCCAATACAAAAAACTTTATAAAATGTAAAAATAGGGGCTAGATTCACCTGAATTAGCTTTACAGAGAAATGTAACATGCTGTTGTGTATAAACCTTGTATGTCCTTTTTTTTCTCATAATTTGAAAACTCCAGCTACTCTTCACATTTGATTTACAGTATAAGTGAAGAATGCTTTTCCTTTTCCTATGAAGTTACCATTTTGTCGATACGAGGTTTTGTTCTAACAGCAGTGATATATTTCTAGTGGGTTGTATTGCACAGCCTAAACATTCTGCTCTTAGATTACTACATCATCAACTGTCAGTCTTAAAATACAGCCAAGTCTAAACATCTGTCCAATGCCGATAATTTTTTTAAGCAAATATCGGCCGATATCGATATGATTCATCATCATGAATCTGTAGTTAATATAGTACATATCACATGCAGTCATATACAAAAGTTTGAGTACCCCTTGTCTGATTGTATGTTTTGATGCAATAAGTGAAAGTAAGTTAACACACCCGAACGTGTCAGAACACACTTGTGCACATTTTAATGCGCAATAACTGTTTATGTACTTAAATTAACATATTGGGGGACAAAGAAAAATAAAGAAACAAACAAACAAATATATGTTATGTATATGCTGTGTTAAATCAGCAAATGAATGAGTTGTGTACTGAAATATATGCAAAAAGCCATAAGCATATTCCCTGTAGAGGATATGTTTTTTTAATTTCACTTAGAAAGAAAACAGAACATGTCATTTGACAAGGGTGTTCAAACTTTTGCGGATGACCGTGCACATGGAGTGTCACAGTCATATCAAAACCTGTTTTTCTTTTTTTTTTTTAACACAAATTGAAAACACCAGCCTCCCATTATATTGCAAGAACATTTTGTGATGTATAGATCAATAGAAAGTACCTAGAATGAAATAATGGATTTTGTACATTAATGTACGTTGAAGTTTTTTTTTGCTTTTCTTCACAAGTTTCAGTTTTGGAGATATAAGACTTTACAATACTGATGATATGATAATATGTTGAAGACTTGGCACAGACTGTATATTCTTGTGTCATTGTCTCTGCTGTCTGTATGTTTGTGTTCGTGGTATTCACCAGACTGAAAGCGCTGTAGAAGGTGAGGTGTGTGTGTGTGTGTGTGAACGCTGACTGTTACCTCACATTCACTAAGGCCCAATCCCATTTCACCCCTTGCCCCTACCACTTAGCCCTTAGCCCTCTGGTTGGTGTCCCAATTTTTGTTGAGATAGAGGGGTAGGGCGAAGTGTTAGGGCTACATGGCCCTCCAAACTGAGGTTTTTCTGAGGCTCACTCCAAACAGAGTGTTATGAGGAAAAAAAAATAAAAATGGTAATTTTCTTCATAACAAGCACAGAAAATCGCTAATAGCATGCTAATCTCTCGGTAGCTAGCTAGCTAACTTTCCTGTGCCGCCTTAAATAGTGCAGCAGTACTGACGCCTGAAGAGCCAGAATGTAACTGCTGCACCATTTAAGGTGGAACGGGAAAACTCGAACAAGAAGCTGGCGATAGCTGATTTCAGCGTCATATGTCTGAAGAATCAGCGGTGGGCGATAATAAATAATTGTCTTATACCCCCTCTTTGAAAGCATATGATGCCCTAAATATAACTAAAGCCCAGCAGCGAGGTCGCTGAACTTTACCCTCCTCTGCTATCAATGAAGACGGGCCGGGTCGCCTACAGGCCACCGCTAGTAGCCTCTTGAAGCAAGGTTTTGTTTTGTTTTGTTTTTGTTTTTTTTTATTTGAAGGTTGTTCCATTTCGTAGGGCAAGATTTCAAACACTACCCCTTGTAACTTTGTAAGGGGTTAGGGTGACACTCAAAAACAAGGGGTAGGGGTAAAAAGAAATGGGATTGGGCCTAAGAGTGCTCTGAAAGCGCAGCCTGTGTCTGTGTGTGCCGTGTGCGTGTGTAATGTTGTGAAAGTTGGTCCATGTTAGGCGGGTAATATTTAACTCTGCCAGCCAAGCCCAGTTAGCACTCTGCATCTGTTGCTAGGCAACGCGGCCTTCCCGCTTGGCTAACGTTGGTGGATAAACATTTGAGTGGCAGCGCTTAGGGTGTTCGTGCATTTCAACACCACCACACAGGCATGCACGCATACATGCACATCTGCATGCATGAGAGGGCTCATCAAGGCAATTTGGAAAAAAAGCTCAGAGGGCTGAGAGAGTGAGACACTTTGAAGTGAGTGGAAGATTATGTGGAAGTTGCTGATCTGGGAAGACTTTATAGTTGTCTTTTATTCTTTGCTGACTCATCTTCATTTTGTACTGCTTTTATATTTTGCCCCTTAAACCCTCTGCTCCTTCTTTAACCAGCAAATGTTTGAAAGGTCACAGCCCCCCTTCCTTTCCTTTTTTATTGTCTTACGAGGCTACACAGTAACAAAAAACAGCTAACGGATAAAGAGAAATTAGAAAATGGTCATGTAAAATGAAGTATGTAAATCATAACTAATTGGAATTCAGGGAAAAAGTAAAATACAAAACAAATGATATATGGACAAGTACACAGACAACAACAAATCGCTTCCATTGTGGAAAAACATACACTTAACAGAATGGAGGAGAAGTAGTATTAATAAACATACATATTAATGCATATAAAATAGTTATATTTTGTATAAGTGCCTGATAATGACCCTTCACCAGGATATACAGTAGCCGATTGTTGTCAACTGGTCAGATTGTTTAAGGACAGTGTTTCGCCATATATTTTATTTCCTGTGTGAACCATTTATGATGTACTATATTTCCCATAATGTGTAGCACACCGTCAATACTGTCTCCTCCTCTTCCTCTCTCTCTCCCTCCTCTGCTTCCTAGGCTGAGAACCTTTTGCTGGATGCAGATATGAACATTAAGATTGCAGACTTTGGCTTCAGTAACGAGTTCACGGTGGGGAATAAGCTGGACACGTTCTGCGGCAGCCCCCCGTATGCCGCCCCAGAACTCTTCCAGGGCAAGAAGTACGACGGACCAGAGGTGGACGTCTGGAGCTTGGGTGTCATCCTCTACACGCTGGTCAGCGGGTCACTGCCCTTTGATGGGCAGAACTTGAAAGTAAGATGAGCGTGAGAAGTTCAGAAGTATTGTTAGAGAAAGATAAGTTGGAGAAATGGAAATATAATAATGGGAAATATGTTATTTACTCATCGACAAAGAGTGTTTAAAGTTGATGCTTTGCTTCATTTCTCATCTCTCTCTCTCTCTCTCTCTCTCTCTCTCTCTCACGCATAGGAGCTTAGAGAGCGTGTGTTGAGGGGAAAGTATAGGATTCCCTTCTACATGTCTACAGACTGTGAAAACCTGCTGAAGAAATTCCTCATCCTCAACCCCACCAAAAGAGGCAGTCTGGAGGTGTGCATATTTTTTTATTTGATTAAAAAAAAACACTAAGTCCAGAACTACAGTTACCGTCTACTAATTCTTTTCGCAGCTTGTCCATTGCACTGTCCACCAAACAGTAGCAGGGCTTTGCATGCAGTGTAGTCTTACCCTGAGACTTTGTCCACGCTCTGCAACTTGCCTATAAATATGACTGAATGCTCTGTTGTAGATCTATTACTGCCTCCACTCATGCTGATGGATTCTTCACAACTGTGCCACATGCACACAGTGAGAATATTGACCAATTAATTAATAAGGCATCAGAAGCCATACTCGTGATTGAAAAGAATGGCTGAATTAAATGACCGTTATGCTTTATAACTGCAAAACACGTGTGTATTATTTAATTATAAACCCTGGTATACTCTCTCTCTCTCTCTCTCTCTCTCTCTCTCTCTTTCTCTATTCAATTCAATTCAATTCAGAATAGCTTTATTAGCATGACTGTGAAGTACAGTTTTGCTAAAGCATCACAACAGTAGCAGTGAACAATGAAAACAATAATGAAAATAAAATAACAAAAAGAACTAACATGATAACCATATTAATTATTATAATCACAGTATTACAGTATTATTATTATCAGTGTAAGTATAACCATGCTACTTAATAAACTTATGACACATTTGCAATTTTTAACATAAATAAGTAGGGTGGGGGTCGGTAGGGTGGGGGTCAGTAGGGTGGGGGTCAGTAGGGTGGGGGTCAGTAGGGTGGAGGTATTACCCACTGTCTCTCAGGCGGTGACATGTTGCGTACTGGCAGCGAAGGGGACTGTCTGCCCCTGTCCAAAAAAGATTTGTAATTTCTGCAGTTGTGTACATTTTTCAAAATTTGAGATTAACTTCAAATTAATTTTGAAAAATTTAAATCTCTCTCTCTCTCTCTCTCTCTCTCTCTCTGTCTGTCTGTCTGTCTCTCTCTCTCTCTCTGTCTATCTTTTTTACATTCTCTCTCTCGCTCTCTCTCCTTCTATCCCTCACCCTCCTCCTCTTTGTCTCTATCTCTCTCTTGCTCTCAGCAGCAGATCATGAAGGACCACTGGATGAATGTGGGTCATGAGGAAGATGAACTGAAGCCCTACATTGAGCCCCAGCCCGACTACAAGGATCCCAAGAGAACAGGTGTGTGTGGGAGAGAAAGTTGAGGCATGCACACAAAGAGAAATGCTGTTAAGAGACAGTGCTGTGTGATATATTGTCTATAGCTACATTGGTGTTGTACAATAATGTGCAGTATATATGAATAGTGCATTTTACAATACTGCTAAGTAAATAGTGCATTTCCTTTTTGAAAAAAAATGTGGTTTCTGTCTGGTAAACGATTACAATACTATGTAAAGTTCCCTGATATAATTTATAATATATTGTACATAAAGAGTCATACAATATTATATATTTTCATACATTTTTCTTGGACTTTTTTCTCTTGAGGTCATTATTCATTTCTACATGACCATTTTCCAGCTTCTCTTTATCCCTTTAAATCAAACAGGCTGTTTTTTATTACTGTGCCTATAAAACTGATAAATAAATGATCTCTTCTGAATAGCTATCCTTTATAGTGCCTCAAAAGACACTTAGAACTGAAACACTACCTAGAACTACAATATGAATAGGGCTAAACTACTATAGGCTGGATTGGTGGATATATGAGGATGAGTTTGTTCTTGTGACATCACAAAAGATGAATTCAAAACGGGCTGTTTTTGCGTCACGGTTTCCATATATAGAGTGTATGGACTGGGTAGTGAATAGTGTTTGGGAAATTTGGTTTTCCATGGTATGGTCCTTTAAGAGAATAAAACATAACAAAACAGTCCAGTCAAAACACACTGTGTCAGTTTGTAAATATTCTCTTCGCATAGAGACCATTATAGAAGAATGGTCTCATGAACCTTATTAATGCAAACTTGAATATCACCTGATATTGTTAAATATTTGGAAAATATTGTAATATTGTCTTTTATCAACACTACCCAGCACTGGGACAGGAAGAGTGTGAGGCTTATGAGTAACATTTGTCTTATTTCCTTTTATTTAGATATAATGCTCCAGATGGGTTACTCACAAGAGGAGATCCAGGACTCACTCGTCAACCAAAAATATGATGACATCATGGCAACTTACCTCCTGCTTGATTATAGGAACTCTGAGGTGCACACCTGCGCACACACACTCTTCTGTTCAGTCATATGACACATAAGCACTGTTTACTTATATCAGCTATTTCCTTCACGTCTCTGATGTATGTGTTGCAGCTTGATGAGGGTGTCAACATGTTGATAAAACCACGTCCAGGAAGCGACCTCACAAACAGTAATGCCCCATCTCCGCCTCACAAGGTACAACGCAGTGTTTCCTCCTCTCAGAAACCACGGCGAGCCACAGATCAGGGTGAGTGATGGGACAAGTTAGCGACACTGTAGTCCTTTCATTTAGCCTTCTCTCTAAACCCCCCCCTTCTCTCTCTCTCTCTCTGTTTAGGTTCATACTCTAAAAGGCCTCAGGGGGATAACAAGCACACCGCTGAGGATTCTGGAAGGAAAGGGTCCAGCAGCTCCACCAAAGTGCCACCCAGCCCTATCGTCCCTGGAGACCGCAAAAAGAGCTCCACACCCTCTACTGTAAGTGTGCATGTGTGCATGTGTGCATGTGTGCATGAGAGAGAGAGAGAGAGAGAGAGAGAGAGAGAGAGAGAGAGACGAGAGAGTATAGCCACATTTCTTTCTGAATAGTTTACATGCATCATTTCATTTTTTTCCAGTATGTGTATCATCACTGTTATAGCTCCATTTCTTTCACAGTTTTTTGTTTTGTATTCGTTTGTTCTGTTTTGTTCAAACGCCATTTAAAAACTCCAGCTATGTTTTACTTGTACTTTACTTTTTTCCCTGAAGTCTACTTAATATGTTTGGGAGGTTTTATGTAACAAAAACAGTCATAAATAATTTTTAGATGACCATTTTCAACCTTTCTTTATCTCTTGGAATTAAACAGGCTGTTTATGTTACTGTGCCTTTAATATTGATGTATGTAAATGGCCTCTCTTCTGATTGGCTGCCCTGTATTTTGCCTTGTTCGAAAGCCACAACCACTGCAGGCTGAAGAATTCCTCATAACTTAAGTGTGAAGGAGTGGATCAAAAGTTTAAATGCCGCTGGTCAAATTACATGTTTTTGTTGATTTTCTGAATGAAAATAAGTTAGAATAAAATAAGTACAAAGAACAAACGTCTGTGCATTTTAATGCACAATTACTGTTTATTTACTAAATTTAACATATTAGGAAAAAAACATAAAATGCAATTTTAATAACAATTTTACTTCTCCTGCAAAGTTACATTTCAGAGATGTGCAAGGTTGTTATGGCAACGATGATATGATATGGAATGCTAATTGCTAACCCTGGTTTTTGGGACCTTTGACCTTACAGAACAGTATCCTTTCCACGGGCACAAGCCGCAGCAGGAACTCTCCACTTACTGAGAGAGCCACACTGGGAGTCCAGAACGGCAAGGACAGGTACGTATATGCACATACACGCACAGTCAGCAGATAACATTCAAGAAGTCATTGCGTTGAAACACATACTCCAGGATTTCTCCATACTCCAGAGTTGCGCATGCGCACACAGACAGGTTCAGGCATGAGCTGCACTTCTCAATGAGTCTTTTTAAGGGAGTTAGTAGTTACAGGTTCTCATACAAACATATTTAACCCTCTCTCACTGTCTCAGTGCTTGCGTTAGTTAACCTCATGCATGTTTGACCCTAACTGGTCTTGTGACAAAGTCTTCTCTGAACTCAGCTGGTACCTGTCACTGAGGATTTAGGTTAAATTAATTATGCCTTTTTTTGTTAGGATTACAGAGCACTCTTACCAGTCAGTGCAGGCGCACACACAAAGGTGCATCAGTGTTTGCACACCACCGTATACACTCAAGGGCTTGTTAACCTTTCTACATGAACAGCCTGGCATTTCTAAAAACTAACACAACCTTATCCCTAATCCACTCCTCCTCTATTCCCATCCTTTCATCTTTCCCCATGCCCTCCACTTAAAGGACTCCCTTACTAGCTCATCAGTGGTCCTTTCTAATCATCAATGTTGCTCAAGCCCAAGATACATATACATATACATGCTTACATTCTATTGGCTTTAGTGTGCAGTGTGCTCTGTATACAGTGTATATGTAAAATAATGTGTTCATTATGCATAATCAATGCATAAGCAGACTTATAGAATCTTACTGCACTGCTTGCTGCACACTGGAATCAAATGGGATAAGGGATAGGCAGAAATCACAGAATTGGGCAGCATTCAGTGACATATAGCTAGCTCTTACAGTACTTAACCTGTATAAATAATCACTACATATAGTTAGGCAATAAACAACAAATAAATTCTCTTGAAAAATATAAATAACTATTGATAGCTACCCCAGACTGTAGATGACCTGTATGTAAATATACATAATCATTACTTACATCTAACCAGGAAATTATGCGATCTGTACTATAAAAGGTAGTTTTTGTAGTACAGGTTGCATACTTTTAAGTAGTTTTTATTTAAGAAAACAGATTCTTCCTCAGCCCAATGAGAGTTGATTCCTCTGTGGAGAAAGCCATGTTTCTTTTGCCTTTAGCAGTGTGATTTGTTTTGCTCTTGCTTGTTGTGTTCATTAGAAAGCTTTATGCTCATGTACTGTTAAGCTTTATCAGTATGTGGTGTGTCTATGATATTCGTGCTGTAAATGCGGCTGGAGGTGCTGTTGATTTCATTTGCCTCTGTGTTAATCTCATGAGCTTACTTAAATCATTAACTAGTGTTGTACTGTGTTTGGTTTTGGTGTTACCCTTCCCCCTTTACCGTCAGCTTCCTGCTTCTTCCTCTTTCTCCATGTCTGTCTTTCTTTAGTACTTTCTCTTTATCATTCTCTCTCTCTCTCTCTCTCTCTCTCTCTCTCTCTCTCTATCTCTCTCTCTCTCTCTCTCTATCTCTCTCTCTCTCTCTCTCCTTTTTATCCTTGCACATTCTTTCTTTGTTTCCTCTCTTTCCCGTGTGTGTGTGTGTGTGTGTGTGTGTGTGTGTGTGTGTGTGTGAAGGATTAGTTTGGCTTGTGATGGAAAAAAGGCACCATTAACTCTTTTGTTAGATTTCTGTAGTCGACCTGTAATAGGCTTACTCTCTCACTCTTTGCTGCACAGAAAGGTGATAGTATGTTATTTCCCCACCACAAACTACACTAATCCCTGTGTGTGTGTGTGTGTGTGTGCGCGCGCGTTTGTTTTCTTCTCCTTGATGCTTTTCCCTGTAATCAGCACTTTGTTTGACCTCCCTCACTTCTCTCTCTCTCTCTCTCTCTCTCTCTCTCTTGTGCACTTTCTTTCTTTCTTTGCTTCATTCTGCCTTTCTTTATTTCTTTCTTTTTTTCTCTGTCTTGCTCTCTCACTCTGTCTCTTTTTTACTGTTTTTCTTTCTCTGTAATTTTTTCTCTCTTGAGCACTCTCAATCCTTTTTTACTTTCTCTCTTTTGCTGTCACTCACTCTCTTTTTCTCCTTTTCTTCTTTGTTCTCTCTCTCTTTCTTTCTCTCGCTGTCTTTGTTTCTCTCTCTCTCTCTCTCTCTCTCTCTCTCTCTCTCTCTCTCTCTCTCTCTCACTCTCGTACCACTCTGTGCTGTCTCTCTGTGTATATTCTCAGTGCCTAAGCTCATTGCTTTCCTTTGTGCTCTCTCTATCTTTGTGTCCTCTGCATGCTCTCGCTCTCTCTCTCTCGCTCTCTCTGTGTCCCTCCCACTCTCCCCGACTCTCCCTCTCCATTGTGTGATGAATATGGCTTTTAATGAAATGCTCTTCCCTCCCTCCACACACACACGCCCATGTCTGTGTGTGTGATGGTGTGCGTGCAATTGTATGGTGGCACTGCTGTCTCAGCCTGAACACTCCCGGGTCCCGCGCCTCCACAGCCTCAGCCGCCGCCGTGCTCTCCTCCTCATCCTCTTCTTCACGCTCCCGCCATCACAAGTCCCTGTCCTCCTCAGCCCACCCCTGCCCCGCTGACCTGCACACACACCAGCCCAGGCAAGTCCCCATCGAGCCACACACAGAGTCCTGTACCTTTTTACTCCGTGAGGGTTGGGCAGGGCTTGGTAAAGGTCACTTTAGGACCTTAGTGACCGTACAAAGGATTTTAAAGTGTAAAGATTGTGGGGAAAGTCTGTGAATGCCATGTGTCTGAAAGAAATGTGAAAGAAACACTGTTGGTGAACTTTAAAGACAAAATGAATCAAAACATGAAAATAAACTGCACTAAAAAGGAGTGCACCATTAATGTTTTAATACAGTTTGTTGTAGGCCATGTCACAGTTTTCAAGTAAATGGTTTCACAGTATTTTTAGTGCTGTAATGTCAATGCCATCAAAATGCCAACAAACGTGAATGTGAGTTGCAAATGAGGAGCCAGCTGTGGAATGGCTGGGAATTTTTTTCAGGAATGGGAGTGACATCATTGTCCTTGAATCCTCAATGGTAAGAACAAGGTTAAAGGAACACTTAAGCATTTTTCAGACTAATTTCTGTCTGTTGTATTTGTAGTGTACAGTTAACTACTGCGGGCAGTAATTTCAGAACATTTCCCTGTACTTAGAAAACACCTTGACTCGAAACACACTTTAGAAGCCCTTGGGCAGTTGCTGAATTCCATCTTTAAAAGCTTGTGTGAAATATGTTTTTCTAGGACACTTCGATGAATTCTTCAGTCAGATATTTGTAAATTAGGCTGTAAATACGTTAAATTTGACCTTTTAGAGATGAAGCTAGTTCTCCGTTTTCTTTTGTAATTTGTGGTTATTCCTTATCAGCACAGTGGTGTGGGCAGAGTTTTTTCTGTGTTGCTCCAGTCTTTAAAACGTTGCCTAAAGGTTCATAACATGAGCTCTAGTAAGACGTTCTGTCATGTCTGTCTCATACTAACAAAACAGTCACATTAGCAGGTGACAAGTGACCAGTCATTTTCTATTGAAACAGGCAATTTGTAGCTGCTGTATAGGGCAACAGGGCAAGTTCTCATCCCATTTCTTATTTTTACCCCTACCCCTTTGAGTGTCACCTTGCCCCTTGAAACTAGTGGTTCAAATCTTCCCCTACGACATGGGACAACCAATCAAATAAAAAAGAACATTACTTCATTAACAGGCTGCTAGCAGTGCTCTGTAGACGACCCTGCCAGTCTGCAGTGATAGCAGAGGAGGGTAAAGTTCAGCAACCTCACTGCTGGGCTTTATTTACATTTAGGGCGTCATATGACTGTAAAGAGGGGGGATGTGACAATCCTTTATTATCGCCCACCTCTAATTCTTCGGTGATATGAAGTCAGCTATTCGCCAGCTTCTTGTTTGAATTTTCTGTTCTACCTTAAATGGTTTTTAAGGTGCTTGTTGTGAAGAAAAGATGCTTGTTATGAAGAAAAGCACCATAATACATTAAAATGTATTATGTACAATTTTTTTTTCCTCATAGCACTCCAGTTGGAGTGTGCATCTGAAAAACCTCTGTTCGGAGGGCCATATAGCCCTAACACTTCGCCCTACCCCTCTATCTCAACAAAAATTGGGACACCCTACCCCTAGGCGTGAGTGTACAAAACAGACGTGTAAGGGCTAAGTGGTAGGGGCAAGGAGTGAAATGAAATTGGGACCTAGACTGGGTTCCAAGGGTCCCCATCTACTGCTGTCTGAACCTTTTGTTCCTGCCAGCATTTTGTTTTTTGTTCCCAATAGTATCACACAAAAAAGGGAACCTATACATATCAACTTATGAACTTATAACAGCAGTTCATATTTTAAACAAAACAGCGATTTTTGATCACATGTGAACAGTCTTACATACCCATTAGAGACAAACTTGAAGCAACATTAGCAACGTGTTGCTTCCTACTGTGCATGTATGGAAGGACCAGAAATGGTTGTTTTGAATTCATATTGTATAGCCACGTATTTCAAGTGTTTATTCATGGAATTCAGCAGTAATTCCATGAATAAACATGGACGTTTGGAGTTAACAGCTTTCTGTTCTTTTTAAAGTACTGGGAAACACTTGGAAATTACAGTCCTTGGTAATTGAAGGTACAATACAGATGTAGTAGAGATTAGACTGAAAAGCAGTGGAACATTCCTCTTAAAGATGTATAGTTGTATATGCAGCTGTTGGCCAACGTGTTCCTGTCTGTTGTACAGAGATGTAAGTTGAAAGCAGCGATGAGTTTATTATAGGCTGTATTATTCATTTGTATTTTTTTCTTGGTAAAAAAAAAATAACTTAGATGAATGAATACCTTATATAACCTCTATGTTATGCTTCATTAGCAGTCTTTCTCTTTTGAATATGATATTTGAGTCAAGTGAGCAGCAGCAGTGCTCACTCTCTCACCCTCCCCACCTTGTGAATGACCTCATAGCTTCTCCTTCTTACCTTATTCAGCTAACCTAAACCCTAACAGCTGTTCTGTCTCCCTTTTCTGCAAACGCCAACCAGCTACACCTGGGATGAACATCCATGCAGCTAATAACACGTTTCCTTAACAGCACAGCCACTTACACTTGTCTGGATATGAGACATATTTGTCTGCCTTGACTTAATAGGTATAAAGCGCTGTGTACACATTTTTCAGAGACGGACAGTGTCATCAGCACACAGTCTGCAATAGGCAGACTCTCCTCAAACAGTCCTAACATGAGGGTGCAGCTGTGGAAATGAATACATGTTTCAAACATTCAGTGCATCTCCTAGAAAAGGACATTGTGTTCTCTAATCAGAGGTGGGCAGTCACTAGTTAGATTTGCTCAGTTCTGTGTACTTTAGTAAAATGTTGATTAATTAGTTCTTCTCTGAGTTATTTTCAGTAATACTTTTACATCTACTGAAGTGTATTTATTTGTAAGGAAAGTATTCCTCTTTTCACTCAGTCACATTGTAGTCAATCACAGTGAGCTGCTAACTGTCTTTTTTTTCATTCTGTTCTGTTGGTTCTGCAGCTAATCTGCTTTTCTGTTTCTCACACTTCTTACCTCTCACTTGCAAGCTTTAGCATTTTATTTTATACCCAAATGATCCTGACAAACAGGAGAAGTTCAGTTGCTATGCTGAAAAAAGCTTCAGCTTAGAATTTTTACTGCTTTTCTGTAGGGATCTCAGTCCTCGGATGCTTGTTTTGATCTACTTTAAAGCAGAAATCCATACATTTTTCAAACTTGCTGCATAATTAAATCCTCAGGATGTGAACAACATTCAGAGTGGTCTGATGTGAAGTGTGCCATTTTGAATTAGTCTAAGTCAGAATTGTTCACAGCAATGAAGAGTTTAACACCTCTAAAACCTGCCTCACGGAAGTTTATTAAACGGAAGGGTTATGAATCGGCCTCTCACAGTTATTACAAAATCACCTGATTGCAATCATTTGAGCTGATCGCAGTTTTTTCCACACTTTTAGTTTTTACAATCATGTGTTTACATCACAACAAACAATGTGAATTGAATGCATTTTCATCAGTTTTCATTGAGGAAAATGCACGTAAACAAAAGAAATCAAAACGTTTTTGGGTTTTATTTATTAACTTCATTATTTTATTAAACTTTATTTCTGCATTAATTTCTGAATGAGTGCTATAACACCTGTGAAATGAGCAGTGTTGAGTAATGTTTATTTGAGCTTGAGCTATTTCTGTCAGTTGTGTGCTACTAAGAATCAGCAGGAACTAAGCTAGGAAGCAAGATAATCAGCCAATTTGGCCACTTTAGCATTGTATTTTAATATTGCATACAATAAACTACAAAAAAATTGCAATTACTTGTATGACAATCATCAACTGAAATTACATAATTATGACAGGTTGTTACAAATACGTTACCAGATTCCTGAAGCATTATTTCTCGAACGTTTTAAGCGTTTTGGCCTAAAATATAATTTTTAAAAAATATATTTATGGTGGGGAAGTACATGGCAAAATAGTACTAAGAAACAACACTCCACCCCCACAGGCCATCCAATTTTGCATATTTAATGTAATTTTATCTTCATAGGTGAATGAAAAATATCACCATTTCCCCCTTTTTCTGCCTGTATTACTAATACTGTTACTTTTACTTGGGACTGACTACTCTTCACCCCAATTTACTCGAGTTCTTCTGTTTCTAGACTCAATTAAAACATAGAGGTAATATATGGAATGCATGGTTGGCTTTAACCTTGTAGCTTGCCCTTGCTGTGTCACTGTGAGTGAATGGCTAGTTTTAAAAGACCTGCTGTGTTGCATGCAGTGAGCTGGGGCTCTTCCGCATGTGGTTGGGGACCGTTGAGGTACTGCTGCCTTGTCACAAAGCCTCTCTTTAGTTCCTTTATATATGATCACTAACTATTTCCCTATGTATTATTCCTCCTAACTTCAGTTTAAGTGTGCTGCTATACAAGTGCCATATATATATATTAGGCATATATGGAGTATTATGAAGACTTGTGTAGTAAATGGTGTGATGCAGTGGCTCTATGTGGAAAAACTGGATTATTTAATCCAGCAATGCTAATGTGTTAGCTACATTAGCATTGTATGGTTTAACTTTCCCTTTTAGAAAACATCTGCTGTGTGTGTACAAGCCCTATAGCTTGTACAAGCATATACTGGCATCGGTATATGTTTGCTAAAGTCTTGCATACTTTCAGTCAGTTTTTTAATAATTTACTTGCAGCTTATGTTCAGTACAGAGATATTTTCAGGAAGTTCAAGTTTTGATGATAGACTGTAAGTATTGCATATCCATGCATGCTACCGATGTGATTATACTGCATATTAATGCCATACAGAATATGTAACATAACACATTCACATACGCGCTATAGGGTCTGATGTAGTTGCTGTGTAGTGTATATGTGTGTTGTGTATAAAATACATTATCAGCCAAAAGTATGTGAACACCTGACCATCATACCTACATGTGCTTTTTTGGCCATACTATTCCAAAATCATGGGCATTAATATGGAGTTGTCCCGTACAGTGGCTATAACAACTCCACCCTCTTTGCAGGCCATGTCTTTATGGATCTCGCTTTGTGCCCTGAGCCACAGTCATGCTGGAACAGGAAAGGGCCTTCCCCAAACTGTTGCCACAAAGTTAGAAGCCTATATTTGTCTAAAATGTCTTTGTATGCTGCAGCATTAACATTACCCTTCACAAGAACTAAGGGGTCGAGCCAAAACCCTGAAAAACAGCCCCAGACCATTATCCCTCCTCCACCAAACTTACGGTCTGCACTATGCATTCCGGTCCAAATCCAGATTTGTCTATCAGACTACCAGATAGTGAAGTATGATTCAACACTCCAGAGAACACATTTTCACTGCTCTAGAGTCTGGTGGTGGCGTGCCTTACACCACTCCAAACATTTGGCACTGTGCAGAGTGATCTTAAACTTGTGTGCAGCTGCTCAGCCATAGAAACCTATTTCATGAAGCTTCTGATATGCAGTTCTTGTGCTGATGTTGCTTTCAGTGTTTGGAAATCTGTAGCAAGTGGTGCAACAGAGGATATGTGATTTTTATGCACCGTGTGCTTCAGCACACTTCAGTAGTCCCACTCTGTGAGTTTGCGTGGTCTACCAATTTGTGGCTGAACTGTTTTTGCTCATTACACAATAATAGCACTTACATTTGAATGATTTGTGGCAAAGGTGCCATCATATGACAGTGCCACATTTAATGTCACTGAGCTCTTCATTGCATGGCTATGTGCTTGATTTTAAACACCTGCTGGGAATGGGTGTGACAAACACCTGAACTCAATAATTAGGAGAGCGGTCCACATACCTTTGGCCATATATTGTATCTTAGATGGTTGCTGTTAGAGTTCACAAAAGCTTGGTGTCTTTTCTGTCCTGGATTATTTTGCTCCCCCAGGAATGACTGAGAATACATCCATAGCTTAGTAGTTTTTGTGTGTGTCATATATACTTCCCACACATTAGCTTCAGTTCCACAGAAAGCGGATGTAAAGTTTTGTTTTTTCTGCAGTGATTGCTTTATTTATTAAAGGCCAAATATTTAGCTGCTGTTGAACAAAGACACCTGAAGCCTGCCGGCTGGTTAGCTGTTCTCCAGCTGTCAAAGCCAATGAAGTGTATAGCCTAACAACGGAAATGTATGTGCTTCTGTCTTGTTTTCAATACATTTAAGATAACATAACTTAAACATAGTTCTCCAGAGTAGACTAATCTACATGGTGTTATTGTTGTGTGGAAATCTGAAGTGCTGGATTTCAGGTATTACTGTCATGGATACAATGAGGAACCAGAACTTTCTTGTTTAATGAGCAGTGAAGTGATATCACATTTTCTCCTCAGTTCCTTATTACAGTAAGATTACATTATTGTATTAGTACTCAGTGGGTTAAGGGGAATTCCCCTGATTTTTCAAAATTTCCACATATTTCAATTGTTCAGATGTAAACAGACTCATTCAGAGTGGTTTGACATGAAATAATTTATTGCAGAGAAACTTAGAAATATAGCTATTTTATTGCCATTTTATTCAGAACCGTAAATGACTCAAGCATCAGTCATATTTGTAAACGTTTCATATAATACCTTGTATGAGCTAACCTTTTAAGGCATAAAACATTTTGGATAACTGGTTCCTATCACCACCACTGTGAACAATTCTGACCTGGTAAGTTTCTGACTTGGGAGGCAGAATGGTGCATTTCAGACTACTCTGAATGACAGTTCATATCTTAAACATTTAATTAGGAGTTCATTTAGAAAAATCTTTGGAATTACCCTTTAAATTACAGTGATTCCATGCAATTTTCTTTCTCAGAATAGGATTGGAGTGGAGTGGGTCCCGTTTAGAAACCTAGTGTCCTCTGCTTAGATGCTATGGTTGAGTGTGCCTCAGTGTTAAAGGTCTTAGGTGTATATGTCTTTCCCTGCTCTGTTTGCCAATCTTTTGTGGTTGAAATGGGAAACTGTATGGCAGTGGAGTGTGTGTGCATGTGTGTGTGCGCGCGTGTGTGCGCACAATGCTAATTGATGACCTGTCTATACGTTTACCCCAGATAACAGTTACAGTCCATATTCATATTGACAGCTGTGATTTTTGTTCCTCATAAGTCGTTAGTGGATTTTCTTTGAGAAGTTTAGGAGATAGTTGATCAGTGGTTAAACCTGTTTGAAAGGGTACATAATGCTCATCTTATTGAAATATAAAACGATTATAGATGCCATCTCAGCTGACCTGTATTTTTAAGTGCCAAATTGCTACACTGTTAGAAATGTCACCCAGTGGGTGTGTGAGAATCAGCACACTGGTTTTTGATCTGATATATTGGCTGCATATATATATATATATATATATATATATATATATATATATATATATATATATATGTATATGTGTATATATATATATGTATATATATATATATATATATTAGCACCTTACTGATATATTGTATTATTGTATGGATATTATGGTCCTGAAAACACTTTTTACATTACTTGTTTTAGATATTCCTAAGAATTTCGGGAGTTCACGCATTTCAGCTGAGCTGACGGGCGCCAACTGTTCACTTCTATTACAGCGATACAGACTAACTGATAAACAGAGACAAAATACCATCATGCTAGAAACAGCAAAAACATCCAAACCTTACTTAATGCATGACAGCAATGTTATACCATTAAAAAAAAAAACCTTTAAGGGGACTGATGAAAAATAAGAGCTAATTATCAGAAAGCAACAAAATGATTAAAAATTATGTGAAGCCCCGCCCCCTACACTACATTGTTTGTCATGTATTTGTCATATTTGATGATTTATAACTGATAGTCATATCACTCAGTATTGCACTGTTTAAGTAAAACTTGTAGTTTCAGCATATCATCACTATTGCACTTCAAGCCTTGTCTCTCTATTTTCTTTCCTTTTTTATATATTTTAAAAACTCCAGTTACCATTTACATTGTGTCAGGATTTCATGATACATAAGCCTAAAGAAATGATCCAAAATTACTTGAAGAAAATCTTGCTACAATAATTTCCATTACAATTTCAGAATGTTTTTTTACTTTTCCTCTATGGTTACAATTGTGAAAATTTGAGATTTTGTTACTACAGCAACGATGTAAATTAGAACTGAGCTGAAATGATTTATTTGTCAGGCTCTATCGTTCATATTGAGTGAATGAAAATTTCCAGCAAGATTTCTTTGTTACATTCTTCATAGTGTACTAGCTTTTAGAGCTGTTTCATGTGTACTGTAAATGTGTATGTCAAACAAGTCAGTTTGAGAAGATTGTGTAGCTCATGTGCACTTAGGCTTATATAAGGTCAGATGCCATTATTAAGTAACTGCAATGTTAGGGTCAAGAGACTATCCTGGCACGGCTCACAGCTGATTTACTATTGGATCTGACAGGGTTCAGGGCAATTGGTTGATGCTTCAGCAGTTGTTGGTATGGATGCCGTGTTTGGGTGAGATTCAGTAGTTGAGGAAGGCACACTGTACTAACAGACTCATGCACACACATTACAAGATCTTTTAGTCATGTTAAATTTAAATTAATATAAAAACTTACTAATTAATGATAATAAAGAATCTGCTTCCTTAATCTTACTTTGAACATTGTGTGTGTCCGTGTGTGTCTGTATGTATATGAGAGAGAGAGAGAGAGAGAGAGAGAGAGAGAGAGAGAGAGAGGGATTTAAGCTCTTTATATTGGGAGAGGGATGTGATGTCTGTGCTCTGTTCTCTCTCAGCACTGAGCATATTTTATTATTTTGAGAGATTACATAACACATTTTAGCAGTGCACTGCAGGAGTGAGTCAGTTTCACACCTCTATATCTCACACCCTGCCACATTTTAGATGTGGTAGAGATATACTGTGGAGTTTAGGTTATCGCATTGCACTAGTTGTGTCTTGTATTCTAAGCTCTTAGGTGTTCTTGCTGTACATTTTGCACTCTGTACATCATTCCTTTGGTCTCCATGATTCAAATTATACAGGTTTGAAAACAAATGAGCTATCTATACTTTACCCACAAATATTTCCTTTCGTATCAACTGTTGAGGTTGGAGAAGCTTTACAGCACACTGGCAGAAATCCCATTCAGCCTTATAAGACACTGCAGTAATCTTTGTGACTGATCTGAATCTCTTCATAAGGTTGAGTTTTCAGTTTAAAATGATACACTGCTAAGGGCTCCTGAGTAAGACAACCATCTAAGCGTTTGCTCCCAGCAGGAGATCACAAGATCTGTGTGTGGTTATGCCACACCCATTCGTGGTCAAGCCAGCGTAACTGTCCTCTGTCTGGGTGCGTAGGTTGGCCCTGTGCTCTTCTCCAAGCGTGTTGAGCGCTCCAATGATGTTGCGTTAGTGGTGGTTTGAGAAGATGTGGTGCTGGGTTCACATGACTTGGAGGAATCGGATAGCCTTCACCCTCCCAGCTTGGTAGCGTTGAAACCTACTTAAAAGATAGAATTGGCTGGATTACGTTGTTGTACTGAATTTTGTTTACACAGGTTGGAAATGACAATGAATTTGCCTCCATGCTATTGTTAGCTTGACTACACACCTACAAAATATCCTAACAGTGTGACTCTCACATGCATGCATAGTAATAAATATTTGGTATTACGACAAAACCGGAATTGCGTGCTACAATTTCTCATTAATTAAACCTCACAGAAGTTTTTGCGAAAGAATTTGTGGGTAAAGCATGCATAAGGTTAACTGTTTGAAAACATGTATTTATTTGCTACAAACAAACACTTTTTGTGGGTGGAGCATAGACAGGTCAACTTTCAAAGAGGGGAAAATGTTTGAATTTATTAAACTATTTCCCTTTTTTCCCTCTTTTGCTTTTTTCCAATGGAAAAATTGTTCTATTGCAGTGCCCCCTCTCAGAGAGCACCTGGTGCCTCCCCATCGGCCCACAACATCAGCAGCGCCGCAGGCACGGACCGTACCAACTTCCCCCGAGGGGTGGCCACCCGCAACACTTTCCACATCGGTCAGCAGAGAGGGGCCCGGGACCAGCAGGGCTCACCCTACCATGCCCCGCCAGCTTCCCCCTCGCTGTCCCACGGCAACAGCCAGCAGAGGCGGCCCGCAACCTCCGGCATCTTCAGCAAGTTTACCTCCAAGTTCGTTCGCAGGTGAGAACCGCAAAAAAAGAGCAGTGAGTCACCTGCTTGGGTGGAGGTGTGGGCGATCAATGGGTTGGAGAGGGAGTGAAAGGGTCTGTGGGGTCCAGCTTGGTGCTGAAATGTTGAGAGGTTGTTAAAGTTTTCTTACCGGCCAAGGAAAGAGGACGTTGTGTTGTAGGATGTGTTGACAGTGTCTGGAAATAGAGTGACTGTTTTAGAGCAAGAAACAGATGGAAGGAAAGAAGTGATTCAAAGGAAGAGAGAAATTCTTGTTAAAGAAAAAAAAGAAGCCAGACACCAGCACATCTAACATATTCTCACATCTCCGCTTCCTTCGCGGTTGGGGTATGTGCTTACTTGGGACTTTCTTTCTTTTTTCCCCTCTCTGAATTCATGCTAATTTCAAATAGGGAAGTGGTCTGGTTTTTATTTCTGTGTGTAACTCTCACACAAATCAGTCATATCTTTTATCAAGCCAGTGTTTCTATCTTTTAAAAAAAATCTAATATATTCAATGTTTTAACTACCCCAGGTGTAGTTTATCATCCAAGACATATTTGGTATCTAAAAATGCTTAAGTTACCAGGCTTATGCTGCTAACAAACAGTAGAAGCAAATAAGTCACCCAAATTTTTCTATAACTACATTCCCAAAACTTCAATCCGCAGATCTTCATCAAGACTGCACGGTTTTGTTGATTTGGTTTACAGCACAGTATGACTTACTTTGAGCTATAAAAACAAACAAAACACTGCAAGCTATTTTAAACAACGAGGTGTTTTGCCCCACTCTTCCTCCTCAGGTGTATGCATGCTTCAGATTATGTTTGCGATTTCTGCAAAAAAAAGCTGTTTAAGTGTTGAATTTTCAAATTGAAGATAAGTTTTTAAAAACGAAATGTCAGAAATCTCATAATCTAGTGTCCACATGCCGGCATGGCGGTTGTGTATGCGAAGGGGAAGTGGATACAAATCAGCGAAACCTTAATAAAGGGTTGGGCACATTCACAAAGCTTCTCAAAGTAGGAGTGCTGATCTAGGATCAGATTCCTCTCTGACTTTGACTGACTTCGAGAAGCTTCATGAATACAGGCCCTGGATGTGGACTGAGCAGGTTGAAAGTTTTGGGGATGTATTTACAGAAACAATTTGGGTGACTGTTCACTTCTATTGTTTATTAGCAACATTAGCCCCATAGCTCCAATTTTAAACTAAAGAAGCAAAATTTGGACACCAAACATCATCTTTGATCGACTGCATCTTGGGTACGTGGAAAATTGTTTAAATTAGATTTTTTGTGAAATCATTCCTTTAAGTCTATGCACATACTCACCTCTGCTCCGGGGTGTTTGCTGCTTCAACATTGTCTCAAATGATCTTGCCCACAGGTCAAGTCCTTGTTAGGTAATGAATGCACTATCACACTAATGCATTATCAGTATCCACAATCTTAACAGCACTACTTTAACACACATACACATATTCATACTCGTGCATTTCTCATCTGTTTCATCATCTCCTGCTTATAAGTTCCAGCACAGTCTGAACACACTGCCACTGCCATCTTTTCCGCACCTCCGTGGTGACAGTAACCATGGTAACAGCGGAGGTATCGCATTCCCTGGCTCTATAAATATTCGTGGTGGGGACACCTTGGCCTGCACTCTGTGGTGCCGCCAGAGCCGTGGGCTTTAGAGAGAAACTGTAGGAGGAACTTCAGTAAAACATTACTGAACCGGTAGCATTTTACAGATCAGTAATAACTGGGTCATAATATGGTAATTTTGTGGTAACAGTTTGTACTTACCAAAATATTACATGCTAATTTTCTGTTTGTTACTAAACAATAAGTTATTGTAATTGTAACAGTAACGAGGTGGTGATTTAAATTTATATGCAAATTTTTTAGCTGTTAAGTACTAAGATAAAGAAAAATAAACATGTATAAAGATATAAGTATGTTTTGGTGGTGTGTTTTTTCCATCACTGAACTAATTTCGTAACAGTGTTAACAGGTAACACAAAAGGGACGTGACGTTACATTGTTCCAGCCCTGATTCTGTGAAATGTCAGTATATTTACCTCGTCTTCTTCCTCATCCTGAGTAACTACACTGTGTGTAGGTGGACCTACATGTAACAGTAATAGATAGAACAACCATGAGTGATTCAGTAATTTAATCCTAATATCAGTGCAGTTACTCACCTTATTTTGAAGAACTGATGTTTCCACCTGACATGAGCTGCAGTAACTGAAAGTCAGTGATTTAAATGATTTAAAAGAATTGCGGCAAGATTAAGCAGGTATCACGCTGTAAGAGCTGAACGTGAAAATAGTTTGCTCCCATTATTTTTCCATCTTATTACCAACTTGTTACCAACTTATTATTACTAATTTATTATTTGTTAACAACTAAAAAAAGGTCATTTTTTCAATTTATTATACCTTGTTATCATTTTTTTGTTTTATTACCAACTTGTTACCACTACAGTTGCTAACTTATTACTAATTATCAGCTAGAAAATTCTCATGTAATTTTTTAGGTCAGAATAACTTGTTACAATTGTTTTTCTATTTCATTACCAGCTTGTTCCTGCTACAATTACTAACTTGTTATTGCTACAAAATTAGCATATAATCTGTAGGTTAATACAACTTGTTACCATAATATTGCTATATAATTGCCCCCTTACTACCGATCTGTAAAGTGCTACCACAGAACTATTTCCACACTGTTCCCAGCTCGTTTTTAACATGGCATTATAAGGCTGGACCTCACATTTGAGGTTGTTTCTTTCAGCACAGTTTAGGTACCTCATCTACATAGACGTCTTTGTGATTTGAAGAAAACAATGAAGTAACAGTGTATTATTTTATCTGTTAAAGGGAAAGAGGAATCTGCTACTAACTAAGAGAGACTGGTTCTGTTGAATCCTCTATGGGTCTGGTTTATTGAATCATATAATATGTGCAAAACAGTGACTAGAGCAAAAAGAATAATACAGGATGTCATTATTTGATTAGCTTGGTAGTTCTCAGTGCTATAGTTCCTCACCTATTGCGCAACCCTGCTACAGAGCTGTGACGGTCATGGCTTGTAACGTTTCTTATGAAGCCACTACAGCTTTTCAAATTACTGGTACTGCAACATTGCCCAGCACCTGAGAACTGTTTGACCTTTCATATTTCTTGTCCCAGTGGTGGCCTTTTCTCAAAATGAACGCTCTGCCAACAGCAACAAATTTTCAAGGTCTTCCTACTAAAGTTGGGACGCAGCACAGCTGGGACCCTAATTTGAGCCCCAGCAGGGTTCTGCAACACAGAGCGAACTCTTAGGATAGTTGACTTGTTTGACATGCTCCAGTCATTGATCTACTGGACTACATTGAAACTACCAAAGTACAAAATGTTTTGATAAATCTGACCCTAAGATTTCAGGATTTTTGGACCAAATATCTTTGTATCACATGAATGGCTCATTTTTGCACCAGAAGCTTATTGTGGGGATTGTTTTCATCTTGGTGTTAGCTGTAAGTCTGCAAGAGCAAATATAACTGCAGTTTCAGAGCTGCTCTCTGTATAGATGTCTTCAGATGATGTTCATTTTAAAACAGCGGACTGTTTAATTTAATTATGAAGCACTCTATGAACGCAGAGTTCAGCGGAATTCTGAATTAGAGCCCAAAACACATACAAAATGCTCTTATGAGAGAGTGAAATTGCCAAATTTTAGCACCCCTGGTGAAATTACATGTTGATTTTCTAAGTGAAAATAAGTTAACACATCCTCTTGGACACACTTCTGCACAGTTAGTGTTTATTTGCTGAATTTAACATATTGTAAAAAAATAAAAATAAAACATTTGGCCTGTGCAAAAATTATGGCACATTTTGTTTTATGTTTTGTTTTTTTACAAATGTGAAAGTGTGTTCTGTGTAGAGGAGGTGTTATTGTATATTATAACTTACTTTCACTCATACAACAAAATATGTAACCTGACTAGGGGTGTACAAACTTTTGCATACAACTGTATGTAATTTGTTTTAATCAGTGCTCATGTAGAGGCATTTTTGCATGTTTGCTTGTAAATACTTAGACTGTAACCTTACAGAGGAAATGTGGTTTCATGCTGCGTAATTCAGACCTTATGAAGTAAATGGTTGGCACAATCAGCCACTTTTGTGATGCACTCAGATTTGGTTAATATGTCAATCCTGTGTATATAAATAGTGTAATATTACAAAGGATTTTCAGGAATACAGAATATTTTTCAGTTTTTAAAAGAAACCAGAAGTATTACGTTACTGGTTGTCTTCAAAGATACCTCAAAGTGTTTGTCAATACTGTGTGTTAACATGAATTCTTGGTAACTGTTTAATGGCATGCTGTGAACACTATGTTTACTTACTCTTTCACATCATTCAACCTCATGTAAAGTAATGCACTTTGCAGGGAACCAGTTCACCTTGAGGTTTTATATCTCATGCTTTTTTTGTGCACTGCCATTCATATTTACATGCATACATTTTTTTCTTTCCTTTTTGTTTTCTTTTTTCTTTTTTGTTGTTGTAGAAATCTATCGTTAAGGTTCCCCAGAAGGTAGGAAAGCACAATGATAACCCCTGCCGAAGCTTTTTGTTTTCATTTACCCTTTTCCAAATATTTGGTGTTTTTGTGCAGCTTTTTCATTTTTTTTTACTTTTCCTTGTGCTGTTTCCCCCTGATATTCTATGGTTGACTGTTTGTTTATTTCTTTTCTTCTTTTTTTTTTGTATTTGGTTTTTGTGTGATGTGTTTTGACCAGTACTAACATCCCACTTCCTTCCCAAAAGCTCATCCTCAACACCCTCAGTGCACCAAAAGCATAACACCCATCCTCTTACTTTCCCCATCCTCAATCCTTTACCTCATCTCCCTCTTCTTTGTACATGGTGACCTCACCTGTGCTTCCACGTAGACTACAGTTCCTAACTTACTCAGGTTACCCCCAGGGCACTGGAAACAGAACATGATGTCATAGCAGTTCCCTGGCAGAAAGGATGGATGTAGGTCATGGGAAAACCCAGCGTGAGGTCATCAAATCCCTGAATTTAGAGAAGTTCAAAAAGAAGCAAAGTGATGAATACATCACTGCCTTGCACATGCTCAATAGACCACTTTTGGTTCCGTGAAGAGCCTTTCAATGGATAACTTTTCAAAGAGCTGTTAGTATAAAGTACCTTTTTTAAGGCTCATCATAATGTAAAGGTTCTACACCAGTTAAAGGTTCCTCTCTAGAACCATCTGTGCAAGGCAAGAAACATCTAGGAACCTTTATTTTTAAGGATCTGTTTATTAGATAGAGCTTTGAGATTTGAGAAAAAACTGTAAGGGGGGAGTTGAGGTTGGAAAGGAATGATGAAGGGGTTATTTTTTTGCTGCTTTCTTTTAGAATGAGGTCTTCCCTTCTCTTTCTTCCCTTCCTTTCTTTTTCTCCCTGGCTCTTTTAACATGATGATGATGATGATGATGATGATGACAGCAGCTGAAGTTGAGATTGTCTGTCTGGCTTTGGGCTGCTCACCCAACCCTCCTCCCCATGCGCCCCTCTTTTTTCTCCTCTTTTTTACCCCCAACTTCTAAGTCTCTATATTTAACCTTCATTTGTGCTGAACTGTCTGTGAGAACTTTCCAGACTCACTTGTGCAGGCACCAGGTGTATGGAAACCTCCATCACTCAAAACTCACTTGGGTTACAGAGCTTCACAAACTGACAAATAAATTAACACATTATTTGTGGCAATATATGTTTGCTTCCCATCAGTGAGTGACTTCTCCCTTGTGTCGATGATATGTGGTGTTTTTGCCAGCAGAGGGCACTGTCATGCAGTACAGTCACTAACATGTTATTTTGTGCCCTCTGCTGGTTAAGAATTGTATTGTCAATTTCATTAACTTTTCTTTACAGGTTGTATTGTACCCATAACCTCATGTCTTTCTATTCTTGGAACTGCAGATGCTACTTTGTGGTCACTAACCTCTTTCATGCCTGCTTTCAGCTCTTGGTTGACCATGTTGTTGAATGTCTTATTAACTGTCTGTCTGGATTTGAAGATCTCTGACGCTTGCATTATTACATTAAAGGAAGAGTTTAGCAAAGGCAAACTGCTTTCTTCTCACTCCAGATTTAGTTGATCAAGTGAGACATGTTTGGTGTACAAAGTTATTGGTGTACAAAGTAAACTTATTCCATTGGCAGATAGCTTGATTCAAGAAAAGCCAAGATACTTTATTTTGTCAGTGTAATTCATAGTAACTAAATGTGTTACATGTTAGTGGTTAAGTCCAAGGAGTTGATTTAAATCTGGTGTACTGCTCATGGAATTTAGCCATACAGTATGTTTTACTGTATTTTTATTTCAATTTGTTTTAATTTTAAATAATGTTTTTACAGATAAAAAATACTTACAGAAGGAAGAGTTTAGCAAAGGCGAACTACTTTCTTCTCACCCCAAATTTAGCTGATCAAGTGAGATGTTTGGTGTACAAAATTCCTCTGTTCGGTGTCTAAAGTAGCTTTTGCCTACCAGTTAGCGTTGTACAAACTGCCTAAATCAGCTCAAAACGTACCTCAAACCACATCAAATTGTTTTGTAATCTCAAACAGACTTGCTAATGTGATTTCTAACACTGCATAAGGTACTGTTAGCTATTTAGATTAATTTGCTGTTTGAGTTGCACAGAGCATTGAAAGTAAAATTCTTTTTAGATTTAATAAAAAAAGAAATGTTGATTAAGCTGAAAAAATGAAACATATTTTTTGTTCAGTCAATAATAATTGTATGTTTTTAACATATTGATATAGTGTTGCTTGGTATCAAGCAATGTGATACTATTAATACACTTAATAACAGTATCGAAATCAAAATTCTGGTAAAACAAGCTTCCTTTACTTCTCTACATTTGCTTTGTAGCTCCAGTGCAAAACTGAGGAAACTTTTTATAAGCCAAACATGTTTTGCCGATTAACTACTTTTAGAGTAAGGAGAAAATTTTGTTCATTTCATTTTGCCATTACTTTAATGTGAGCCCTTGTCTGTCTCAGAGTTTTGTGTTTGTCTGACTGTCCGTTTCTGTTGTTAATAATATGTGTGTGGTGGTTGGTTGTTTTGATGTTGGTGTGTTTAGGTGCTGGTGTGTGTAGTTAGGGGGTTTTACTGCCCGTAGGGCTAAACGGTGTTGGATGGCTGTAGTGGCTGTGGTGATGGGTTTGTATTTGCTCCTTTAGGGCATCCTGGATGGTCCCAGTTTATCCTCTTCGATTCCATTCCATCCTATAATAATTGCTGATTCATTCATTCACTGTATTCACCATCATGGAGCACTGTCAGATGGGTGCTATTGCATGTAAATAACGTCAGTACTTACACAATACTGTCTGTCGAAGTAAAACAGGTTCTCTGATCAAGACCATGTAACCTAAATGAATGAGTACAGTTTTCGATAATGGAATGGGATAAAAGTAACCACATAGGTATTCATGTCTCTTAAGGTGCTAGAATCCCTCTCTCTGTTCTAGACTGTAAAACTAATTTTGTTGCGATTTCTTTCGAGGAACCCATATGAGGGAGAGGGTCGGGAAGAGGGGAGCAGGTGAGGAACAAAAAAAAAAAACAAACAGACAAGAAAGGCAGATCGGATCAAATGATTTCCTAATCAGTAGATAATCAGAAAGTCATAATTGGCTCAGAACAGGGGGGTTAATTGGGTGCTAATTGGTTTGTAGCTGGAATTGTAACCAATCAGGTTAATGAGTGTAGAGAATGGTGTTAGAGTGTGTGGAGTGGATGCGTGTGAGCGGAGGGTGTGTGTGTGTCTGAAATGCTTTGTCATGGAATGTTAATTTCATAATTTGGTGACTAATTGTGTCTTCAATCAGATGGGTCTCTTATTCCTGTCTCAGTGATTTTCTCTATCTCTCTCTCTTGCTCGCTCTCTCTCTCTCTCTCTCTCTCTCTCACTCTCTCTCTCACTTACACATAGATACACATATACAGACAGTTGAGCATGTTATAATTCCCTATGTGCCTTATTTCTGACCAGCCTCGTACTCCTTTGTTCCTGTAGCTGCAGCCACAGCTTTGTCTACACTTCATACATAACAGCAGCAGCCTGTGGTAGAAACGTGAGGAGGGTCAAGAAAGTTCACTCAGATTTGAGGCAAAAAATAGTTTACATCTAGACCAAACTTTCTCCACAGCCATGCATATAGTGTCCCCTGCCTTGCAGTGCCTGGCCCTGCAGTGGGAGAAGGAGAAAAGGAAGGTGAAATGCAGTACTGTGCAGAAGTCTGAGAAAAGTATATGTTAAGCTATTAATTTGTCTGATAATAGACTAACATTAGAAAATTGTAAATAAGCAAATAAACAGTGCATTGTGATTTGATGTGTATCAGTCTGTTAGCTTAATCATTTCCAAAGCTCGCCTTAGTTACCACACAGTATCTAGTTTGGTTAATCAGTCCTTCATTAATGTCTTAAACCCAAAGGCTTCATATAACTAAATATCATACATATCGCTGTTGTCGGAAGAAAACCTCCAAAATGATGACTTCACAGGAGAAGGAAAAAATCTACTTTTAATGTAAGTCAGTGGAACCAGACATTTTTCCAGGTCATTTTGGGTTATTTCTTTTAGTCCGTTCATCATGAAATTTACACACGATTTAACGGGCAACAGCCACTTTCAACAACTGAAAAATGACAAAAATAGAGACGTGAGGTTTTCTTGTGACAACAGCGATATTTATTTCATAGTCATTACTGAACAGACTAGATTTTATCTAGTTAAATTATCTTATTCCATTGGCAGATGGCTTGATTCAAGAAAAGCCAAGATACTTTATTTTGTCAGTGTAATTCATAGTAACTAAATATGTTACATGTTAGTGGTTAAGTCCAAGGGGTTAATTTAAATCCGGTGTGCTGCTCATGGAATTTAGCCATACAATATGTTTTACTTTATTTTTACTTTAATTTATTTTAAAGTTAAATCATGTTTTTACAGATAAAAAATACTGCCAAGAACGTTTCAAACAGTTTTTGATCAGTACTTTTGCACAGTACTGCAGATGAAGAAATAGATGGAGAAATGCCTCTTTGGATCAAACTACTTGAGCTGTTCTCTTGTCAGCTTAAGGTCACACACACTATCACAGATTAGTCAGCAGAGTGAGTCTGAGTAAGTTGAGGCCCACATACTTACTCAGTAAGCGAGGCTGTGGCTGGTTTCTAACAGGAGGCATTAGCTGTATGTGACAGACATGAGAATTAGCACATAACCAGTGAGGAGAATGAAGTGGCCTTAAAGGAATACTCCAGCGTTTATCAGCATCTCTACCTGCCATATGGCTTATCATGGTTTTATAGACTTATATTTGAATCAGATGTCTTCACATTTTTCCATTAAAACACTGACTTTCTCAGCACATCCAGAAAAACTGTAGCAGCTTAGTTTTGTATGTCACAAGTGAGCTTAAACTTATCATCTAATGTACTAAAATATGCTCATAAAAGTAAGTGCCAGGCAAAGGACAGCAGTCATGTCAAGGCTCTCATTGGCCTTTGGGTCTCGGGTACTGGCCTCATGCATGGACAGTGTATATATATAAGTGTATATATATAAACTGGACCCAGTCATTCCAAGTGAGGTCAGTCATGTCACTTCCTGATTGGATTCTCAGGCGGTGGATAGCAGGAACGTGTGAGACTAGGCAGGCATTTTAATGATGCAAATCTCCAGCATGATGACGTCCTCCATCATTATTTGTTTGTGTAAAATAAACTGTAGAATAAAGATAAGAACAACAGAGCAAGAAAAAGACAAGTGAAAACAGCCTCAGCTAAACATATAGTACAAAACTGATCATTACAAAAGAATTTTAAATAATGTAAATTATTGTAATTATTGTATTGCATTGCAACATTATTGTAGTAGTAATAGTAATAAGTGAACCTGGTCCAGTCCTTGTATTATTGAACAGCTTCTACGTTTTATATTACAGTTTGGTTCTTTTCCTTTACATCATTTTCTGTAGTGTGATGGATAAACACTTATTTTGAAGCCATAAAGTTATCGACAGACCTAAGAGTCCAGCCTCTCTATAGGAGGGCGGGGCCATACGATGATTTTATATGGCTTAGGTGTGGCTTTATTTTTGGAGTGAAATCAGCCCAAAATGATTAAAAGTGTAAAATGCTACTGCAGTAGCTTGGCATGTAACAGATTCACCAGAGCACAGGTTCATTCAGGCTCACTAAACTCACCGATGCATGTTTTGAGGACTGAAATCTGGTTGAGTAAACCTGTGTATTTGTATGGGGAGCTGTTGGCCTGAGCTACTTTTGCTCCCTGTTAGACTACGATCCCTAGAAGCTAGAGTTAGCTTAGTGAGAAGGCCTAAGCTTTACACACAACTACACAGGTTCATTGCAGCCCATTGAGGCCTCACAGACACAAGTTTGGAGAGAAAAACTCAAATCTAAGTCAGTTAATTTGTGTTTTTCTATGTGAAGCTGTTAGCTTTAGCTACTTTTAATTTAAGTTTTCTTGTACTTAAAATAATAAAATTATTGACTAAAAACCACTTAGAATAGAAGCCAATTGGCAGGATGAAAATGCCAGAATATTCCTTTAAGAGGAGAGACATACAAACAGTAACATGCATGCCCTTTGTCCTTGGCTGTTCTTTCTTGTTTCTCGTTTTTTTTTTTTGTTTTTTTTTTCTTTCAGTCATTGTTGCTGCTTCACCCTCTCCCTTTTCTCCAAAATGCTCAATGATCCACTTCCCCATATCCCTTTATCTTTTTTTTTTTTGTCATACTTCTACTATTTATCCATCGCTATGCTGGTTTCTTTTTCACTCTCTATTTTCTCTCTGTTTCTTCCTCTTGCATTTTCTCTCTCCTTTGACATCCACATTGATCCCGTTTCCTACTTATTTCCCTCTTTTCTTGTTTTCTCCACCTAATTATTTCATTTTCTCCTCTCATCCCTATGCTATTTTCCCATTCTTTGTATCCTTGTCTGTCTTGCTCTCTCTTTGTCCTCAATGACCCCTCTCTTATTGTCTTACTCACATTTCCCCCTCATTATTTCATCTTCTCCCCATCCTCCCCCCTTTCTCCATCCCTCTGTCCAGATCCATGCTGAGCAGCGCTGAGAAGTCTGAGAAGACAGGTGTAGGGGGCGGGACTCTGGGCTCAGGGGGCGGAGACGAAACCAAGGACTCTCTCTCGTCCTCCTCTCCCAGAGGCGGGACTCCACCCCCTCCTGCGTCGGCGAAGGACAACGCCAAGCCACGCTCCCTTCGCTTCACCTGGAGCATGAAGACCACGTCATCCATGGAGCCCGGCGAGATGATGAAGGAGATCCGGAAGGTTCTGGATGCCAACAGCTGTGAGTACGAGGTGCGCGAGCGCTACATGCTGCTGTGCATGGCTGGCAACCCAGCCAGAGACGACTTCGTCCAGTGGGAGATGGAGGTGTGCAAGCTGCCCCGGCTGTCGCTCAATGGCGTGCGCTTCAAGAGGATCTCTGGCACCTCCATCGCCTTCAAAAACATCGCCTCCAAAATTGCCAATGAGCTCAAACTGTGAGAGGGCGGAGAAAGGGGTACTTTGAAAACAGATAGAGGGAGGGGTGCTGATTTCACCTAGAGTTGTAAAACCTTTGAAGGCAGGGGTGAGTGGGGAACACAGTCTTGGCTCAAACACAAGTCATGTGAGGGCGTATGGAGAGATCTTAAGGACCTGTCACATTACGGTTTAAGAAACACCGGTGTTGAATGAGCTACACATGGCTAATGCCACACATTTGGCATGGGATCAAGAGCGAGAGGTAGGAGAGGTAAAGCTGAAGTGCTGTATATGTTGATTTCGGTTTCAGGATCACTAGCCTTTACACATTTTTTCAGTTCAGAAGGGGGTGTTAAAAGAGAAACATGGTTGTTCTGCTGTTGTCCACTCTGAGAGGAAACTTGGTTGGGAACTCTTTTTGAGCTTTGTGAGCTCATGTTGGTCTTCAGCTCATCACGAGAACATACCCAACGAGGAGCGGGACAAACTTTATGACCATTTAGGACATTTCCTCTTTTGCTGGGTGGACTGAGGCCACCCCCTTGCACACAAACACACACTCACTCAATGTTTCTTCCTTTTGTTCTATTTACAGGGTTTAGCCCCACGAGTACCCAATAGAGGGCCAACACTTGAATAATGCTCAATGGATTGTGTCTTACAGTTAGGGTTAACTTAGTTCTTCATTGGCTGGGTTGTGACTTGCTGCACTGGAATGGGTGTATTTGCGTTGCCTTTATTTTCCTTTCTGAAGAGAAATGTATTTCAATGTTGTATTGCCAGTGATTTATGGTTTAATGTTATTCTTAGGAGAGATTCTTTTTTGTGTTTTTAAATATTCTCATGCCTTGGTATAGTGAATGTCACGGATGAACACCAAACTCCAACAGATCCAGCTTCCCCTTCTTTCTCCATCACCTCCCAAAAGAAAGACAACCATCTACATAGTACACTTGTACTAGTTTGAAAAAAAAATATATCATTGAACACGAGGACTACTGCTTCAAGAACAGCTCTGTCGTTTCGTCGAGCGTGGAACTGATGTCAAATTGTCTATTTGGTCTTGATCTGCACCATCCTCCTTTCGAAACCAAGCACTCCATGCCTAAAACCATGCGATGGTTTGGCAGCAAAAGAAATGAGCCCAAATGTCACTCTGAGCGTTATCCTTTTAATGATTTGTTCAACTTCCGTTGATGTGCATTTGTCTAAATGAGAGTGAATCACATGCGTGTATGGTAAGAGAATGAGTGAGGTGTACGTTCAACCAAAAGGTTGCTTTGGACGTTCTGTCTTGACCTTCATACAAAGATTGTATTGATAAGTAGCGGCAAGACCGGAGTACCAAGCATCATGAGCAGATGGCCTTACTACTGCTCACTTTAAACGAGTTCTTGTTTTCCAATGGTTTTTATTTGTTATTTTTGTTTATGATTATTTTCATTTTTGCTGAAAAAAAAATAAAGTCAGGCATTAGTACAGACAAGATGAGAACAGGTGTGTCTGTATATGTGTGAGAGAGAGTGATTAGAGTGTAAATGGACAGTGCTAAAAAGAGTGTATGTTTGTCCACTGAGCTGTACATTTTTTTGCATGCGTCCTCTAACTGGCAGGGGTACACACTCCATTACTATTGAACGAGTGGGGGGTAAATGGAGTCTCTTCCAAGTCTATCAGCGGTTTGGGGACACCTGTGCACGTCTGTATTTTATATCTTTTTGGAAAATAATGATTTTTTTTTGTCATTATTTGCAGTTCTATGAAATGATCATTGTCTAAGGTGCTGGGGATCCAATTGTCATTGTTATCTATTATTTTTCTTCAGGGTTGATTTTTATTTCATATAATTTTTCATTGCTGTAATTTTACTATTTTCCTCTGTCAGAACTCAGAGTAGTCAGGGAGTGAGAGGAGGGATTGAGAACTTCAAATGTATATTTTTTGTTGTTTTCTTTTTTGTGCAAAGAGATGACTATGATCAATGATAGTAATAAAACACAAATGATATTAAAAAAATGAGATGGTTGCGTAGGAATTGACGCAACAAGGAACAACCGTTTCTGCTCATGTCTGAATCAGTAGGGGGTCTGATTTCATGCCTGTGTTTGAGTTTCAAAAAAACATTGCTGGACATCAACTTTGGTCATTTCACTTTATTCTAAAAAAGATTCCAAAAACAAACAAACAAACAACCAAATTAAAAAAGAAAAACACACACACACACACACACACACATACACATACACACACACACACACACACACAAGTAAATCCAAGTTCACATGTAAACATTTCTCACAAGATTTTGGGGGAAAAAAAAAAACAAAAGAATTCCACTGGCACAAGCTATCATCTTTAGTGTTACAATGCCTTACATCTGTGCCTTCAAGAGCAAGACAGTCAATTCAAAAATCAGTGTATTTCAGAGTGTATGCAAGAAAAGTCAAGTATTTGGGTCATTTAGTGCTTCGGTATCAACTACGTCTACATAATTTCTACCTACCAATATCTTAGGGATCTAGTCATAGAAACAGAAGAAAAGGCTTCACTCAGTTGGATTCTAGTAGTACATGGCTCTTTAACGGAAGTGTGAGGATGCACGTTCCAAGTTTCCTTACACCCGATTCGCTCCGGAACACGATGTGGCGTCTTTAGTGTTGCACAGTTTGAGATGTTCTGCTGTTGCCATGGAGATGGGGGTTGGTGGAACCTGCGATTCAGTTGTCAAACCATTTAATTACCATGACGATCCAGTGTATAAGTTCTGAAGAGGGTTTTTTGGTTCAAGTATCAGTGATGCTTCCTGTTACATGTTTGTCAAAGGTTGTTGCTGTGGCTGTTGATCTGCCTGCAGTTACTGTGGAAATGGTGATGAGTGGGAACACTGAGGTATATTCTTATGACCTGAGGGCTGTTGGGTTAGTGGTCTGTTTTGGCAAGTTGAGACTGAGGTTTTTTTTTTGCTGTGTTAAATGAGTGAGGCTGCTATCTGGTTGTGTGTACCGGTGTTTGATGGGGATTCTCTGTACTGTTGCAGGGGAAGGAGAACGGATTCTTACAGTGTTGTTCAAGCAGTACTGCTGACTCATTCTACCTGTCTGTATGTTTGTCACCATCTCTGACTCATCTTATCTGCCTGAATAGGAATGTATGTCTATTTTCAACCCCTCTTGCCACTCCTGAACATCTCCCCATCATTGGGAGCGCTTTGGAGAAGTTGGCCTTTAACAGTGGTCTAAAATCAGTTTCCAACAACATCCTAATATTCGACACTGGTCCCAGATCACTGCAAAAGGACAACTTCAGTTTATGCTGATCAGTGCGAGTGCGGGGACTCCACCTTTAGGCCCACCAGAGAAGGAGGCAGCTGGCCACCTGATGCTCCAGGAGAGTTCCTCAGCCCACCCTGGTGGAGGGATGATGCCACTGCAGGTCTAATGAGTGGAGGTGGGGGATGGTTGTGCGGAGCGCGGTTCTGCAGGGGCCGCGTCTGCAGGGGTGGAGGCTGTCGTAGCAGGCTTGGGGGCGCAGAGGGGGGAGTAGGGCGCAGTAAAGGTGGGGGTTGGGTCAGAGGGGGAGAGGACTGGTTGGAGTTGGGGTTACTGGCCGTTTCAGAGGGAGAGGGACTCCCTGAGTCTGGAGGAGAGATGCCATCCATCTTTGCCTAAAGGGAAACGAAGGATAGGCAGACACATTACACCTCAGGAAAAATAAAACTCCTCCCAGTCAAAAAATTAAAAGCTTTTTACTGGTCCTGTATCTTGTGTGCGACAAAATTAGAACTGGCAGGTGACTTCTAAACTAAGTGTCCCTCTTATCCTATCTTTCCCTCTTTTGCATCCACTCACCTCGTCCTCTTCCACTCCTGTGGTTCCGTTCAGGTCCTTCATGGTCTCGCTGCTTCCCCGGAGCACGTCCTGTTCCGCTTGCCACTCTCGTAGCACTTCCTCTAGGTTGAAGCGTCGTCGGTAGCTGACAAAGAATGAGCTCACCTGACCGACAGTCTTGTTCCCAATCACATCAGCTATGGCTGCAAAGTCTTTACCGTAGCGCCTGATGGCTAAAGAAAGGTCGGGGGGAGGGGTGCATTAAACTACCAATACATGCTTTAAAATGATCAATTGTTTCAGGCCCAGTATTCATCTGTGGTTTTCTACTAAACTAATTAAAATTAATTCAATTTAATCAAATCTTGAGTAACTTGATTACAATACATACCTTGAACACTCAAAAAATTCCTGAGTACTGGTACTAGTACTGGTACTAACTAACCCAAATTTGTTAATCTAACCTTGTACCAAAAAATACGAAACAACCAACAACAGTCTTACCCTGTACAGCCAGGAGCTGCTCCTCTGTGGTCCAGCGAGAGTTAATCTTGGGGGTGGGCTGAAAGAGAATGTAAATGTATGTCAATATACTGGACTACTGAATCTCATTTGCTCTCAACCTTTCACAGCCAAAATATGCATGTAAATTATGGGATAGATTCATAACTTTGCATATAATGAGGTACTTTCATAAATGTCCATTACTTCCTGATAAACACTATCAGGAAGCTTCAAAGGAAGCAAGTTTTTGTCAGATTATACATAAAATAGTCAAAGATTGTCATAATGGTTGTCATATGATTGTCAATGTTTATCATTTCCCCATTATGGATCATGATATTAATAAATGTATTCATCATACATTTGAAAAAAGACTATAATTTCTATTTGGGGAAAAAAAAAACAAAACCTTATGTGAACGTACCTCAGTTGGTCTCACAGCATCAACGCCATCTGCCAAGCTGTGCTTGAGAACGCTGTTTGCTTGCTTGATGCTTTGAACCTGCAAAAAAATTGAAACGCTACACTGTATATTTACTACTGTAATACTAATAAGGAATATTATTTAGTACATAACATTAATAATATATTTAAAGTAGATGTCAGTGTTAATTACATAAAATGTGATCAGTTTACTTGCTCATGATCTCTTATGAATCAAAGTGTTTGTGTGCACATGCCTGCATTACCTGTCTCTTCAGAGACACTAGCTGAGTGTCCAGCTGTCGGTTGGAGATGGCCCCTGACTCTGTAGAGGCTGAGATAGTAATGATGTCATCCTGGTCCAGGTGCATGCCCTTAGGGGGTCTACGGCGTGCCCTTAGCGGGTGATGCCGGTACTGAGAACCCTGGTTCTCCTTGCGTGTCGGGCCTGATCTCCCAGAGCCCCTGTCACTCCCACCTCCAGGCCCAGAAGACTGCTTGACCTGGACAAGAGAACACATGCTCACTCTTAAAGCACTGAAGGAATTCTCAACATCACTACCCAATGTTTTATAGCTTATTTGGATATCCTATGCTTTTTACAGAATAGCTCTGACAGTTTGGCTAACAACCTAATGTTTCACTTTTCTGGCATGCACTAGACACATTAAGATATTTTTGTAGTGAATGGGTCTTTCCATGAGAAAGTTGAGCACGATTGTCCCAGCCATTCAAATGGCAGCAGAGGGAATTGAATATCCATTCCACAACAGGAGAAAAAGAAGGATTTAGCTCTTGTTCTCAGTTATTTTGGCATGTTTAAATGTTAGTGTTGTACTGGATCCTTACTCTTCTTTGTTAATTATGTATTGCATATTTTTCAGAAGCGGATTGTGTTTATTGTTTACTTAGCAGGATCAGATGAGGTCCCAAGGTAAATCTCTTATAAGCATCAAACGTGCCTGCAAGCTTTTTACTGTTCTACCACATTAGACCTTCATTATGCATTTTTCTGAAGCGTTGTCTCACCTTTCTACATCACAGACTTCACACCTTTCATTCGTACATGCTAGGACTGCACAATTTATTGTTTATCAATATTATGTTATATATTACTTATACTTACTTAGAATATTACTTATTCTAAGTGAAAATAAGCTTGCACATTCTCTACAGAGAACACACTTAAATGTAAACTTTTTTTTGTTGAAAAACTGAGTTTAACGTATTGGGGAAAAATAAAACATGCCAACTTATGCACAAACCACATTATGTTTGGACTTTTTCCTCCCCCAATATGTTAAATTCAGCCAATAAACAGTAATTGTGCACTTGATGATGCACAATGATGTCGGGTTCACTCCTCACCTCTTTCTTTGTGTCGATCTCAAAGTCACTGTCACTTCCATGGTCTCCTTCCTCCATCTCATCATTACTGATAGGAACAAATTGCACTTCAGTATGTGATTTTTCACAAGACTTGCCTTTTCCATTTTTGTGTTTCTCCCTCTCTCTCCACCGCACTCACCTGTCATCCTTCTCTCTCTTGCTGACTAGTTTGCGGGCCTGGCGGTCCATGACGCTGGTGCGAGTCCTCGTCTTCTTCCAGGAGTAATAATACTTCACCAAGCTAGAAATTAATTTATCCGGTAGCTGAGAAATAAGAAGAAAACGCCATCAATACTCATAATCAGAATCTCCATTTTTCAGTGCACTGTGTAGAATCATAATTATCTAAAAGTCTCTCCTGCACTACACAATCTTAAAAAAAGAATCATCTACTGTACTTAAAACATTAATTAAAAGATTTATCACCACTGAAACCATTCAATTAGTTTTGTTGTTTTTTTTTCCATCTGATATCAATTCCTAGAGCCGGGCCGATATGTATTTTAAGGGAATAAATCTGTGATCTTGGCTGATATAATTTTATATTTAAATTTTACACCTTACAACTACCTTTGATTATTCTTTTCATCAGTCTTCATCATAAAAAGGTATTTTGTCCCAACATGTTAGTCTCATGTTAAAGGTTCTAACTATGGTGGTGTTTTGTGTTCGGATTTACCAGTTCAGCCTGCATTGCCATCATTTTTAAACAGAGGGTAACTTATGTTGGGTTCCCCGTTGTAAAAAGCTCTATATGAACCTATATAACTGAACTGAATTGACTTAAACACACTACCTAGAGAAGACTGCAACTGACCAAAACTATAAGGAACTCAAGAATGGGCCGTCAAATTCAATTACTTTTTATTGGTCAATTAAAATTGACCATCTCAAGTAATCACTAGTGGTTAGCTGGCAACTTCAGTAATTATGCATATTTTCAATTCTACTGGTCTCTCTCACAGTAAGAAACAGAGTCAGATTAAACACCCATTTATATGCACCTTTGCTGCATTTGCCACTTTTTCCATGTAGTCTTTGCAAGAGCTTTCTTTTTTTATCTTTACCCAGTGTTTAAGTACAAGCATTTTGGAATTTTTCAAAGGCTCTGCATGGCTTGTTATTATTCAGACAAGTACAATGTTATTTTCTAGCCTTAAAAATGCTGTTAAACTGGAATAACTGTGAAACTAATCATTAGGTTACTCGATTAACTAGTACATTTGATAGTACCAGCCCTATACTCCATAGCAGGCTGCAGGATTCTCTGGCAAGCTGTAAAGCTGCTACTCTGTTGAAGTAGCAGGCAGATGGGAGGACTGCATATTCCTGTTATATAAGCTATTTTCTCTACCTTCTCTCCTTCCCATTCCCACTCTCTCTCCCTACACTTTCACCCCTGCACTCTCATGCATTCACCCTTTCACTCTTACCATCTGCTGGATGCGGTGGAAGCTCTTGCCGTGGAAGCTGAAGGCCTGCTCAAACAGCACCTTGTCCTCCACCGTCCACTCATCTGGGAAAGGTGTGAAGTTGGCCAAATCAGCTAGTGACTTCTCCACGTCGTGCTTGTGCCACAGTAGCATGCCTAGAGACTAAACGGCGATATAAAAAAATAGCTCTTCATTTGTGGCTCTAAGCTATGTAAACCATAATAGTACATTTCTTGCGTAAAGAATCAGGTTTACTGAAACCATCTAATAAAACAAGTCACAATTGTCTACTCCACCTGTTCCATATTGTAGCCATGCTTCTCTTTGGCCAACAGGATGTATTCATCCACTGAGGGGAGAGAATAAACATGTTCAGCATCTGCTGAATTCACTGCAACTATCAAAGACAAACCTACTATCACATTCAAGAGTAATAACCTTTGCAAATAACTTTGATAGGTGAGGAAAAATTGCTGCAGTTGCCATTAATTCATAAGGTGTGAGTTGTGCTGGGTTTCAACTCCTATTAAGCTAGCCATCTGCTCTGTGTTTACACATGTACAGCGTACTATCATTACATGTGAGAACCCCATTTGGGAAAACTGTGTGACAGACTGCTAAGTTTGAGATGGCCCCATAACATAGTACAAATCATGAAGTGCTTTCCCAGTTTTAACAGTATTTAATGAACTTTGGACTACAAAGTGTTACTCCAACTTAGGGGTGGGCAATATGGCGGTATTTATCATGATAAATTATGTGATATAAGGCAACAATCTGGTTTCCTGAGCATATTAGCATGTTGTGGATATCATTAGTACTAAAACACTGACCAACTGAAAGTTTCATTATAAAGGGAGCCTTATTTATTCCTGGCAAGTTGGATTTGCAGCACTTTAAGTGAAACACTGAATGAATATTATACTCATCATTTTTGATAGTTTAGTAAATATGGTACTGTGCAAAAGTCAGAGGCCATTCATTTACAGATATAGATAATCCACTTCTAGAAGGAAGTGGCAAAGGAACATCAAAGGAACATTGAATGTTTTTTTTTCCTTTTCTTTTTTTGGGACAGTGAATGTGTCCTGCTTTTTTTCCCCTGACGTAGAAAAATGAACATGTATTTCAAAAGTGGTTTTGACTAGAAATAAAATCAATGAAATGTGGTCTCTGATTCTGCACAGTACTGTACATATAAAATGCCTTGAAATATCATGCTGTTATATTTTTGCTATATATCACCCACCACTACTCTGAACTTACCATGAGGGAACAAATTTAGACAAATATAACCAAGTTTTCTGAGATGAACAGTTTGACAGTCTCATAACATTTTCTAGGAGTTTTTTTTTTCCCCCCCAGAGAGTGTGACAAACGTTACTTACACATGGCATCAGACACCTGGCTGTTGGGCGACCACACAAGCATACTTCTCTGGTCTTTGTCACTGTAGCGAGACTCGCAGTCTGTCAATACGGAAAACACCACACAGGTATTTCTCTCGCTCTCTCATACACACATGCACCTGCTTTCTCTTTGAACGATGTGGTTTCTCCCCCACAATATACCTTTGAAACCAAGTGCACACATACACTGTGCCAAACAGCCCAACATTTAGAGCTATCTAAAACACAGCAAGTGCTTCAAGCAAACAGAGATGTACTAAACATCTAAATTAGCGGCATTAAGACTTGGGCTTCCAGTGTGCTTAATCATTGTTCTTTCAACAGGCTTCAATACCAACTGATTGTCATCTTTCAAACAATTCACTTAGCTTCTGTTGGTTTGTTTTCATGTTCAAACAGCATTTTAAATCATCTACTTCCATCAACTCTATAGATTTCAACTTGATTTTTAAAAGATTATACTTTATTAAAATACTAATAGTTTGAATACCAGGGTCAAATTATTTGTTTTGTTGATTTTCTAAGTAAAAATAAGTTAACAAGTCCTCTGTAGGGAATAAAGTTGCCAATTTTTCTGCACATTTTTTTTTATTTCTTTGCTAAGGTTAACATATTACAAACAGAAAAAACATTAAACATAAACTTCTGCACAGGCCATATCTATTATACCCCAATATTTAAAATTCATAAACAGTAACTGTGCAGTAAAATGTGCAGTGTGTTCTCTGTAGAGGATGTCCATATTTTCATTCATTTGACCAAGAGGGCCTAAACTTTTGCATGACTAAGTGCCTTGGAGTTTCCAGCATGAGGTTATGCATTTTGAACAGTACGAACATGTGCATTGCAAAGAAAATGTCAGCACAAAGTCTTATGATGCATCACAGGAGATTCATATCTCATATGCTTTGCATCATTAACCCACTAATGTCAGTATCTGAAATGTTAACTTGCCTTTGGATAGACATGATGGCACATTTTCTTTTTTAATACCAATATTAAAACCTAGTTGATAATCCAATATTTTTTTTCTTCTCTTTAAAAACTACTAAAGCGTTTAAATTTGCTCTTTTTTATTGAAACATTTCACTTAAGATGAGCATCTAAAAGTAAGCCATCATGCAAACAACTCAAACAATGCTACTACCCCCCAGGAAGAAATACATAGCCAAGATCATCACACCACACAATGTAAGTGTGCTATTTCAGCATAGATTTGTTACAGAATTGAACGAGATTCATAGTTTTATTTCTCTGATATTTAATCCAGCATTTTCTTATATGCACTCAGTTGAGCTTACAAAAAAACACCTCATGGACCAGGCTTGTAGCCCACTCACTTACATTTAGCAGGCTGACAATTTTCCACAAGGGAGACGAGGTGTCATTAAAGCATAGGCTTCGCATCAATGACACAGTGTGCACATTTTAATTGATAAAACCATAAGGCTAAAAAGTTAGTTACAATCAAAATTCCTTATTAAGTTTAGTTTTTAGGTCACATGGAACTACTTTTTCACAACAAAAAATACAGCAAAAAATCCTACTTTGATTCTGAATTTAAAAAACATGGAAACCACATGTAAACAAAACAATTCAAATGGTTATCATTGAATTTTAATCTAATGCAGTGTTTGCCAATCCTTGTCCTGGGGTACTCTAAGTCATAGGTTCCCCACATGTACCTCAGTGCTTCATATTTTAGGGTTTTCCCTGCTCTACTACACTCACTTCAACTCAAGAGTGGCTTGTTAATGAGGTTAAAAAGGCTAAACTCTGCAGTGCAGGAAGTACTCCAGGGCCAGAGCTGAGAGCCAGCGATCTAAGGTTGAACTATACACATTTTAACACTTTCAACCAATCAGAACAAATTCTGTGGCATTTCCCTTCACAACTAAATTTATTTGTTAGACATGAATGGCTCAAAAAGTCAGAAGAAATTCTGCAACTCTTACACTTTTTGTTCACATTTAGCTTTCCTATTTCTTCACTTTTCCCCTCATGATGTAAAAATTTTTGTGCTAAATTTTCCTCTCTTTAATTCTTCTTGCTATTCTTCCTTACATTTCTCTCACACAAAGTCACATCTGTTCTATTCATTTTAACTTTAATGCACATTAACACCTACACATCTTCCCCATCTCTCAGACCTCACACAGACCATCCATATGGATCTAGAGTTCAGTTTTTCCATGTGCGCTCACAAACACAGACTTACCTGGTTTGTACTCTGGGATTTGTGCCTGGTAGTCTGCGCCAACGCGGATCATGCTGTCTGTTAGAGAGAGATGGAGATGTAAGAACACTATAAGGAGGAGTTCAGTAGTCATACAGAGGGCAGTGGGAGAGAAGTGGGAGGAGGAAAGAGGGAGGAGGGAGTCATGCTAAATGAACACCTACTGTGGGGCAGAATGGCTGTAAATGTGCATCAAGATACAGAAACACTAGAAGATTTAGTGTTGGAGGGTGTCTGTGTTTGTGTATGTGTAGTGCAGTGGTTCCCAAATCTGGTTGTGGAGTACTCTGCAACCCTAAGTGTTAAAGGGAAATCCACTGATTTTTCATATCATTTTTTTCAAAGTCATTCAGAGTGGTTTGATGTGAAACGCTCCACTCTAGACAATGGAATCAAAATTGTTCACAGTGGTAAAACCCAAGTGTTTAATGCCTCAAAAAACTCGTTCATAGAAAGTTTCTACACCAAATGGTTATGAATACATGCCTGATATCTGAAATATTGTTTTGTGATAAGTGAGATTTTTACCTAAAATATCCATTTTAAAATCTATAGTGGAGAAGTACATGCAGGGCGTTATTAGCCAAAACAGTCTCCAAAGAAACTTTAATGTTCACATTTACCTCTACTTCACCCTTATCAACATTATATATAAAAACTTAAAGCACACCGATTCATAGTAAATAAAATAGCTTTTTCTGCATTTAAGAAACCACAACCCCTGGTTCCCATTACCAACACTGTAAAGAAATCTGCATCAGTAAGGGTCTCTAAAATTGAGCAATTCACATCAAAACACTCTGAATGACTTTGTGTACATCTTAACGACTCAATTATGCAGAAATGATGAAAAAAAATTGGTGGAATTCCTCTTTTATTTTTGCACGGAAACACAGAACATTATAAACTCATAATAAATGGACACAATTACAGACACAACATTTACACATACATGCAGCGCAAAGACATCAGTGCACAAACATGACATGCAGAAGACAACATTGTCAAACTTTCACGTTCAGTGGTGGGTGGGATGTGAGATACTGTGAGTTCATATAAAAATGTTAGTTTTTTTCTGCTCTAACACACTTCAACTCAAAAAGGGCTTGTTATTTAGCTGGGAGGACACTAAAATATGCAAGTACTCCAGGGCCAGTTGTGGAAATGGCAGGTAGAGAGAGAGAGAGAACATACCATGTGAGTGTTCCTCGTCACTGCTCTCCTCCTCTGAGTGCTGGCTGTTGCCATTGGTGACTGTTTTGGCTCTGCTGCGGGACAATACTCCTGACCCAGAGCGCTCCATCACTGAGGGCATGGCTGAGAGACAGAATCAACACCGTGAAAATTTTTTTAAGTAAAAGTTTGCATGAAAAGTGTCTACGTTTGGTCCTGAAGGGCCAGAGTCCAGACTTTGGTGACTTCCTTGCTCAAACACACCTATTAAACCATTAGTAACCACCTGATGAGATGAATTGAATGTGTTGGAGCAGAGAAATCACCAAGCTGTCTTGGAGCCTGAGCTGGAGCCCCCTGGGTTGAGTGATGTTACATTTACTGAAAGAAAACACATTTAAACAAATGCTTACTGTAGAAGACTTTTCATTCATATAAGTAATTACTAAAAGTAATGTAACTGTGCTGTAACACTACATTACTCTAATTGACTAATAAAAAAAATCATATACACGATTACTAATCAATTCTATAAAAAAGCCACTTTGACTCATTTCATAATGCAAACATTAGCCTGTCGTTTGGTTTGACATCAGACCTCCAAAAAAATTGCTAAGGAGGGATACAATCAATTTAGAGGGCTCCAGGCCACACAGTTTGAAGACTAGTTCACCCCAAAAATTGACATTTACACAATTTTCCCCTCACCCCAAACAGAGTCGGCCAAGACTAGTCTGATGTGCAAAGTTTGCCTCTGTAGCTTCGCATCGGAGCTACTAAAGCTATCAAGTACTACAAGTGTGAAGTCATTTTGGGTGATACAGACTTCGGTGTACAACTAATGACGCAGACTTCAGACAAACATGTCTTGTCTGAGGGGAAATTTGTGTGAATTTGACTTTTCGGTGAACTATTCCTTCAAGCCCTTCAAATGAATACCAAATGTACAGCAGGTCGACGCTTTTGTATTCAATGAGTTTCGTAACAGAATAAAATGAACCAAGAGCAAACATTTCGGCGTCCTTTCAGGGCCTAATATGAAGGAAAAAGTTTTAAAACGACATCCTACATATCCACTAGGCCCTTCCGCCCGCTGTGGAGCAGATAAAGGCAACGCGGCGGTCGCGATGTTTCACAATAAGCAGGCCTTTGTCTACCGGGGGGCTAACACGCTGACGTTACGCCTTTAAACCACAATATAAGTAAGCTAACGGCACCGACCAGCTGAACTCACTCTCACTCCTTCAGTTTATGATGAACTCCTTTACCAACAACACTACGAGCTCAAAACGAGCGCAGTGAAACACAACTGGAGACAGAACAATGTTGTGAAGTGGGTCGTTGTGGCTCCTCATTGTCATGGGTCAGCCTCCAAACTGCACCGTCTCACTCATAGGACGGGCTCAGAGAGCTTAAACTGCACCACACTGTGACTGGAACTGTACAGGGAATCTGATTAGAATGGGGAGCAATAAAATCAGCTTTTTAACTACTTCATTTGACCAATTCATTCGAGGCGAAAAGTCTGAGGAGTGTTCTTTTCAGGGGTTATTTGCCTAGTCTGATATAGGAAATGGGGAGATTTGCTTTAAGGTGGTGTATCTAAAACGGTATGAGCTAGAAAACAGGTCACCAGCAACGTAAACTAGAAACTATAAACCGGCGACCTCTGTTTGAATCGGGCGACCCTGACAAAGTGTCAACTGCCTGGACGGACGCGTGACGTCACGCTCGGCAGCTCCTCGCTGTTTAAACGGGGCTGTTTTCACTCACGGAGCTGTAACGGTACAACCGTCCGCTACTGTAAACGACACGCCGACGGGTACGCCGCGCTGCAGCCCTGCTCCAGTTTTCACAACTTTATCCCCCTGAATGCAACTCCGTCGGTAACTCTCATCACTCCGAGTCGACTCCATCCTCTCCTCTCTGTTCATTAAACCGACCATTAACTCCAACGAGCGAGCCATCAACTCTTCCAACGAGCGCCTCCTCGGACCGGCGAACGAATAAATAACGAACCGGGCGCTAATTGAAAACTTGGAGAGTGCAGGACAAAAAAAATCACCTTTCTTTTCTCTCGCCTCACTTTTTGGCACTGGCCGTCTCTCAAGTCAGGGCTCTTTTGTGCAAACCCCCGATTTAGGTCCTCCAGCAGCTCCAGTTGTCGGTTGGCTAGTAGCTGTCGCTGAACATTTGTGTTAGTTGCCAACCAGGATAGCAGTTCATTACCTGGCTAGCTGGGCTTCTCTTCTATTAAAACTTAATGAGCGGTAGGTTAGGCTTTTAAAATGACACACAACACTGATAACTGGTAACTAATATCCCAAACAACTATTTAAATCCTCGATGAATAGACACTCGTCTCACTCTCTCGGCTGCATGGAGCTCCTCTCCGTGTGTATATGCCGGGGGAGAGAGGGGGGAGGACGCGCAGCTCCCCTTAGCCGTGGTAACCTTCCGCCGCCTCTCCCCAACTAACTTCGATGTCAGTTATATAGTCCCATATACTGGTGTACATCACACTAACTACATCACGTCTGTCAAAGAAGAGCACATATTTTAGTAATCCACCCGTGTTTGCTCCTACTATTCCACGCAGTTTCTCTGCTATGTTCTCGCCTAAGGCGCGTTAAGAAAGACAGAAGACATCATCCCTGCATTTGAAAGCAGTGTTCGTCATTTTCCAACGTAAAAAGGCTGAAGTGGTTTCATTGTTGGTTCGCTGCTAACAGGTTTTGGACGTATTACAGAGAAATTGAACCCACCTCACCTGCGTGGCTCCCACATTATACCGTGCGGAACTACTTCCCACTGTACGTGCGGATGAACTCGTCAGCTGTGCACTGCGGTGCCGAGGTCCTCCAGACCTATACTAATATATGCAAGAAGAGAAAGGCTGGAGAACTTGCGATTATACTTTTCATTACTGGTCATTTTGACGAGGGAGTCGCCGATTATCTAGTATTCTCATTTTATTCGTCATATTCAATTCAGAACGGGGCAGATCTTAATGTAAACAACATTTCTTTGCCTTGAGGAATTAGTGTGGGGTTGCTGGTGAGCACAAATGCAGCAATCAGACCTACCAGCCTGTTTTATCATCAGCTGATTGTTACGTGCTGAAACTGCCCCCTGCTCTCGTGCCCTAGTCTCACACCCTTCTTACTGCCATACTGGGTGGGTGGGTAGGCCCAGTGGACACATCCATGCACGTTAGTGAACGTTACCATTCTGTTTGCATGGCCCAGCATTTATGGGCAAACAAGAATGTAGGCAGACATAGCAGCACTTGTGGCACAGGACTCCTCCCATGTATATTCTCTGTCTCTCTCCTTCCACCCCCTCCCTCCCTCTCTCCCTCCCCTGCAAGCAACATCTTGTCAGTTCTTACCAGCAAAATCTCCACTCACCTTCTCACCTTATTTAATCCATTTAATGCTCGTCTCTATGTCTCTCTCTCTTCTATGTATTGCTGGTCTTGATCTCTCACTAGACTTCCTCCATCCTCTTCACCTCCGAGTTCCTCTTTTTCCCCTCCCCCCTCTTTCTCTGTGCCTTTCTCTCCTCATCCTGTGCTTCCTCCACTGCAACACCCCCATACACACACCACACACACACACACATACACACTCACTGCTTTCGTTTTCAGTGTTAATTATCGCTGCATGTTGTTTAAGGCCTAAGCGTAGCCCCCAGATCCTAGACCACCTTTTATATATGGACAGACTACATACAGCCTACATATGGCCCAGTGCTCATATAGCTCCACACCAGCCATTGTTCTCGCCACATTGTTGTGGCAGTTCATTATGGAGGCAATCTGAGTGTCTGAGTGAGAGGAATGAACAGTGTGGTCGTGGAGAAGACATGGCCAGCTGATGATTCACTCGGTAAATGGAGTGGAGAAGCGAGTGGGAAAATAATATTAAAGTTGCAGTTCTACGGGAGCTGTCTCCCTCTCTCCCCCCGACCAAACGGAGCTGAACTCCATGACCCCCCTCCTCCTGAAAATGCCATCTCTCCCCGTCGAGCTCCATACAGATCACCCGAAGACAAAAGGGTCGAGGCGGGGCTTACTGACGAGCCATCTGCGGGAGGAGGAGGAGGGGGGGGTGTACTTCAGGGCCCAACGGTGTAAAGCTCTACCAGAGTGGACACATGGGACCCCCAAGTCATGGCTTCCTCGACGTCTTTATGGTCACAGGCGAAGGAGTTGAATTCTGTAGTAGCCTAAAGAAGCCACAGCTAAAACCTGCCTAAACCAAAACGTGAATATATTCAGCTATTCGAAATCTAAATACCTACCTGAGAGTGAAATGAACCAAATGCAACAAACCTGTAGCTTATTGATCGTTTTGTACAGTGAGCGAGGCTGATCGTTCAGTAACTTGAAGTCGCTACTTGTGTGCAGTGCACGCCGTCACTTGTGCCATCTGGTGGACTGAAGAGGGATTGCAGGTGGCCTTTTAAAGACAACCTTTTTTTTACCTTGTTAGTTCACGTCCCTGCACGATTCAGCATATTATACCATATCACAAAATACAGTTTTCCATAATCTTCCATCAAAACTGTAAAGACGTTTCTCTAAAAAGTCATCTGATTTTTGATAACGTCACGGGTTTTAAAGTTAAAAATAAGTGGGTTAACTAGATATTTTGAGTTCACTGCACTTGTAATATTAACAGACGAATCATGTTTTACATTTTTAACTTAATATTACATATTGCTGTCAAAAGCTCAAGTTAACCTGGTTAATTTTTAAGTTTAGAAGATACATAATTTTTACTGTGCAGGACTGTAACAATACACAGGTTTCCAGGGTCAATAAAGCAGTAAGCCATGACGCAAAGCGGAGTGCCTAAAACCTCCTTCCCTGTGATGAAATCGCAGTAACGCACAGCCTCTCCTGGCTTACTGCTTTATTGAACCTGGAAACATTTTTATGGTTACAGTTCAACATAGAATATTATAAAATGCACAATTTTTCAGAAAAATAATTAAAGTTATTATTAATAATAATCGACATGAACAAGAAATGTAGTTCCTTTAGAGTGTGGTATCGTTGCCGAGCAACCATGGACCGCTGAATGAGGAGGACGTTCGGTCGCCCTTCGCTGCTAACACGGCACTGTTTAATGCAAAAACTTTATAAGTACTTTTTGGTCAACAAATTACCACCGCGAGTCTTATTTAGCACCAATCCAGCGGCGCCCTCGTCTCGTGCTGGGGCTGAATCTTAAATGGCCTCCTACATACTATATTAAACACTGGATCCTGCACCCCAACGTGCAAACTATAGCTAAATAATAGTGATTTGGGACTAAGCCACATCCATACTAGATAAATGATGCATTTAGCTGTGGAGGCTAGAATTTCCCCAAGAGCTAGCACACTATTTAGGGAATATGGAGTCGTTTGGGATTCAGCCTGGGTTTGATGCTACTTCTGACTGAAACACGAACGTCTTTAGTGTGTAATCCGTTCAAGTGACATTTTTTAGTTTTTTATACTGCCACTGTTTAAGGTTAATCATACCGTAAGTACGTCTGTGATATTAATGATGGAGTTGTTTAGGCTGTTGGCTTAGCTGACAAGCCTAGTTCTAGTTAAGAACACAAGTCACCAGCGCCCCGGTTTCAACAAAAAACGGGTTCTTACTTCATCAGTATACTCAGTTGTCCATGACATGGCGCAGTGATACACAATTCGACTGCTGTTAGGCGGTCATAAGCGTACCTATATCCTGGATTTTACAACACAGCCAATCAGATTTGAGGACCGGAACTATCCGTTTTATAATAGGATTTTGAACACTTTGAGTGTTAAAACCGTCTTGACTAATTATTAAAAAGGGTCCAAAAGCATTTTACTGTTAATATAAACTTAACTGGTAGAGAGAGTGTTCAGTGTGATGCTCACTCCACCATTTAAGAATCATCTTTGTGCTAACATGGCTGCATCACATAATTGCTGCACATTTGTCAGCTGCACATTCATGAATCTCCCAATCTGCCACACCTCAAACATGTACTACTGGATTCAGATCTGGTGACCAGGAGGTCATTAAAGTACACTGAACTCATATTCATGAAACCAGTTTGAGATGACTTGTGCTTTGTGACGAGGTGCATTATCATGCTGGAAGTAGCCATCAGAAGATTGATAAATTGTGGCTATAAAGAGATGCACATGGTCAGCAACAATGCTCTCACTGTGGCACTCAAATAATGCTTGATTGGTAATAGGGGGCCAACTTGTACCATTATACCACCACCAGCAGCTTGAACTATTGACATAAGGCAGGTTGGGTCCATGGATTCATGCTGTTTAAGCCAATTTCTGAGCCTAGCATTTGAATATCACAGCAGAAATTCTGATTCATCAGACCAGGCAACGTTTTTCCAGTCTTTAACTGTACAGTTTTGGTGAAACTGTGTCCCACTGCAGCCTCAGATTCCTGTTCTTGGGTGACAGGACTGGGATCCGAAGTGGTCTTCTGCTGTTGCAGCCTAGTCACCTCAAGATTTGATGTGTTGTGATTTCAGAGACGCTCTTCTGATCACCAACGTTGTTAAGAGTGGTTATTTGAGTCACCACGGCCGTAGCCTTCCTGTCCGCTTGAACCAGTCTGACCATTCTCCACTGACCTCTCTCATCAACACAGTGTTTCTGTTTGCAGAACTGCTGAGCATTGGATGTGTTTTGTTTTTCACAGCATTCTGTGTAGACTCTAGAGACTGTTGTGTGTGAAAATCCCAGAAGATCAGCAGTTTCCACTCAAACTACCCATCTGACACTACAACTGAACCACGGCTCTATTTAGTCTTTATTCTATTAATGTCTTTTTAATCAGGTCATAAAATATCAGGATGTCTAAAATACCTATTTCAGCTGTTAAGGCTATAAGTATGATATGTAAAACAGTAGGAACAGTACTGAACAGAATAGGACATGTAAATACGGTGAGGTAGATGGTCTGCAAGGTAAAATAATTCTCTATGGAGCACAGGAGGAGAACCGTGTGATGTTTAGATCTCGGGTCATTAACTGTGATAGGATGTCTCCACCAGGCTACCATTGCTGACAGTGGTAGTTCACTGGTTTAATTGTCTGATCCAGTAGCTGTAAGGATGTTTGTGAGCCTGCAGTCAATGGGGTGTCTTTCCACTGCTAAGCCCTTCAGCAAGGCCCCTAGGCTTTAGCTCCTGTAGGAGCACTGTGTGATAGCTTCCCCTCTCTGTATGTTTCTATATATGAGTGTACATCTCTTGGGTGTGAAAAGACACTGCAAAAATTTACACTGCAAAAATACAATTAAAGCAATCGTCACCTTAAAAGGGAATTCCACCAAAATTTCCAAATTTCTTCATAATTCAATGGTTTAGATGTAAACAAGATAATTCAGAGTGGTTTAATGTGAAATTGTAGAGAAGTGCATTGTAGAGAAACATAGCAATTGGGGTTTCTTTATAGTTGTGGTGATAGCAACCAGGTGTTGTAATGTCTACAACACAAATACAGACATTTTATTTCTTATTCAAAACAATCAAAGAACCCACATGTGTCTTCTGAGTTTTTAAATGTAGTGCTGATACTAAAATAGTAAAACAGAAGTAAATCTGAAACAATACTATTTCTATATTTCCAATGCGTTGCATGTGCTTTACTGCCATTCACGGATTTTTGAAATACATTTGAGGACATAACCATATCTCAAAACTATCATAAAACAATGTCTGAAGCATCAGCCTGCAAATTCATAACCGCTTCATGTAATGACTTTCTGTGAGGGAGCTTTTAGAGGTTTAAATGGCTAGTTTTTATCACCACTGTGAACAATTCTGACTCGGCAAGTTTGTCTAGGACATCACATTTCCAATCACTCTGAATGACTTCGTTTACATCCTAAAAATGTAATTATTTAGAAATTTTGAAAAAACTGTGTAATTCCCTTTAAACAAGCACTAATGGAAACTTACCAGGAGAATTTGTCTACTGTCATTAAACCACAAAGATAAGCTTGTCATCGCAGCTTGAGGCAGGTTATTTGGTCATGATCACATATGATGCCGTGAGTCTGATTCTAAAGAATCTGAAATTCTTTTGCATCTTGAACTCCTGAACTAACTAGAACACTGCTAAAAACAGTACCATCGGTGGATATTTGATGAGCACATTGATCCAAAGCATTCCTCAGGATCCACGGGAAAATGGCTCACTGATAACAGCATCACACTTCAGCCGAGGCCATCTCACTTTCTTGAGTTGCATTACACTACAAAACCTACATTGCATACTAAAAGAGATTCCACAAGCTATGATGGGCCTGGATATATTATGCATTGAGAAAATAAAGAATGATGCCTTTCTATGTGCTCACTCACCTCATCTGTGAACAATTCTTACTCAGCAAGTTCGTCCAGTATTTCACATGAAACCACTCTGAATGACTGTGTTTCCATCCTAAAAATTTCATTATTCAGAAATTTTGAAAAATTGATGTTATTCTCTTATTAAACTTATTAAGTCAGAATTGTTCACAGTGAGGGAGAGAATGACTGCAGTATAGTATAGTACAGTAATGTAAAGCTTTAAATAATACATAACTTTCTACAGAAACGATTTGGAAAAAGGTGCACAAGCCGTGCTTCTGAATATGCAGATGATCCTGATGTGTGGCCTCTGGAAATGAAAAGACCTTGATTCTGATACTTTGAATGAGCTCAACAGTTTAAGTTCCAGTTTTTCTCACACATTATCTGTGAAAACAGTCAGATGTGACCATATTTAATTATCGAAACCGTGTTTAAGCCTTTAGCAGGCATCCTCTCACCTGTACAATTCAGTGAGGAAACAAGAAGAGAACTCATGACCCCAAACCCATGTCGTCATTTCCCTAAGACCGCTGTGTGTGTGTGTGTGTGTGTGTGTGTGTGTGTGTGTGTGAGAGAGAGAGAGAGAGAGAGAAGGAGAGAGAGAGATAGAAGGAAAAGGAAGAAAGAGCAGAGCATAATTATCTCCGCTGTTTGGCGCCAATCTGCCAGAGAAAGAAAAGGCCAATAAAGGAGAATGCTGATACCGTGTGTTTGTATTCGGTCGCGGTGTTGAGTTAGCCGGGCTCTCTGTTCGAGCGTAGCTCGTTGTTTTGTTACTGTGGGCTAGTTAGCTTGCTCGTTAGCTAACTAGCATTTTACCATCCTGTGCATCAAAGCCCGTCTCCTCTTCAGACACGGGTTTCTAGCGAGCCAACTTCCTAAGGCAGTTGGTAGCACATAGCCTAAGTTTCTCCAAGGCGGTTGTTTTAAAGTCTGCGAAATGGGGGTGAGTTTTGTTTACGTTTTTGTTGCTAGCTTCTCTTTTCGTGCCGCAGTTTGAACAAAGACTCGCAGCGGAGCGCACCAAGTGCTGATCCGTCCACAGGGAGCGAGTGGAAACATGAGGAGGAGAGCAATGTGGAGGGGTGAAAAGAGAAAGAGAGACAGAGGGATATATATGGCGATGGAGATCCAGTGCTCGTTGGCTAACCACGAACATTTAGGCTTGGTGTAATCCTCAGCATCGATCAGGGATGCCGAGCGTTTTTCTCTTAGTGCGGGACGTTACTCGCTACTGTTCGTCTGGCCGTCAAAGAGCTGATGTCGGCACCGTTTGCGCCATTTCTCACAGACTAACGCTGTAGTGGAGAACAAACCCTCTTGCTAACTGGTCAGACAGAGTAATGATGGCTGTGTGCAGGATTGCACTGCAGACTACTAAATTGTTTATTCCTGTACTTCGTTCGATAGTAGCCTTGGTAATGTAACTCAAGCAAGGCCAGGAATTTAACGTCAGCTAGCAAGTGGCATGGCTGAAAGTAGCAGCAAGAGCTGAACATGTGGGCCGCCATAATGGACACTCCACCGGCCCAACCTGCCCTTATTTTAAATACTATTAGCTACGCATTATTAAGTTTAAGAAGGAGAGACTATATGTAATAGCTTAGAGTCAACTTCTCTTTCATAGTTCCTTTTTTGTCCCTATCTAGTTGTGCGCATCAGTTTCCTGCTCGTTGTAGGCCCATCTTCCCTTAGAAATACTGGAGAAAATGGTAAAACAGTAAATACTGTGTTTCTAAAGATAATATAATGTCATCATGAAACAAAAGCCAGATCACGTGAATCTCTGAATCTGGGTCTGTATTCACAAACCACCTCAGAAGTGAAGTAGGAATGCTAATTTAGAGTCAGTTTTTGTGACCCTTGCCGTAATAAATATGATCTGAGATCAGCCTTTTAACTCTGGCTTTGTGAATATCAGCCCTGGGTGGTATGTTCCTGTCTAAGTAGGCTAAAGAGCATGTCACCTTGACACTACATCCTTTCCCCCCAACTTACAGCAGGCACTGTGCGCCTATATTTGCTCTGCTGCTTGTCGTTGACTTGTTTTTGCTTCTTCTAATATGCGTTACCATGTGATAGATAAAATAAATTGGTCTGGAATCTCTTGCATTGACATGGAAACTAGGAGTTTTACAGGTAGAACATGCACATTTAAGCAGCATTAAAAACAGGGCGTGATGTGTTTTGCCAAGACATTCTTTAATACAGCAAAATATATGAAATTGGATGTTTCTCTTGTGTGGGGCTCATTCAGAATTGATATTTGATAGCCTTCCTTTTCTTTACTTGGTATATCTTCAGAGAAAGTCAAATAGAGCAAAAGAGAAGAAGCAGAGAAGGCTTGAAGAAAGGGCAGCCATGGATGCTGTGTGTGCTAAAGTGGATGCAGCCAATAAGGTTCAAAATTTTCCCTAAATCACCAAAGTTGAAAGTATTTACAGCTGTATTTAGAACTGGAATTGTGTTTTCTTGTCATTTTGATCTTAACGTTTTTTGACCCTGCAGCTTGATGACCCTCTGGCTGCTTTTCCAGTGTTCAAGAAGTACGATAGACGTGGGTAAGTTGTCAGACTGGGGTTTGTCATTTTTCTGAGATGTGTTTTTTAGGCTTTAGGGCTCCCTGACAGTTACAATGTTTTTGTTTTTCCCTGCTGTTCTGTGGCAGGTTAAATCTGGATATTGAGTGCAAGCGGGTGTCCGCACTGTCTCCCATCACTGTGGAGTGGGCCTATGAGCTGACCAGAGCCAACATGCAGACGCTGTAGGTATTAGGCACACAGAGAATTCTTTTTTATTCCTTATTTGCATGCTGCAGTCATGCAGGTGATTCTGTGCACATCTGCAGTACATCACTGATGGATGCTAGTGTTTTAATGCAGGTGTTACACATTTTACATGCAGATATGAACAGAGTGAGTGGGGGTGGAAGGAGCGGGAGAAGAGGGAGGAGATGAAGGACGAGAGGGCGTGGTATCTCCTGGCACGCGATGCTGAATCCACACCTGTTGCTTTCTCTCATTTTCGTTTTGACGTTGAATGCGGTGACGAAGTGTTATATTGGTAAGGTTTTTTGTTTTTGACCCTGTTTACACCTGGTCACTTCATGTGATTAGTATCTGGATATCTGGATCGCTATTAAGCATTTCGTTTCATCTGGTCTCCAACCATGTGCGTCCTCCACTTTTATCCTCCTCACAGACACTGATCACCTGCCTGGTGAAGCAGAGCATGGGGAGGAGTTTCAGTTGTACTGGGAGGGGCTTTGGTTGTTAAATGTGTCTTGAAGAGACGAATGCGTTTCCACGGCTATAACTTGAGGCTCAAATGCATCTCAGACCACCTCCCGAAGTGGTTTGAGCACTAAGTTTCTTATATATTTTAAATGTGTCTTGGGTGCGTTTTCACTTGCATTGTTACGTGGCTTGGCCTTATCCAGATATAATCAAAGTGCTCAAATCACATGAAGTGACCAGGTCTAAACAGTGTCTTTGATATGACTATTAATATACAATTATATTCACTTTACATGTAGAATAGAATATTTTGCTGATGTGGTGTTTTGTTTTTTTTTTTACTTTCAAAATCGGACAACAGTTGTTTGACAGACAGTATGTTCGACTAATACAGTCAGACTTTTCCCTCAGCTATGAAGTCCAGTTGGAGAGCAAGGTCAGACGGAAAGGTTTGGGGAAGTTTCTCATCCAAATTCTACAGCTCATCGCCAACAGGTACAAGGCCCCATATATGACAAGCATTGTTAAACGATAGTATAGTCCCTGAGCTGTGCTTGTTTACTGTTCCTGCACTTTTTGAGTTATTTTTAAAAATGTCCCAAATAATCATACAAAAGTGATCTTCACATAATACTGTTGAGCAATGACTCCACCCTCTTGGAATTGCATAGTATGCTGCAGTTTCATGCAACAGCCAAATTACACAGCTAAATTGATATGATATTCTGGAAATCACAGTCAGAGAGCATGTTAATCAGTTATAACCCCACTCACAAAACTGATAAGCATTATACTTGGCACAGAGATGAAATCATTCTTGAATATGTAAAACTCAGACTAGGTGTAAGCACTGTAGGTTATAGTTTTGCTGCTGTACTGCAGATTCATGTTTCTTGCCATCAGAGTTTACAGTAAAATTAGCAATTAAGTGATTAAAAATGATAGCTTGTATTGTGACCTAATATTATATTGACCTAAGATATTATGCTATTTGTCATTAGTTTCACACCAGATTTAAGACTTTAAGTACCTTCTAACCATATTTGGTAGATCAAGCTAAGGTTTTATTTAGTTTTGTTTTAGTTTCATGGTTAAGTCAATTCTTCTTCTTCTTCTTCTTCTTCTTCTTCTTCTTATTATTATTATTATTATTATTATCATTATCATTATTATTATCATTATCATTATTATTATTATCATTATTATTATTATTATTATCAAAGTATCACAGTCTAGTCCAGTGGTTACCAACCCTGGTCCTAAAGATTTTCCTGCAGAGTCACAATCTGCGACACCTTCTCCAGGTAATTAACTTCAGAAGTAGTTGTTTAGTTGGATCAGTCGCATTACTGTCCAAGATGACAAAAACATTACTTTAGCAGAAGTTATTTTAAGTAATGTAAAATGTTTCCTAATTTTCAATTAACTGAAGCCCTATTTCATGCCAAAAATTGATTTGTGTTAAGCTTGTTCTAGTGAGCAGTTCAGAGAACCCCTCTGGTGCCAGTTTGAACACAGGTTTTTGGGTGTTCAAGGCCAAAATTGTTTTTCCTGATAAACATGCTTCTCATATACTTCTATTGCCAAGGTTTCTGATTTGCTCTGTTTTACTTTCCTTTCTTGCTTCAGTACACAGATGAAGAAGGTCATGCTGACAGTATTCAAACACAACCATGGGGCCTACCAGTTCTTTCGGGAGGCCTTACAGTAAGTTGAAGCTGTTTTGCTTGCCAGTTGCCTCTGTTCTGGTTAACGTTCTATTTGTGTCAACATGCTCTGTACTGCAAAGTACCAGTCTGAAAGATTTTTTTACATCTGTATTGGATGAGCCATGTGGGAGTGATAGCCCTTTTGGGGCAGTCGTGGGCTGGAGGTTTGGAATCCAGCCTTGTGACCGGAAGGTTGACTGTTCGATCCCCTGAGCCGACAGTACGTGACTGAAGTGCCCTTGAGCAAGGCACCTAACCCTCAACTGCTCCCCAGGCACCGTGGATAGGGCTGCCCACTGTTCTGGGCAAGTGTGCTCACTGCCCCCTAGTGTGTGTGCTCACTAGTATGTATGTGGTGTTTCACTGCACGGATGGGTTAAATGTGGAGGTGAAATCTCCCCATTGTGGGACTAATAAGGGTCACTTAATTTTTAGGTTACACTTTGTAATTGTACAATTAGCTGCTTAGTTGTTTCTTGGCAATCTGAGTCATTGTATCAATAATTAATATGAATGAGATCCAACAAAAGGTCTAGAGCTGATTCTAGGTGTGACATTTACATCTGGAGCCTGTTGCCTCTCAACATGGAGTCCAAACAAGTATCAGCAGAAAACAACAGTCATGGATGACTAAGGAATACACATTCATAAAGAAAAGCTGTTAAAAAGAATAAGAAAAAATCAAGGAGGTAGATAAAGATGTCAAAGAGAGAATACACCAACGTGACTTCAGAGGATTTACCAAAAGTTGCAAATCACTTGCAGAGTTCTGGGACAAAGTATTCTGGACAGATGTGAAGAAGATTAATCTGTACCAGAGTGACAGAATAAGGATAGTTTGGAGAAAACAAGGAACAACTTATCCAAAGTAAACCACCATTGGTTACCAGTGAAACTGTCCCACATGTCTTTACTGGTGGTTACTGACATCTGCAGCAGAGTGAATTTTGAACCAAACATTTCAAAACACAGTGTATGGCACTTTATGGAGGAAGTAAAAGACCTGAAACATACTACTAAAACACCCTTTGAATTTTTTAGGGTGACCTTTTTAAAAGGGTAATTTTAAGTGAAATCTGGAAATTCACCCAACCTCAAACCCACTGAGCATACATTGCATTTATTCAAGTCCTTCCTCTGAAGGAAGCAGGAATATTTATAATTTCGAGTTGTAACAAGGTAAATATAACTGGCATGGTTGATGGCAGCAGCATGACTGGTGTGTGCAGCTGTGCGTAACTTAGGAGCTAAACAGCAGGAGAGTTAGCTAGCAAGCTGGCTAACTCTCCTACCATAAAGAGTAAAACAAAATAGTCTCTTGACTGAGTATGTATCATGAATTCTCTTTTTTAAGTGTTTATTTATGGGCAAGGTGCAAACATGTACTGCAAGAACAGTAAGTGTAATTCGTTACTTTCCACCACTGTTAGTTTTACATGGGAGGTGGGTTGAAGTCATTTTTACCTGTGTTTCTCAGTGATTTTGTTTTTTGTCCCGTCTGCATCTGCCATGTCAGTCAGTTTTACACACAGGCTGTGTGCTCCAGCTTCAGGACAGATCCTGACACCTTTTTACTTCTTGTAAAATTAAGTGTAGGTATATACAGATTTTGCTTATTTTTTTAAGTATGGAGGCACTCAAAAAAGCATTTACATGTGTTCTCTGAGGCCTGAGTGAAGGCAGTATGTAAGTCGAGCTATTCCCATCTCTGCAACTTAAACCGTGATTTCTTATCCCTTGCGAATCAGTCATAAAGATTACATCCTGTTGTAAAATTACATTACCCCACCTCCCCATGTCAAACTAATCCCGTTCGAAAAGTACAGGATTGTTAATAGGTCACAGATGTCAGTCAGACATTGATAGATTTATGTAAATTTGTCTGATGACTTACAGTCCTCTAAACAGTGGTTCACAAACTGATCCTCAGTGACCCCTAGACGGTCCACATTCTTTCTCTAGCCCTGTGTTTTGCGAGTTGGGTTGGAGTAAAAATGTGGCCCGTTTGGGGGTCCCTGAGGACTGGTTTGAGAACCACTGTTCTAAAATACAGGGAATATTTCTTAAAAGGCATTTGTTTCTTATGTTTCAAAGAGGCAAAACTGTCAAGACTGAGACAAAACTGTCACTGTGTGGTTATTTAAGAGTGTTTAAGAGTAGGTGTTTCCAATGTCCTGGCAGTGCTAAGGCACCATTTGTGTGTGAATAATCAGTGTCCTTCTCTGCCTCAGATTTGAGATCGACGACACTTCGCCCAGTATGTCTGGTTGCTGTGGAGACGACTGTTCCTATGAGATTCTGAGTCGACGAACAAAATACGGCGAGTCCTCAGGTCACGCGCATGCTGGCAGCCACTGTGGAGGCTGCTGCCATTAGGTGCACCCTTCCTCCTTTGTTACAGAAACACTCCTCATCCTACACTTCAATCAGCAATCACCTCTTTGCCCCAAGTTACCTCCATATAAAACGCCCTTAAGCCTAGTTCAGTCACTCTCTTTGCAAGAGTGCAGGATGCCGGACAAGAGCTTGTCAGAGTGCCTCTGATATTGGGTTGGTGTCAGTCAAGCAAGCGTTTAGGAAAGTGTTCTTTCATGTTATCATGAGCGTTCCCATTTGCTGTCAGATTTTGAGGTGAAAAGTTTTCAGTAGGTTATAGTTTATAAGGTACTTGAGAAAGAAATAAAAAATACATTTTAGATGCGTGATCAAATCATTTCAGATGTTCAGATGTTTTATTTGCATTTAATTCGGATCACGAACCTTGCAAAAAAAGTTTTTATATAATTTAAGTATAAATCAGTCATACCAGAGACTGTTCTAACAGTCAGTTTTGGGTTTGTAAGGCCATGATTGCTTTACTTTTCTACCTCTGTGTTGGCCATGATTTTATTAGTTTTTCTTTGAATCAATGTGAAAAAGTGCAGCATTTGTAAAAGGAGGTGCTCTGTGGAGGCTCTGCGCTCTATAGTGGAGAATGAGAATTTGTATGTCTTTTTAGATACATGATACAAATGGTGCTCCTAAGTCATTCTAAAGATGTATGAATGAGGCGTAGTGAAGTTACGGCTGTGGAGTGATGACTGAACTTGGCCTTAGATTAGATCTCTCAAAGCAGTGGCATCTATGAAGGTTCCTCCTTGCACTTGTTCTTAGTTTTAGCCTGAAATTGGAGGTACAAGAACTGTGTTTCATCTTCTGTTTCATTAAGAACAACAGAGATGGCAGTAAAGGCTACTGTGACAGCTCTGTGTAATGACCTCTTCTCACCTCAGGAACAAGCATGGTAAGTTTGTTCTTAGATCAGCACATCCTGTTCTGATAATCACAACAAGACTCAAGGCTGCACTTTACGCTTTTCAGCCTGCAGGTTGCTGCCTCCCAGGCTGCCGATCTTTTGAGTGAGTTTAAGTGAGCGTCACACTGGTCCTTACTGCCACTTTACTGCTCTTTCAGGGTACTCGTTCATATATTTTAACGAAATGCAAGGAGGTTGCTACACGTATTACTTCAAGAAACTGAATACAATGGCTTTGTATTCTTTATAATCACTCAAACTAGTCTGTCTCAGGTCATTCAACTAAATCAAACCTATAACAAATGTTTTATAATGGCTCTATATAAGGGGTTGGTGTTAAAGGATGATGTTGATGTTCTCTATCTTATCTGAAGAAGGGGTTGATATGTGTGTTGCAATGGACCTTTAGTGTAGAAAAGTATTTTTTTTTTTTCCTTATATTAAGCATCATAGCATTCTTTTATCAAATCATTTCTGTATATCCATATTTTTTTTCTGAGCTGTGTATATAATCTATTTGCCTTGTTCATTTTATTTGCCTTCACAAAAGTCTTTTGGGAGGGGGGAGGGGGCGGGGTGACGGGGTGACGTCGAAAAACTAAAAAGTGACCAGACATTTGAGAAATGAGTATTCCTGTCTTGTGCTCTGTTGTTGGTGCGGAAAGGGAAAAGTCATTTCAGCTTTCAGTGTTTTATTTGAATGCAGCAAATAAAGGAAACTTGTTTGACTCAGAATTACTTCATTTTCATTGCAAATAAAAACAAATATGGACTAGGTGTTCGAGGAGATGTCTTACAGGATGCATATCATTCAAAACTGAAAGTTTCAAAACACGTGGACCATATATGGAAACTAAGCTCAAAAACAGCTCAGTGTTCTGGTGAACAATTTTGTGCGTGTGTGTGTGTGTATATATGTATGTGTATATATTTATATAAAAAATGTGTATGTGTGTGTGTGTGTATGTATACACACATACACATATACTTATCAGAATAGTCAAAAACATTCAGCCTATTATTTTTATATATATATATATATATATATATATATATATATATATATCAGTCTTACAGACAGTTAAAAACAGCCTCTTAAATGCTAAGGAATAAAGAGAGGCTGGAAAAGATAAAAATGAATTAGGTTATTGGTACATAAATCCACATGAAGTAGAAAAATTACCTTTAGAAAAACCCTTTAGAAAGTTCATGGTGTCAGAACTTATTGTCATAAGTATTATGTTGGAAGGTTCATTTCCACTTTAACTATTTATTAGTTTATTTAATTTTTCAACTTAAATACTTGTACTCTTACTCAAAGAGAAAAAGAACAAAAAAAAAACTACATTTTTATTTAGACCTTCAATGTACTCTTTACAAATGTCACAGCTCAGTAATTTTTTCTCTTTTTTATTTTCCTTTTAGCAATCAGACAACTTCACTCGTATTTTTTATTCTTTTTTATTAGAACATCCAGCCAACTTCATGTCAATGCAATATGAAACGGCCCAAACTAGGACCATTACCACCTATTAGTTTCCAAACACCACCACAACAAAGAAAACTTGTCTAAGCATTTACTTCTTGCTTTTACATGAGCATTTTTCAATATAGACACTTTACGACTTTTACTCAACTATATTTTTGGCTCAATATACTTTTCTTTTGGTAAGATTTTGTCACAGTAACCAAACTTCGATTGAAAGGGAATCACATTGATTTATAGGTCATAGGTGTCAGTGGTCTGATGTGTAATGGTAGAGAACGTTTAACACTACTTATGAAACCCAGAAGACACGTGTAGCAATACTGGTCTTCTGGACAGTAAATAAAACGGCTGTGTGTTGTAATTAGACGTAGCGTTAGTGACCTCTGGTTCTTTTCACCTCCACTTTAAAGACATCAGAGTGAGTAGCTAAATATCTCTTCAGTGCATCATATCACACCAAAGAACGATTGAAATATGCAGATATTTTTGAAAAGTCGATGGAATTTCCCTTGAAGTACAGTTTCTCTCCACGACTGTTTTTTCACCTCTGGCGGAACTACAACGTGTCGTCTCTCGTTTAGGGGAATGTAATGAATGTTGCTCCACGGCGGAAAACGCTGGCGCTCCGTAGGAGCTGATTCTGCTGCAGTGACAGTCTCGGCGCTTAATGGCTGATTTTGCACACAATGAAGAAGAACTGGAGGAGCTTATTACACTGTCTGGACTGGTTTGAGGAGGTAAACGGTAACGTTGCGTTAGGACGTGTCGGTGACCGCCAGTTGTTTGTCAGTAGACTCACTGTTAGCACTGTCACAGCTGTGATAGCTCGCACGGCTCCCTCTCTGGAAACCACAAGTTAACCGTTTCTGTTATTCTAGCTGGCTTGGTCGCATATTTAAGTTGAAAATATTGCCGTGTTTATGACATTGAAGCTGGTCGTCATGTCATCATGCTTTGCTTTGGGACGCTCCCAGTAATCCAGAGTCACTCAAAAGAAATCTCTGCGCTCTCTCACCAGCCTCCTCAGTCTCACCAGTCTCATCAGTGTTCTCAGCATTAAGTCAACAGTTCACCCGCAAAAATGAAGCTCAAACTTAAGACTGTGTTCCTGCTCTACTTCATGGTGTCTCTGATGGGGCTCGTCTATGCACTGATGCAGTTAGGTAAGACTGGTACATCTCACTGCACCTGCATCTCACATTTCACTCCATGTTTTAACTACACTTAGGTTTGGCACCCATAAAGGATTTTCCTGGATTGCCCTGGTTTTAGGTTGAATATCCAGGAAAAAAATAATAATTCCATTCCTGGTCAGGAATCCAAGCATTTCCACATGTTGGTATTTCTTATGAACAGCTTTTTTTTATCCACTCACACCATCTGTAAACAAAGAATGGGTTTGATTAGTTCAGATTACCCTCAGTGTAGGGACAAGTGTTTGGGAAATGTGAACTGCTGGTGACATTTTTAGGCACTAGGCAGCTCAGCAACATAACTGAGAAGATTAGGCTCTGTAGCTGAGCTGACACCCACCTTAGAATGCACTGTAAGCATATTGACCCAACCACTGAATTTAGCAAATAATCAAGCCACTGATCGAGTGTCCAGCAGTTTTATTTGGCTGAGGTGGCAACCCTAACTACACTATGTTCCCAGAGTAGGGCTGGGCAGTATGACAGTATTTTATCATATCATGATGAACTGTGCTACAATACTCTTTTCTGAGCCTAATCAGGAGTACTTAAAAACTGACCAGCTGCATGTTTCATTGCGAAGAGAGCAAAATTAGTTATGTTGAATTGTCCTTAGTGCAGCACAATAAAAGGCTGTTTACATCTTGTATGAACATGCTTTTTCGTGATCCAATCATGTTCGGATTTCTCTTGACTGCAAACACACCCAAGACATATTGTGATCATCTCTGATCACTTAAACCACGTTTAGAAGTGGACACAGTTCTTGAACACATTCAACACAAGTGTAAATGAAAGTGTTTTGTACATTTTGTACATACCAGTATGTAAGCAGAAATGCATCTGCCAAGTGCTCTCTAGTAGATGAGAAAATAAATAAGGAACACAAGATGGGAGTTATCCTGAAACCAAGAGCCTTGTTGCACTCTGGGCCAATGAAAGCCAAGCTCATCGATTCGTATGCTAAAAGAGAGAAAATGAAAGCAGAGCTCGTTTAATCTCCAAAGAAAAGCATTGTCAATAGAATGGGATGCTCTGGAACAGCTGCACATGAGCCTAAAATCACCATCCTCAATGCCCAGTCATCGAAAAAGTACAGAGAGACGGTTTTTAAGAAAAAGTATAAGTACTGTATCACAACAGTACTCTATTAAAAGTGAAATTATGGAGTCAAAAAGTAAAAATAAAATGTTTTAACACATTAAAATTGAGTCATGGCATGTTTCTGTTCATTTTTTCTGATGTATATTAACCCTTTTAACAAACTCTGTGTGTGGTACAGAGAATAATGTGTGGTACCCGTCCTTGCACAAACATTAATTAGCATCGTAATGGGCAGATACATTTTAAATGTGAAAAACAAATATTAGACAGAACATTTCATGTGAAGAGTCTCCTGGCCTTTGAGGTTTATAACAAGTACTTTGAAGGTCAACATGAAAATGTAAGGAGTTACAGTATTTATATGTTTTTTGTAAATGTAATTGAGTGAAAGTAATTTTTATTACTTTTGAGTTAAATACAAATCCTCAAAAACAGGAACTGTGTTCTTTTGAGTGATGAAGCACCATCCAACATCTTTCCAACATCCAACAACACTAAAGGTCTTGTGGCTGAATGTAATCAAATCCTCACAGCAAAGTTCCAACATCTAGTGTAAAGCCTTCCCAGAAGGGCAGAGGCTATTACTGCTCTAAAGGTGGGGACCTCCTGTTAATAATGAAGAAATGTTGAGTGAGCAGATGTCTGTAAAGAGACCACCCTTCATTTATTTAATTTACAGTCAACACAGCCATTAAGTACAAATTATTTAGGAGATGTTTCTGAGGAGACTAGATATAAGATAATCCAATTGAAAAATGAAGTGAGAAGAAAGTCTTAAGGACAGTAAGTGGAAAAACTGGAGTTTAAAATATTATCAAGAAAATGGGATGCCTAACAACTGTGAAAGATCTGGTAGACCAACTTTAAAGACTGAACTTTGGAGGTGTGGAAAAATGTCCCTGCAGTCTCCTGAAAGTTGTAATAAAGGCAATATTTAGTTGTTAAGGCTTTTGTTCTGTAATTTTCAGTTATATACACATTGTCATCTCTGACTTTTGCACTGTGCTGTATTGTGTATGTGTATTTCTATGAAATCATTCACAGATTTTGACACTTTTTTTCTAGGTCAGCGCTGTGACTGTAGAGAACATGACTTGCCTAAAGATCGAACCATCTCTCAATTGAGGGGTGAGCTGCACAAGTTACAGGAACAAATGAGAAAGTCAGAACCAACAAAGGCCTCCAAGAAAACTAGTCTGCCTACCATCTATGTAATAACGCCTACCTATGCAAGGTATGAAAGTCTATGTTAAAAAAGGAATTGTTGACATCCGTACAGTGTGGTGATACAATTATTAGTTTTTTCATTTATTTTCTGAACAAACTGTTTTCTTTTTCTGTGTTCATTCCTCTTCCTGTTCCAGACTGGTGCAGAAGGCTGAGCTCACTCGTTTGTCCCAGACTTTTCTGCATGTTCCTCAGCTTCACTGGATCCTGGTGGAGGATGCTCCACACAAGACGCCTTTAGTCAGAGACTTTCTTGCTGCCTCTGGTCTGACTTACACCCACCTCCACATGCTAACCCCTAAAGAGAGGAAACTCCAGGAGGGTGACCCCACCTGGCTGAAGCCTCGAGGAGCTGAGCAGAGGAATGAGGGCCTGCGCTGGCTCAGGGAGATGGCTGCTGCAGCTGGGGGGAAGGGACAGACCGTTGAGAACGCTGTTGTGTATTTTGCTGATGATGACAACACATACAGCCTGCAGCTCTTTGAAGAGGTGAGTGAGTCTAAGTTTGTTCTATCTTCATTTAACTATCATACGGAGGTATATTCTGTGTGACATGCAGATAGACACTCAGCATTCAAGCATTGTTTGATTGCTATTAATGGGTGTGCCAAGAAAACTTTCCCTACACCATTACAGCACCTCCACCAGTCTGGACTATTCACACAGGTTGGGTCCATGCATTCATCCTGTTGGTGCCAATTCTGATCCTACCATCTGTTTGCCTCAGCAGAAATCGAGATTTATCAGACCAGGCAACGTTTTTCTAGTCTAGTCAGCTGTCCAGTTTTGGTAAGCTTGTGCCCAGAGCAGTCTCAGCTGTCTGTTCTTGGCTGACAGAAGTGGAACCCAATGTCGTCTTCTGCTGTTGTACCCCATCCGCCTCAAGGTTCGCTGTGTTGTACGTTCTGAGATGCTTTCTGCCATCACAATCGTACAGAGCGGTTATCTGAGTTACCATAGCCTTTCTGTCAACTTGAACCAGTCTGGTCATTCTTCATTGGCCTCTCTCATCAACAAGACATTTCTGTCCACAGAACTGCCCTTACTGGATGTTTTTTCTTTACTGCACCATTCGGAGTAAACTCTCTAAGGCTGTTGTGTATGAAAATCCCAGGAGATTAGCAATTATAGAAATACTCAGATCAGCCCGTCTGGCACAATCAATTATGCCGTGGTCAAAATCACAGCAATCACATTTTTTCCCCATTCTGATGGTTGATGTGAACATTACCTGAAGCTGCTGACCCATATCTGCATGATACCCACTGCTTCCACACGATTAGTGTACAGGTGTTCCAAATAAAGTGCTTTGAGAGTGTATGTTGTACACCTTTTATGAAATAATTTGTATTTCTGTGTAGCCACTTAAAAATGGTAAAAGTGTTATGTATTTGGCCATTAAACCGAATAAATGTAAAATTTCGATTAAAAAGAGGAAAAGTACTGAATTAACAATGAAACCCAATTCCCCTCAGCTATGGAAATAAATTTGAATACATTAAAACCATAAGGCAGGGCTGAAACTGCTGGCCCATGGGCCAGATGTGAAACAACTTCGTATAGCTTGTCACACGTTGAAATCTGGATCACAAATTGGTTTTTTTTTTTTGTTTTTTTAAACTTAATCCTAAATTTGATGCCTGAAACAGGTCCCAAAAAGCTGAGACAGGAGTATATTCACCACTATGCTACATGGCCTTTCTCCTTTTAACAACACTTTCGTTTATTTAGAGACTGAAGACACCAGATCCAGTTTTGAAAGTGAATTTTTGGCCATCCTTTACTATACAGGTCTTCAGCTCTACAACCGCTCGTTATCGTATTTTGTGCTTCATAATCCACCATTTTCAAGTAGGCCAGAAGGCCAGTCAGACACGCACACTCTAATTACACAGCTAAGCTGTAGTAACACCTGCAGAATGTGACTCTGCTTAGTCATGTTGAAATAAGCATGGATGTCTCTGAAAAAGATCCTGAAGGCAGCATACGTGGTTCCAAAATGTGTATATGTCTTTTAGCGTTATCTTTCACAGATGTGCAAGTTACCCATTCCGTGGGCACATCCCCATACTATAACAGACTCGGCTTTTGAACTTCATTCTGGTTACAATGTAGATGGTCATTTTATTCTTTGGCCCTTCTTTGGCCCGTCCTTGTCTTCTGAAAGGTTGACTTGTCAGACCATGATACACATTTCCACTGTGCATCATTGCATTTCAGAGCTTAAGCTCAAAGTAGTTGGCAATGTTTCTAAACATTGCTGATATATATTACTCAATGCTTTCTTTCCAAATATGAATTTGTCTCAGATGCGATACACTCAGAAGGTCTCCGTTTGGCCAGTGGGACTGGTCGGGGGGATGAAGTTTGAGAGGCCTGTTGTGGAGAACGGGAAAGTAGTTCGGTTCCACACTGGATGGCGTCCCAGTCGCCCCTTTCCGATCGACATGGCTGGCTTTGCTGTCTCCCTAAAACTGGTACTGGACAACCCTGAAGCTCGGTTCGATGGTGATGCGCAGATTGGCTTCCTGGAAAGCAGCTTCCTGCAAAACATGGTTACCATGGAGGAGCTGGAGCCCAAAGCTGACATGTGCAATAAGGTAGGCCCTGGCTGGTCAGTCTGTTGTTTAGTTTACATTGTTTTAGTTTGTAATACTGTGATAAAACTGGTGTAATGTGTATTTAAATTTCTTCTGTTTTGTTTTGTTTTCCCGTCAGGTGCTGGTGTGGCATACTCGCACTGAAAAGCCAAAGATGAAGAGGGAGGAGGCTCTCATAAAGCAGGGTCTAGGATCAGATCCCAACGTGGAGGTGTGAGTCCATCCCCTCCAGAAGCATGCACACATACACACAGATCTTCTTCCAGACTGCTAAAATGAGAATACAACTAAGAGATTTGCCATATTGCCATGTTTAAATAATTCTTCATTGTTAAAACGTTTAGCGCATTTTCAGGTGTACAGTCTCAGAAAAAAGGTAATAAACTGTCAGTGGGGTGGAACCCCTAAGGGTATGTCTTCAGTACTTTTACTTTGGGAACTATAAAAAAAAAAGTCCCATATAAATGGAAATTATTTTTTATGTTGCATTATCTCCACTCTGTCTTGACTCAGGCTTTTATTTTATTATTCTGGAAAATGTTAGGTTATGAAAAGGTATGTACCTTTTATGTATGTTAGGTTATGAAATGTATGTTAGGTTATGAAAAGGTATGTACCTTTCCCCTGGGAAGAGGAATGTAGGGAACCTTTAAAACTCATTTAAGATACATAATAGGACCTTAAGACCATTGTTGTACCTACATGTAGGCAACATTTACTTTCTTTGAAAACAAATGTACCCACAGTACCCTTTTTCTGACAGTGTTTAGTGAAATTAGAAAACAACATTAAGTCCTTAATCTTATTGACTAAGATCATTTTAGTCCTAGAGTGTCAGAAATACTATGGACCACCACATTGGTCTGAAATGTCAGTCTTGTTGTGTTTGCAACAATCAGTATTGATGAATAATGAAGCGACTCCTGAATCAAACTGAATGTACCTTTTATGATTTAATTACATCTGAAATGGTCTTAAAAGACTTGAAGACAGTAAACAATGAGCTCTGATCTAGTATTATGACAAGTACTATGTTTCATACATGTTTCCCCTGCCGCAAACACACTGGACTGAATATGAATGGAAGAATGGTACCCTACTGAAAATCTGACACACTACAGTGCAAAAATAAATCTATGCATTATAAACATAGTGTATGTAATACAATATTAAATTTACATAATCTTTAGAGGAAGGCATGAAAAAAGGGAAATAACATACAAAAATAATGTGACATAAGATGCGTGTTGTATACTTATTGTAACTGAGATTGCATTTCAGTTGTATATACTGTAGACTGGTGTTATTTATATCTGAAAAGAACAGTAAATGTTTACAAGTGTGAAGTTTTATAGTGTAGTCTCAGTTTGTGTGATCAGGAGTTCTGCAATGATATCTGGATCTAGATTTGATTTTTGTCATTATGTCACTGTGGAACTAAATGGAGCAAGTGCACAGGAGAAGAAGGCCTGGTCCATGCCATGAAATTTCACCACATTTTTTTTATACATGTGTCTTTTCCCTGATGTGGCAGCGTTCTTTCCTGTTGGCTGTATATCATGAATATTGTATGTGTTGGGTTATTATGATTGGTTGTATGTATTTATAGGTCAGTGTGTGTATGAATGCAGTTTCATATATATTTATCTTCCATAACACTCTGTACTCTGTAGAATATAAGTAGCTGTCTGTATGTGCCTCATGCCTTTATATGTTTGTCTTGTACTTCATATTGGTATTGTTACATCCACCTGTTGGTGTGATGTTATAGAATTCTTTGAAAAATGCCTTAGAATAAAAGAGATGTTTTACACAAGCGTCAGTATTCTGTTTTCTAGACTACTGTGACGTAGAGTGTCTTTTGTCAGTGCTCTCTGTTAGTCATTGTGTACAGCAATTCTAAAGCTTAGTATATCATAGGCCTTGGGGGAACAAGTAATGACTAACATTTCCTAAGGCTTTCAATAGAGGGAAAATCTCATTGAGAATGGCAGTTGTTTAAAAAAAATGTTAAACCATATGAAGCAGGTAGAAGAGTTGATTTATTCTGTGAAATCAAGTGCACATCCTCCTCACAGTTGTATACATGTGTATATACACACACACACACACACACACACACACACACACACACACACACACACACACACACAAATGCTCTGCTGACTCAGTAACTGCAGAGTTCCAAACGTCCTTTGGCTTTAACATCAACACAAGAACTGTCTGCCGGAAGCTTCATGGCATGGGTTTCCATAGCCAAGCAGCTGCATGCAGACTTTACATCACCAACCACAATGCCAAGCAGCGGATGGAGTGGTGTAAAGCATCCCATCAAACACCTTGGGAATGAACTAATGTGTGTGTGTGTTTATAGCATCCTAGAACAGTGTGAATGAAGAGGGAACATTATTAAATCTCCCAGAGGTCATAGAACATCAAAAATGTTTGGGGTGCTTGTGTTTTCTGTATTTCCATCTGTATTACCCAACAGAACGTCTGGTCTTTAGTTGTTATTTTTTGACTGACATATCCTTCTGTTAGTTGAACTCATCATGGCCTTGTATGGACTGCCGGTGCTCACTTATTCATCAGCACTGGATCACTATAGCGGTGTTGCTAGGTGAGTTATGGCCCAGTTGACCACAGGAAATAAGGAACACAGGCAACACACCCATCTTAATGACTCATAACCACATCTCAACCTCCATATGTGCTGATCTCCTCACAGCCACACACACAGTAGCACACGTACTGACATGCACAGCTGCAAAACAGCTGCTTCTGTTGCTCACACAAATACTGCCTGATGATCCTTGGTTGGTAAAGGCTGAGGGGGGTGGAAGAACACTTAGAAACTGCTATGAGTCTTTTGCATGCAAGATTACTCATAGGAACAGTATCATGGACTGGCCTGTTGATACCATTCACTCTTTGTTTGTTGTATGGCACACCTACCATTTCCGGGGATAAAGCACATTCCTTCCATTTGCCACTCCATCTCTAACTCTCTAATTGGCTCATTTAATGAAGATACATGTTTTGCATTCATTTTCAGAGGTTTGGGGATCAGAGGGAGGAGTCAATTTATGTGCAAGAGACCAAGAGATGGCTTCCAGTATATAAAAAGAATAGTATGGTGAAAAATTAACACCACCACCCCCCCACCTTAAATGTACTTAATCAGCCAAGGCATGTTTGTTGTACAATGTTTGCTTTGGTTTACAAAGCTTCTTTAATTACAAGGCTATTGTTGCTAACAGTTAAAATTGAGTTAAGTAGACAGCAGTGCATTGTGTACCTAGAAATGGCAGTGGCAGCAATGTAAAGCTTGAATTTTATCCATACTTTTGTCCATTTTTATACATAAAAGACTGTGATGGTGTAGCCATGCAGTTTGTACAATGGCTCAATGGAAACTGCAGTGGTGAACCATAACAAGTAGAGTTAGGCCTTCATTTTGGCCCATAAATGTCAGAAATGAAAAAGCCCACCTCTTTGTTAATGCTAATTTCTGCTAGTGCCCGTATGGGATTTTGAATTGTATCTTAGCACTAAGCTAACAATGCTGGTGCACACAAACAGTTTTGATGTTTCTAGAATAAACACAAGCTTTTAAACATTTTAAAGTTTGTAAAAGATATTCCATGTTTCTATTTGAGGCTTGTAACAGACATTAACATATTTTACCTTAATATTGCAGTTTTAAAGTAAACTTCAGTAAAGACCCCTGGCATAGAGCTCCCACTGTTGTCCATTTCTAACATCTGACTGAAACCTGTTTAGGCTCACTTTTTGCACTCAGTGAGGTATCTAGGACTTACTAAAAGGCCGAAAGTGACATTTTTTGTTTTATTTTCTCAAAATTAAGTATCTTGGTAGTTAGTCTAATGTGTAAGGCCTTCTGTCCAGCTCCTGAAGGCCTAACCAATGGGAGAGCTAACTTAGCTGTATCCTGAATAGAAAAAAAAAGTTCCATCGAGCATTTTCAGATGTTTTGTTTCTAGATAAAGCTGTTTTGTTTCCAGCTAAAATGTAACAATGAAATAACAGTTTAAATACAACAAGCATGATGATTCTTTAATTAATTCTAGTTAAATTGAACTAAAACTACACAAAAATGTACCAAAATTAGTTTGGTTACTAGACATTGTTATTATTCTCTGAAGGCTCTTCCAAGCTGGCTAATTGGTGGCTTTCATTACTTGCTAGCAAGATTAGCCTCCTAGCTCAACTGCAAAGCGAACAAAACTTCAGACCCTAAACTTCAGATCCTTAACATGTCTTGGCTGATCCACTACCTTTGAGTTAAGGGTCAGATTTTTCCCCATTCAAACTTCCTTCCAAAATTCCTTTAAGAATCAAAGTACGTCTCCTTGTTTCTCTCTTTCTCTCTCTCTCCAGCTTTTGGGAATATATCTTTTGTGAAAACATTTAACCAGAGCAAGCATGCAACTATGTTTTGTGTGTTATGTGTACTCAAATAACCGTCTCCTGCTTTGGGTCACGAGTTGTCATTAATAGTGGCGCAACGAAGAGGCTTTTGTGGTGGAAACACTTGATGGTGCAACGTGGTCCTACCCAAAACTTGTTGACATTCTAAGAACTGGGACATCCACGAAAGCCATCGCCTCGCTGAGTATAGTAAGTTCATACTGTCTAAATGTTTCTCTAACAACATTCCTGAGTCAGGGTACTGCAAGCTTATTGTCAGTGTGTGCTTACAGTTTTTGTTTTCTACAGACGCATGGATGGTGTCTGAATTCTGAAAGATTGGTTAGTCGGGGTGGGCAATATGACAATGTATTGTTATTGTGAGAGCATAATTAGTCCTGTTTAACTGGATGTAGTGCAGCACAATACCCTGTCAGAAAAAAGGGTACAGTCCAAGTAATTTTACACCTCTAATGTACAACATGTAACCTTGAAAGTACAACATGGCCCTAAAAGGGGATTTCCACCAGTATAAGAAAAAAATAGTATAATTTAATGGTTAAGATGTAAGAGTCATTTAGAAAGGTTTGATGCAAAATGCTTTGTTCTAGGGAAACTTCCTGAGTCAGAATTCTTCTCAGCAGTGGTGACAGGAACCAGACATCTGTAAACATTTAACACTTCTAAAAGCTACCTCACAGAAGGTTATTACATGAAGTGATTACAAAAATCCACCACATTGTTTTACTGGAATATAGTTTAGAATATAGTTTTTAAAATCCATTCATGGTGGATATGTGCAGGGTGTTGTATGGCAAATTAGTACCCAAAGAAAACAATTTTTTTTTCAGATTTACTGCTATTTTACTATCATCAGCATTACATCCGGTATAAAAACTCTAAAGACATGTACGTTATTCAGGATAGTAAGTAAAATATCACCACCACTGTAAAGAAAGTCTGTAAGCTTCTCTACAATGAACCAGTGAACCACTCTGAACCTGACTTTGACTCTGACTTTGTTTACATCTCAACAGCTAAATTATGCTATAATATAAATAAAGTAATAAATAAATAAATAAAGGTGGAATTACTCTTAATGGACCAATATTTGTACCTTTTCATAACTTAATTTTTTAAAAATGAAAATAAAAAACCAGGAGTCAAGATAAATTAGTCAGTGCAACTCACAGGAAAAATATAATGGAATATGCTGCAGTTACGTTCCCTAATGAAAGGTTCTGAAGATGTACCCTTAGAGTACCACCCCAGTCATATCATGTATATCAATATCTTCAAGTATTGTGATATTGTATTGTATGTGTTGTATATTTTGTAACTGCACTGTGTTAATACTAACATTTTGTCTTGTTAGGTAATTCACCAAGAGAGAGAGACAGTGATTGGTGGGGGTGAGAGCACCCGCGAGTGTCTTACCCCATCTAACGAAGACTTGGTCAAAGCAGTTGCAGCTTCTTGCACGTTATAAGTAAAATAGACATTCTACATAAACAATTGCTGATTCATCATTACAAATAGAAACTATTATAATGCAGACTTGAATTGATTCAGGAACAAAGTGTCATTGGTGAGATTCATGTCAGCAAGAGTCACTCTCCGTCAGGCCTTTCACCCCGCTGTACTATGTTGACAATACTCAGTTCCAGCACCTGTACCATCGGCTACCACCATGTCTGGTAGAATAGATTGGAGATGGGCATAAACAAGTCCTTATCTCTTGTCACAGTGTCCTCTTTAAGCAACATGCCACAAGCCTCACAGAGACACAAAAGCCAAAGAACTCTATTCCTAAGTGTAGGAAGTATATTTGTAAGAAAAATATTCTATATTAAAAAAATCCACATTTGATTACAGGAGATAATCTACATCTACATTAAGTTTTTTTTCTTATCTAGATGGAAAGAGAGGGAGAGAGAGTGATTGTGTTTGTTTTAGTGACGACAGGTTCAGGCAGAGTCCATGACGACAGTGTGTGAGTGTGTATGAGGTGAGCTGAGGGTGGACGGGGCTCAGAGAGCAAAAGCTGAGCCTACAGACGCGCACGCAGGTGAGCCACTTCTCTACTCTAACACTTAACACAACTAAACCATTAACAGATATTAATGACAATTGTGGTTGAATTTACATTGGTAATACTGTATGTTCTCTATTATACTCCAATATTCCAGATCTTTTATTTTTTTAGAACAAGATGTTTTCAAACTGAAGTAGAACAATGAATCTGAATTCAATGAATCACAATTTGACTTATGATCGCAGGATTCAACATGAAATTAGTGTAAAATCAGGGCTTTAACTATGTCTTTAACTTCAGACTTATAGGCCTGCAGCAAGTAATAAGTGGCAAATAGCTAGACAGCAGTTTAAATATTAACAGTTCAGTTATTTGAACAATGTCACAGATCAATGTGCAGGTGAAATATCATGTATCAAATGCATAGCAAAGCTGTTACCATATTGTGGCCATCATAACAATCATATATTCATATCTTTACAGGAGAACTTTGAAATACGTTAATGTAATGAAATCTTACATTAATTTAACACCATTTTGCCTTAATGTAACAACATTTCTATTGGTCCATTTGTCATGAAAGGGCAACACATATTTGGATGTGGTGTACAGCACAGAAATATATGACAAATGTATATTCAAAGTTGTATCTATATATGTCTAAAGGTATGTTTTCTTAAAAAATGAACATATATTGAAGAGAATTCAATTCAATAGATTTTGAAAGAAAACTGCATTGAAAACATTTTATCCATTCAATTCTGTAGTATAAATACAAGTACAGTTCCTTACATCTTGTATTTTGTATTTACTTCAATCGTGTGCTTTCCTTGAATCATTACTGTTTAAATATATATCTGTATTTTAGCATATATTAGAACATTCAGCATTTGCATATATTTGAGTGATATACATTTGTACAAACATTTGTGTGACAGGTTTATTTAGTATTTTGCATATATTTCAAATATATTTTAGAAATAGATATTGTTTCTGCATATGGGGAAAAAACAAGTTACAATGTTTTGATATGACAGTATACACAAATTTGCAGCACAATCTTAGATGTGATCTAAATTGATTGGCCACATGGAGAGGACAGTTTTACACGCTGTATATTTACACGTGTCAGTACAATACAGATGTGCAGATGGGACATTACAACGTTGTCAGTGCTGTTCAAAGTACTGTGTGACATTTTTATTTCGGAGTGACACGCTGTCCTGGCACCGGCTGCAGTTCCAGCACAACCAGGCAGAGTCAAAGTCAAAGTGAAGCTGGAGCTTGTCTTATCAGTCAGCACAGGAGACACGCTGATACTGATAGAGAGATGCAGAGACTTGGCGATACGTCAAACAAACACGCATGCATGTACTGTACTTTGGACAGTTTGAGTGTGATGAGGTGACAGATAAACACACAAAGCAGAAGAGAATGAGAGATATGCACCCTCAGCCCTTACAGTGCTCTGAACATCTCTGACGTAAGACTCATCACCAGTTTGACTTTTTAGAATTCCTAATTTTTTTTCTTAATTTTCTTCTTTTCTTCCACATCTTGAAAGTCAAAACAGGTTTCAGTTTAAGCTGAATTGTGCAATTCAGTACCTCAAAGCTCTTCCTGAGAGCACCTAGCACAAAGTATCTTATAGCACACTTATTAAAGGGCCCATATGCTATCATTTTCATGAGGTTAGCTTATAAAGTTTGTGTGGTTTTGTGTACCAAAAACAGTGATTATTAATTTTTACATGATGATTTTCCAATCTCTCTTAATCCTTTAGAATTAAACTGGTTACTTTTTGTTACTGCACATTTATGACTGATATATGTAAATGTGCTCTGTTCAGCACTCCTTATAACTTCAGCGTAAATAGGCAGAGCAAAACTGCTGTAGGCTGAATTGGTGGAGATATGTAAATGTTTTGATTTTAATGACATCACAATAACAGTGAATTCAAAAAGGCTGTTTTTGCAGCCTTGTTTTGGACTGTATTGAGTGCTGAGTGAAAGCTTTGTTTTGAATCATTAATAGTATTTGTACAATACATCAAACTCCTATTTAAGAAAAGTGAAGAAGTTTGGTTTTCCATGATATAGACCCTTTAATATTACACATAAATAGCATCAGTGCCTTCTTTGACTGTCTACTATTCAGTTAAATTTGATATATTTGTCTTTTTTTTCTGAGGGTATTTTACTTCACTGTATTTTCATTTATCTATCTGTATTGGTAACTTTGTTACTTTGTAAAATTGTTTTAAAAAGGGGCTACATTAATACATTATTCATAATTTATAAATTATTCTTCTTACAATCTTCTTATAATTATTATCTTCTTCCTGCTTTTCTCCTCCCTCAGTCCTCAAGACAGAAAACCTCAAGACCATGACGATTGGCAAGAGCTCCAAGAAGAACAAGGCTCCTCGCTCTCCTCCTTTTTTGGACCGGGCCAGTGGATTCTATGGACGTTTAGATGAAACGGAAGCTGAGTTGGGGAAGGAGGCGGAGACCAGAGGGAAAGAGCCAGCAACAAAGACCACAGTGGGAGAAAGGAGCAGCGTGGAGGGAGTCACAGATGAACAAGAGCATAGCATTTTTGACTTCAACCAGGGCATGATGGAAGACGACGGGGCCACACTGCTGCAGAGAAAGCCCAGCCGCCTGAGTCGCCGCTGGAGCAGAAAAAGCTCCAGGAGGACCAAGGCTGAGCAAAACTGCCTGGAGAGGGAGAGCCAAAGCAAAGGAACTGAGACTGAGAGAGCTTCTGCTGTGGATCAGAACCCGGACGTGCAGTCTGAAACCAAAGCTGAAGCAGGATCCACCAGCAGAGCTCCAGAACCAATGCTGGTCCACTTCTCCATCAGAGAGGAAGCTGATGATCAGGCGCTCATCTCAGAAAGAAAGGAGAAACAGAGGGAGATGGAGGAGAAGAAGAGAGGAGAGATGGAGGGGAAAACAGGCGGAGAAAATATGAAGGTCATGAAAAGGAGCACACTCAGGAGTTATCGCAAGGTGAGATAACATGAGCTTATGACTTGGAAGATAACAAAGGGTTTGGCTCCTTAAACTCATACCACACATTCTTGAGTGGCCTGTTCCTGGTTATATAATTAATAATTCAACCTGATTAGTACAAAATGACCCACTACTTATATACTGTATTTGAAATATCAAATTAAATACAGATAGTGTAGAGAACTTAACATGGCATGTATTTATTTGTACTCAATCTTGGCATAAGAAGAATTGTCAAAGAAAGCTTATCCAACTTCAAGCACACGTTGCCCTTGAACAGGTACATCTGTAGTTGCAGTTTAACTTCCTGGTGATGTAATCCATTCATAATGAGGAGCTTTTATGGAGGCAAAAGTTCCTTTGCAAGTTCCAAATGCAGCTAAAAATAGGTCCATTAATAACTATAGCTAAATACCTTTGCTAGCTTTAGCTGTAGGCCTTTTCCTGCTGTTAAATGTGATCACACCGTTTTTTCTGGTTGCTTCTTATTTTTCCATGCTTCCCCTCACACTCGTCCCTTCATGTTGACCCCCCTCTGCCAACTCTCTTCCACCCCTTGTTTCACTGGGCATTCCCAGGGGGGTTGATTCCACTTCCCAGCCTTTTAATCAGTCTCTATGTTTACAGGGTATACATAAAGAGGAAAGGGAGGAGACTGCCATAAGGAGATAATCTCTCTCTTAAAATTTTGTTCATGTTGAGCAACCTTGACTCAAGGGCTTTACTTTCCTGAAAACTGTTAACCCCTTCATGTTCAACAGCTACATTTAGTAGAATAAGGAAAAGCACCACAGAATGTGTTCTGATTGGTCTAAAGTGATGAAATATAGTATAGCTATATTGTACAGTAAAATAGCTTTTTACTGCATGTAATTTTCATACTTTTATTCATAATCAAATTTGGATTTTCTATTGATTTGTTTAAAAGTAGTCCAATTTGACCAAAGGACTGAATTAAACTTAACTTTTTAGCTATATATTTGATCAACTTGAACAGTTTCTTCAGTTTTGTGCTGATATAAGCTCAGGAAACATCAAAGGGATCAAAGGAAATGTAACATTTCAGATATGGACATTAATGAATCAATTGAGCCTCTCTTTGCTTTAGCAGCATTTAATTTCATCTTATGGAGTTTCCAGTGTGCCTTTCTATTGCATTCGAACATCAGAAAAGTCAGCAAACCATCTGTAGTTCTTTTGCAGAAAAGTTTTGATCCATATTCTGCTATATATAGTATAGTGTATACTGTATATACAGTTCTGTGCCAAAGTTTTAGGCACCTGAGAAAAAGCTATTTGATTAAGCAGTAAGAGCAGTAAAAACACAATAAATACAAATAACATTAATACAATACATAGTGATTTTATGTGTCAGTGTTTTGTTTAACCATTTCTAAACCTCTCCTCTTAGCAGCCCAGTATTAATTGTAACAAATGTATGCACTGACTGGGGCACCCAGGAGAAACCTGGAACCAAAATTTTGTTCTTTTTGTTCAAAAGACCAACTACCTTTTAGAAAAAAAGAAATTCTTGTTGCTTTTTACTGCATTAATGTATGTTTGCATTTATTCTAATAATTTTTGGTGGATGGATGAAGTAGATAAATTAGTTGCTGATTAATTATGCAGCAACCGATAAGCTACAGTCAGAAACTGTATACGTACAATGTGCACCTATATGGCACATGTAGAAGGTGGTGTTTCCAATAAACTGGCAATCCAGTGCATGCTGTGTATACTGTCTAATCTACATACAATAAGTGGTTTATTTGGACTGCAGCCTGATTGCTACATATCTAATAGAACTCATTTCTCTTGCAGGCCTTTGACAGAGCGCTCCGTAGAGGCTGGGAGACCTTTGTTGCGAACCTGTACAGCGTGACCCTCACACCCATCTCCTCCTCCTCATCCTCACAGACCACATCCACAATGAACAAAAACATTGCTCTGGCAGAGTACAGATAATATAGAATCAGAAACTGCTTTGTTTTGCAAATGACATCTACATTTTAGTAATTAATTGACTGAAAATGTGTTCCAATATAATATTTATTATAATATTTTGGGACAAACTGTATTTTTATTTGAGTTGTTTATATATTCCCTGTTACGTAATCCAGGTTTATTACTATTAATCATAAAACTGTACAGCATTTACAGTCTGCTGTATAGCTCAGGGTTTATAGTTGCACTAATGGAAACATGTATCTTATGTCCACTGTATAATTTATACCGATCTGTTATTTTTACGGTCCTATACTGTGTAAAATTCAGAGTTCAGTGCTGATCTTGTTTTAGGACGGTTTGCATTGCGGAGCCTGAGAAAGCAAGGTTAAAATGCTTACTTTTGAATACTTGGCTTTTGCCTTACATGTAGTGCTGACTGGGGGCAAAATGAACTAACACACTGTTCCTGCCTACATAAACACAAGGCCTTTGGCCTAGAGAACATGTACCCCCTCACACCACCTACTGGAGCGTTTTAGGACTTCTTCCAAATGTTATGAAACAGAAGAGCTGGGAACAGAATAATGGAGACAGAGGGCTTTGGCTTTTCTGAAATCTCCAACACTGGGAGCTCAACTTAACTTTTTTTTTCAGAACCCTCTTCATTACATTAATTAGTATCTTTTTGGCCATGAAGTGTATGACTGAGCCAGCTGATTGAGCTATCTGTATTGATCACAAAATATGTGTAAAGAATTAATACATCTTAAGAAAATAGTTTCTGATCAAAAGCATAGGTGGTCAAGAGTTCTACGTAAGGGTCTGTTTGTTTATTTTTTCTTTCAATTTTAAGAATTAGGAAAAGGCAATGGAAACTTTTTTTATAATTATTTTTATTATTTTAATGTGTCAATTCAAAGTTTCCTTTTCAACATAATATCATTCTTTCCAAGTTGTGTAATAAAGAGAAATGAAACATGAGACATTACAATCAATATTTGCAAGATCATTTTTTGAATGCATGTAAATAAAACAACCCTAAGTATATTTTATTAAAATAACCTAGATCTATATTTTGTTATTTAGATATTTAGATACATGCGCCATCTTGGTTCACCTCATGTATCATAAGAGACGGTGTGAAATTCTGGGCAAGTGATTAGAAACTTGATGATACATGAGGTAAACCAAGATGGCGCATGCCTATTCAAGTGAATGGGGCGAAAAGGGGTTCAGTTCCGTGGCTGGAAACCAGGAAACAAGTTCTCTGGTAAGATCAGGACGAGGATGTGAGATTGGGCACCACACCAGTTTAAGGGGAGCCTTTCCCCCTCCTGTTTCCCCAGTTCTGTCAAAAACATGACAGCAAAACGCCAGAGGGCGCCCGCGAGCAAGTCCTCAATGAATGGGGTGAACTGAGCTAAATGGCTAAAAACGAAAAGTTTAAAAAATTTAAATAGTTTCTAATCACTTGCCCAGAACTTTCCATTAATTTTAAAAAGTAGAAGTTTGTATTCCTCTAAAAAGCAAAAAAAAAAAAAAAAAAAACAAAAAAAAAAACTTTTCTGCATGTTTCTTTTTTTACCACAGCAAACGGTTTCGGGCCACAGGACGCTACAATTACTGCTTCTGAGTGTTGATTGTTTGGCGAGCGGAGCAGCTCATTGGCTGTTCGCGCTCACTGACGTCATGTACATACACGAGGCGCAGTTTTGATTAAGCCGTAGAACAGCAGAGGGGTGTTTTAATGTTAGCGATTCCTTCCGCCAAATTATAGTTCCTTACCAAGCAGCTCTTTGCTACGTCTGAGTAACGAGCTCCGCTCACTCGCTGCACAACCAGCAGTTCGTTCTCCAGCTCCACACAGACCAACTGACCGTTTCAGAATTTAGTGTAGTCTCATCTTCAGAGTCTGACCAAATCGGCTGTCGGTCAAATGTGATCTTAAAAGTATCCATTTTCTGTTTGTGCGCAAAGTAAGAACGTCCAAATAGCTTGAACGTCTCCTAGCAAAGTCATTGCTTAGCAACGGCGTCTCAGCGGAGTGATACAGTGTTTGTGAAAAACCCGCCATGTTATGACGAAATAACAGCGCCGTTAGAGCACTTCTCAACCAATCAGCTTGCGTGGCCGGAACTAACTGTTTTATAAACTCCTATAACTCGAGTTCAAAAGCGCTGACAAATATAACAGCGGTGTTAAAATGTTTTATGCTGTTCTGTGTTCAAAAAATGAATGTACTATTTGTATTAAAATGTTTAAGCGTTTATAAACTATGGTTTTGCTCAAACGCTTCATCTCAACCCATTCATTTTGGACTCGCTCGGGAGCGCCCTCCACGTCTGAGAAACCCGGAAGACGTGACAGAGCGGAGGCAGTCTGTGCAACAGGACCCATAAGAGGAGCGCCATCTGGTGGGAAGACACTGAAACGATGAGAGGAAGTCTTAGAGGAAGTGACATTTCAGGTAGTGCCTCAGCTTAAAAACATAGCAATGTTTTTTTACTTTTATTTAGTTTTTAAAGATGAATCAGCATTTTTAAGCACTCTGTAGTGCTTATTTTATTTTATTACTAATATATTACAATACAGTAAGCTAGGCATGATGAGAGTTTTAAAATCGGCAGAGACTTTTATCCGGGGTCTGTGAGAAGAAGGCGGGGCTTTTGGGGCAGATAAATTACGCTGCAGCCTTTCCTTCGGCCACTTCACTGCGGGAGAGATTACGGTGAGTTTGGTCGTCTGCTTGGTTTCACTGCTTTTAATTTAGACAAATTTTCATTTTTACCCTTAGTGTTTCAGGTCAGGCTTGCACAGTCAGTATATGTATATTTATATATGTGCGTGTTTACGAACGTTGTAAAGCAGCAGTCCTTTGCTGCGTCAGTCTACGCAGCCCGTTCCGCTCTGGACTGATTTCAAATCCGCAGCCATCCTTGTCTTGGTGATGATAGTGTGTCTTATCCCGGATTCGTTATTGAGATAAACATGTTAATATATCCGTAACATAGTGTATTAACCCTTTTTGGTGGTGGATTGATGAATTAGTTCTCTGTCCTTTCCGCCGTCATGAAGCCGCGATGGCTGACCTCTCTCGGTGATGATAACTTTCACAGACCTGTACTGAAATGCTGTGATTGCAATTATTTTATCTGAGGAGAGAGTTTTCATTAAAGTGCTCTGCTTTTTACACTTAAAGCAGCTTTTGGTGTGTTGTGCGGGTCTTTGCACGTGCTAGAAGTTTCTCTCATGCATGCACGTGGCCTGTACTGACCAGACACCTCTTTATCTTTGCAGATAGAGGGAGCGTGGCCTGCGAGACTGCTGAAGGTACGTTTTATCCTTCTCGTTTTATTTTTCATTTGAGCAGTAAATCAGATCCATGCAGATTGCTTTGTATACTGAACTACTGTGAGGATTTCCTGAACTCTCTCTTTCCGAATGCTTTTGAAGAAGCCCTGTTCTTTCTGAGTAGTTATAACAGAGTTAAAGGTTTGGTTAATCCTCAGTGTGGAGTGACTGCAGTCTTCAAATTCTTTTTGCAGGTTTAAACTACTGGGCTAAGCTTTGCTCCATTATTGGTAAGACAAACATTCATCTCCTTCCTGCTTTACATGGGTCTCTTGTGATGAGTTTATTGACAAGCATATGTCTGATTTGCAGTGATGCTTACATTTTAAATCTGAAACCCTGACTTTCTGTTGTAAGGATATCTGTACATTCTGCTCTCAATCACTTACACTTGTCTTTTTCTTCTGTGGTCTTGCAGTTCTTCTTGTATCTGTGGAAGACATTTCTGCTTCTGGTAAGAATCCTGTTCATTCTTTTGAGTTGCATGCATTGGTATCAGTCTCCCACTGAGGAGAAATGATGAGTTGTGAATACCGCCCCAGTCTGATTTGAGCTGACTGATTGGTATCCCCTCTGATCCATCAAATGCTTGCCAAAATGTGCAATTGAAAACACCTTTAACTGGGGTCCTGTGGAAGACCTGTTATGACTGGAGCTCATGAGCCCTCAAGTGGCATTGGTGTTGATGGGCCTTCTCCCACCACAGTTAGCAGTATCTTCTTGTGACAAGCATGTGTCTGGTTCATGTTAAGCATTCAAAATGTACATCCCCAAATTATTGTTGCCATATTGTGCTCTTTTACACCTTGCTAACTTTATTTTATTTATTTTTTTTAAATAACCTTGTAGGAATGTTTGCGTGTAGGCCATGGGTGCTTGACAACGGTGTCCAGCTTCAGGTAAAAAGTTTTTGTACCATTTTGGTTTTATACAGATGTAGTTGGAGATGATTAAACAGGGTTTATCCCATGTCTGGACGACTATTCAGTCAAATGGCATCTAGTCACCAAAGGCTGATCAGACAAGTGTTGGCTTCATATTTGTATTTCATAACTAATCACATAACTAATTTCATGTAGTTCATAACTAATCACAGCTCTCTCCCACAGAAGGCTAAATGTGACGACTACCTGTTGCGGCTGCAGCGCATGATTGGTAAGTCTTCCATAATGGATCCTTCTGAGAACAGTTGAGCCTTATCTCTGTGATGAATTTTCTTAGCTCAGTTTGAACCGATGTGAAAAACCTAATAACATCTGAGAGATGCAGATTCAGTTTCCTCAATTTTTGTCATGAGGTTATGTATAACTGCTCATTGTTTCTGTTTAGAACTTTTCTGTGCCTTGGCAGTCTGGGGAAGTGGGTGATTTTCCAGATAAGGGTAAGTGGACATTCTAGTATGTTGTATTTTAAAGCTATTTGTACTGGTTTTGAAGCAACTTCAATCATGTGCTGCTGGAACTGCAGAGTCACCCATTAGCCCCTCTCCTTGTGGCTTGCTGAGATTTTCACTCTCTCAACAGCACCATTACTTGTCTCTAAAGATAAATTGATGGTCATGTCATTGTGCAGAAATCAGTTTAATTGGCCTTAAATTGACATGTCAAACTGCCAAGTAGATTCCAACATTTTCTAAATCCAGTTTTCCCTGTTTTAGTGGTTGGCTTGTGTCTTGACTTCTGAGGTGTGCCAAGTTTTCATCTTAACCTAACTTGATCACATTTTGTGTTCAACAGGTCAAATCTGAAGTTTAGTTGGAGAATGGGCTCATGATCATGGTAAGTATCTGAATGTCTTTAACTAACTTTATCATCTCTGTGATGAAGATCCTAAGCTCACTTTGAACCACTGTGAAAATGTATGAACACCTGAGAGATTATGTACACTTGTGCCATATCTGTCTGAGGCATGCAAGGTGCTTCATCTCTTTCTTTTTACTTGCAGTGACTGCATTCTAGAGGTTAAAATCAGAGTCTGCATCCAGTTCCAGGTAATTCCATAACCATTCTTCATATGGCTGTTTTTGGCATTCTGCATCTTGGGATGATTTACTTTGTCTCGTTCGTCTGAACCCCTGTAGAGAAATATTACTACTGATGATGCAAAGGTACATTTGTGTGTACTTGGGTTGGTATTAAACAAACTGATTGTTCCTTCTTAACTTGGCAGGTCCACATTAGACTTCATAAACTGGTAAGCAGCTTGCACTTTACACATTTATAAATTATCAATACTAGCTGCTGGTTCATGTGATGAAACTTGCACATGTCTTACACCCTGTGTCAACACCAGAACCTGAAAAGGTGAACCCACTGGTGTTGCCAGGGTAATAAGGGGATGGCCCGTTGGGTTACCAACAGTCTGAGCGGCCCAGCTCTAATACTACTTGGGCTCACTTTGAGCTCTGCTTCAGTGTTTTTTTAAAGTCTTGGTTTTCTTTTAGCTGGTGGAATGTAGTGCTGTCTTCTGCAAAAGGGGCTTGCTTCCTTGAACATCAGGTGGGTATAGAGTTGGTGTGAATTTTTGACTGCAGACTGAAGAGAAATGATGAGTAGCGAATACCGCCCCAGTCTGACTATGAGCTGACTGATTGGTATCCCCTCTGATCTGCCTGAAATGACTGGTTAATAGTTTTCACAGACTTGTTCAATGCAGGACATGCCACTGGAACCCATGAGGTGTCTACAAAATGGCAGATAGTTATTTCCACTCATTTGGAGAATGATTGATTAAAGTGCACTGGTTTAATTGTTTCTTGTTAGCTTATGCCTTGTACACCAATATTTTGAATCATCTTGGACCTCAGTGGCACATGCTGCTTTTTTTTTTTTAAATAAATAATCATTCAGAAAAATGGCTGAAGGACAGCAGGTGTGCTCTTGGTTACAGGTCATTGGTATACACATTATTTTAATCCTCAACTAAATGGCTAATCTTTACTTTTACCACTCAGTTTTGAGAATTCACACACTGCTCAAGTAGATGTTTTGCAATCAGTCTAACTGCAAAATAGATTAGGTGGTACATCTGCCCAGTCTAAAGTTGCATCACTGTTGGTGTTTAAGTGTGCACTTGTTTTTGTCAAGCTATATGCAACAGAGGTTTTAAACCAACACTAAAGCTCATTGGTGTGGTTTTATTTATTTTTTGCCTAAGTGTAGTTCCTCAGTGTGTACAAACCCCAGGACACTTTGAGAAGTTTTCCACCACTTATTCTTGAGCCCCTGTGCAAACCTCTATTCTGTCATACATGTCATTGTGGCCAGATCAGTCATTATTGTTTCCTTGCAGGGCTGCCTTTTCAAGAATAGGAGAACTAGACAAACTTGGTGGAATTTTTCAGGTATTTCCATAATCACTACTCTAACTGTTTCAACATTCTGCATCTTATGATGATTCATTTTGGGAATCTTGTTCATCTGAATTCCTGAGGATAAATGTTGTTACTGATGATGCACATGTACTTCAAAAGTGTGCCTGTTTTGAAACAAAAACTAATTGTTCCTTTACCTTAAGGTGGATCTGCTGAGTTGGATAACTTCTAAACAGGTAAGAAGTTATGCCTCATTAATACATCACAATGACTTTCAGCACAAAGTTATAGAAATGATGAGTTGTGAATACCGCCCCAGTCTGATTGAGCTGACTGATTGGTATCCCCTCTGATCTATCTCGGATGCATAGTAATGCAGCCATGTTGAAACAAGTTTCAGCTTAGGAGTGGCAGTTAAAGGTGCCAGCAAGATGGCAAATCGTACTTTCTTCATCAAGTGACTTCAAGGTTGTGTGTTTCTCTCCCCACCCCCCACCCCTACCTGTAGGAGATCTCAACCTGCGCATGTGCAAAAACAGGCAGTGGTACTGGAAATAAGAAAGCAGCTGTGAGGTGGCAGCAAAACACTGAGTGATGCTGAAACCAACTATATGCTTGAAATAAAGAATTTAAATTTATCAATATTCAAGATGCATGTGTGGGTGTTTTTTTTTTTTAATGGCTAGGGCATGAACAAGCTGTTAGTCTATTGGCTGAAAATTGTTTGACTTGGACCCTGAAGTTTTCCAGTTATCTGATTCCTCAAGTGCGTGCAAGTGTGTTGATCAGATAACTGACAATCTGACTTTTTTGTAACTATTTGATTAAGCACATGTAAAGGCTAAATTGTCTAGTTTTAACTAGTTTAAAGAGTGGCTTTCCTTAAATAAAGCTAAACCACACAACCTGCTGTGGATGAACAACCTACTCCAACATTGTGCTTTTGGTTTGCTCTGGGTTAAAGAGTTCCAATTACTACTCCAGTCCAATATTGCCAAGTATTAACTCGCCCATTCAAATCATTGAATTCATGTGTTTGTCACTTCCATGGCCACAGGTGTATAAAACCAAGCACCTAGGCATGCAGACTGCTTCTACGAACATTTGTGAAAGAATGGGTCGCTCTCAGGAGCTCAGTGAATTTCAGCGTGGTACCGTGATGGGATGCCACCTGTGCAACTCCAGTCGTAAAATTTCCTCGCTACTAAATATTCCGCAGTCAACTGTCAGTGGTATTGCAACAAAATGGAAGTGATTGGGAACAGCAACTCAGCCAGGAAGTGGTAGGCCATGTAAAATGACACAGCGGGGTCAGCGGATGCTGAGGTCACGAACTTCCTGCTACAGACCTCCAAAGTTCATGTGGCCTTCAGATTAGCTCAAGAACAGTGCGTAGAGAGCTTCATGGAATGGGTTTCCATGGCTGAGCAGCTGCATCCAAGCCTGACATTACCAAGCGCAATGCAAAGTGTCGAATGCAGTGGTGTAAAGCGCGCCGCCACTGGACTCCAGAGCAGTGGAGATGTTCTCTGGAGTGACGAATCACGCTTCTCTGTCTGGCAATCCGATGGACGAATTTGGGTTTGGCGGTTGCCAGGAGAACGGTACGTGTCTGACTGCATTGTGCCTAGTGTAAAGATTGGTGGAGGGGGGATTATGGTGTGGGGTTGTTATTCAGGAGTTGGGCTCGGCCCCTCAGTTATAGTGAGAGGATCTCTTAATGCTTCAGCATACCAAGAGATTTTGGACCATTTCATGCTCCCAACTTTGTGGGAACAGTTTGGGGATGGCTGCTTCTTGTTCCGACATCACTGCGCACCAGTGCACAAAGCAAGGTCCATAAAGACATGGATGAGCGAGTTTGGCGTGGAAGAACTTGACTGGCCTGCACAGAGTCCTGACTTCAACCCGATAGAACACCTTTGGGATGAATTAGAGTGGAGACTGCGAGCCAGGCCTTCTCGTCCAACATCTGTGTGACCTCACAAATGCGCTTCTGGAAGAATGGTCAAAAATTCCCATAAACACATTCCTAAACCTTGTGGAAAGCCTTCCCAGAAGAGTTGAAGCTGTTACAGCTGCAAAGGGTGGGCTGACATCTTATTAAACTGTATGGATTAAGAATGGGATGTCACTCAAGTTCATATGCGTGAGAAGGCAGACGAGCGAATACTTTTGGCAATACAGTGTATCTAATGACTGTCTACTCTGACGCCCCTAGAATAGTGATGAGATCTGGTTGAGTCTCAAGTCCCATCTAAATTTTTTATTTATTTTTTTATTGGTCATCTCTGCATATCTTTTAGTGGTCTGTGATTTAAATTTTTTTAATTATTATTTTTTTATAAGACTACTTCATTGACAAACACCAGGTATTTTGGCCAAACGTCCCCTTTTTTGCGTGCTATTTATACAGTGGCCGTGGCAGAACTTCTGGCAAATAATCTTTTGTAGCCAAAAGGGGCAAGAGGAGAATATTGCGATTTGCAGTGCTCTGGTATATGGTTAAAATTTCTTACAGTTCAGATCAATGGAGGAAATGAACCCTGCTTTCTGTGTAGTTCTTGGCTTTAAAATGCCTCTGAATTATTCACACATCCTAATATATATTTTTTTTCTCCCCCTTGTGCCCAGACCAGAATGGGGATTTCCCTGCTATAGCACACTTACCATATTTGGTTGTTAACTGATAAGTTAAATCAGGTGTGCCTGAGTTGGAAAATCCCCAGACTGTGCAGGAATCCAGTCCTCCAGGACCGGAGTTCCCCAGCACTGGTTTAGGACAAAACATGGCTATAATGTGGAGCATATTCATCAGCAAGAAACAAAGCCTGGAGCTACACCTGAACATCTTAAAATGGGTGTTTTATCCGCACAGGGCCAGCGTGGCTGCAGGTTTTCACTCCAAACACCTGATTCTACTTGTGTAATCAGTTGGTCGTAGTCTTCAAACATTTAATCAGGTGACCTCCTGCTTTGTAGAAGTGAAAACCTGCAGTCACACCCACCCTCTGTGGATAAGATTGGACACCCCTGTCTTAAAAAAAGGCATATGCCTCGTGTCCCACACATACATTTTCTGTAAATTTTGAAAGATGTTATTTATGCATGTTATTGTTGCTTTCCTGTATCTCAAATAGTAACTTGCAGAAGACAAAAAAAAATTATTTTATTGAATTGTTATATTCATTAAAATATATTATGTATGATGTATATTATGTAAGTCAATTGCAAGAGGGTTTTTTCCTCTCCCCAGTACTTTTAGACCACTTATGTTGGATCATTAATGAAATTCACATGATGGAAAAGTAGCTGCTCTGCTCAAATGATACAGTATCATTTGGAATTGGCATTGATCAAGTTACAAGGGAAGTATGCAAAATGGAACACGGGCAACAAACCTTTAGCCACAACGGGCTTGAGAAGCATTTGGAATCCTTTGGTGATTGTGAAATGTTAATAGTGCAGTATCAGTATTCACTGAAAAATGCAATGCACAAAACATTACAAGTGATGTGTTAAAAAAAGTCATTTTAATCTTTAGGGGAGGAAACAGCAAAAGATGTACATTCTGGTGAACTGGTCATATTTATTTGGCTTATTTCAAAGTGTGTAAACACTCATTTGATGGTCATTGTGAGACTACAAAAACCATAAAAATCACTGGCAAACAATTTCCTGGGCAAGGATCTGCAGAATTACCAAGAGCTGGTACATTTACTGCACAGTGCATCTTCAGTCTTCCACTCATGGTGCCACAAATCTTTATTTGAAGACCTTTGTTTTCCATTCCCATTGAACAGGTAAAAAACAGTTTTCAGTGTGTATGTGAGAAAATAGAGGCTTAAATGTATCGCTTACTCAAATTTGGAAGAGTGGCAATGTGAAATTCTGCATCATTAATGAACTGAAAATGACAAGGGTGCAGGGCAAGCGAATCCTTCAAAATCACACTGTAGTTGAAGTGCCCTCTGTTGTAACCACAGATTCCGACTGAGACTAATTTCTGTAGTTACAACTGCAGCAAAATTGGCTGACTGGAATTTAAATATTTAAGGCAGCTTTTTCAGTCTGCTGTAAAGATCCGAGCAGCAATGTCATCCAGGAGCCAGTCGACACCCATCAGGAGGTTTTCACCCGTTACCGCGCTGCAGCCCACTATACACCAATGATGCGTCTTGATCTCATCTAGAGCTAGTGCCTGTCCAAAGAGAATCATATTAGAGAATGTAAACTGTTCTGGATCTGCAAGTACAAACCTCTGCACCCAGCGGGGGAAAAACCTGAGCTGTTCTGACAAAGTTGCACCTCTAACATGGTAACTGTATGGCACTGGTTGTCAGTCCTGGTCCTGAAGTAGCACTGTCTTTCCCATTTTAGAATTGACCAAGCTCCCACCAGACCCGATGCATCTAATCAACTAACAAGCCTTTCCTGAGGTGAACTGGGTGTGTTAGAGCAGTAAATACAAAATGCTGAGCAGTGGTACTCCAGAACCAGGATTAAGATTGGTCACCAATCCTCCTCATGGAGATCTACTTTGCTGCAGAGTTCTAACATGCTGCCTCACCTCCTGCTCCCTTACCTAACATTAGTGCGTCTGATCAAAAACTTTGAGAGCAGAAATGAAAACACGGGAGCAGGTGCGGCAGATTGTAATTTGACATCTAGACTCCAAAGAAAGAGATTATTGGATAATGATAAGTTTTAATATAAGTTTATGTAACTAGGTTTTATTCAGGATTTTGTAATTGTGGGCCAGTGGTATTACTCCACTCATCATAAAATGTTCATACCACAAAAAAGTCAGCTGGCATTATGAAATGATTTTAAAAAGAAAAAAAAAAATGGGTTTGAGATGGCAATATCTAGTAGGCTTGGGTTGAATCTATTTTTTCATACCTTCCTGTCATTTCACCAGGGTATAGGGTATGTGATGATATTTAAGTAAAAAAACAAAAACAAAAAAACAAAAGCTGAGCTGCTGGTATTAGAAGTCACTTTTAACACTTTGCTCTTCTTGTCTAGTGTTATTTTAAAAATAATAAAAAAAGTAGCTCAATTTACATGGTTACCGAATCAGTGAACACAGTGCATGATTCTCAAACTACCATTCAATAGATGTCAAACCATCTATCAAACAACTGATAAATGTTAATCAGTGCTGCTTACTAGGAGAGAGAAGCTGGTTAGCATTAGCTTTGTTAGCATTCTAGCAGTTCTGCCCATCACAGAACATGTTTGATTCTGGCTAACTGAAGTACTGACACAAGTTAGTTGATTTAAATTAATGATTCAAACCTGAGAAAGTCACGCCAAGCAACCACTGAAGGGACAATAAGGCGAAATTAAAGCTGTTCTGTGGTGTTTGGATATACGGCTTGATAGGCTACCTTAACAAACAGCTACAGCCCCAAACAGTGTCATCCACCACAGTACAGGCTTGATTCTGAAAACTGGTGCTCAGTTGACACAACTGATACATTTAACTCTCTGCTGTGGCTGAGCTGCTATCATGCTTAGTTTTTCTGAGGTTTTTCATGGCTCTGATTTCCCCCTTTTTCTATTAGCTCCACCAATCGGTGAGCCTTCTAAAATAAAATGGATGGATGTGCTTGTGTGTTCAGACAGAAATAGAAATTTGACACTTTATAATTTTGAAATACTGTCATCATTTTCAAATATCATCATTTTTACATACAGTATTACCATCATATCTCTCAACCCTAATATCTAGTATGCAATCATTGCCTTGTTTGCAGGCGTACCCAGGAAATGGCTACAGCATGTTAGTGTTATCTTTGTTCCAACATAAAATTCAAATCATGTCGACCTTGATTATTTTTATTGAAAAAAACTCTATAAAGTTCAATGCTGTGACCTGAGAGACCTGAGAATGAAGAGTGCTGGGCTGAGCTACAACAATCCATCAAGTAATTGTGATGTATGTCAGGGATGGGCAGGTCATGTCCTCAGGGGCCAAAGCATTATGGAGTCAAACTCTTGATTACTAAATTCAAATACTAAAGCATGGAAACACTGTGCAGATATATGACCCTATACGTCCCAGTCCCTAAGGGGGTATTCCTCAAAGTAGGACTTCTCAGTCTGCTGTAAGATGTAAGCCAAAAGTGAGGAATGTCCAACAGGAACATCCCTTAGCTCTCCTTCTATTGGACAGTGCTAACTTTGGGCTTAAGCTGATCTGGCTACCTTAGAAATCCTGATTTTTGAAATAGCCCCCTGATCTACATAAAGAAGAAACACTAACCTCTTTTATGGCATCCTTGGACAATGCTCCAGGCAGATCTTGTTTGTTGGCAAATACAAGAAGGGTGGCTCCTGCTAGTCTCTGGTATGAGCAACAAACAGAGATGCAAGATCACATTTTTTGATGACTGAGTACTCCTTGAGAATACAGTCAAATATATGAATAGTTCAGTACTACTGATTGAACTTTCTCACCTCCTCCAGTAACAGTGCATTGAGTTCTTTCCTACAGTCTTCCAATCTCAGTCTGTCTGCACTGTCCACCACCCACACCAGTCCATCTGTGCTTTCAAAATAATTCCTCCAGTACGACCGCAATGATTTCTGACCTCCTACATCCCAGATATTCAATTTGAACCTGTTCCCACATTAAACGAAAGAGACAGCCAAGGAGCCTGGTAAATATCCTACAAAAGTCAAATGCACATTTACTTACAGAGTTTAAGCAATAATCTGAATTAACCCATTTATGCTTAACACGTCAATTTACTATGATAAAGCAAACTGGCACAGAATTAGTTCTGATAGGTTTAAAGTGACGATACTGTGTATAGACCTTTGATGAACGTCTAACAATACTTACTTCAACTTTTGACTGTCATTTTCATGCCTTCATTCATGATCATATTTGGATCTTCTATTCATGGGTAAAAAATCAGTAATCCAATCCAATATACTGAATTTACTCTGATAAAATTAAGCAACAAAAACTCACTTTTTAGGCTTATGGTTAGATCTATTAGTAAAATTTCTTCAGATTTGTGCTCAGGTGAGCTCAGAGAACATGCGGACAAATTTTAACATTTCAGATATGACATCGATTAAGTTAACTGCTCTGGCTTCATACAGGAGTTTTACTACAACAGTAAGTGCTTGTATATTACCCTCTATGCTCTAGTGTTTTTATGTTGAATCCTAAGGTGGGAGAAATAGTGCTGACATCCTCGCCATTAAATTTCTTCAAGATGGTTGTTTTTCCAGCATTGTCCAGTCCACTAAAGTCATGGTGGTTAAGGAGCAGCAGGACAGCATTAGAGCATTTTACATTTTACATCAGTAACAAGAATGGTGATAAAAAACAGTATAGATAAGCACAGTAACACACATCAGCTTTAGGCGTTAAGAACACATCTCCACTGCCGTTACATGAAGGATACAGCATTAGGAGGCGCATCTCCCGCTCCTTATGCTTCAGCTTCTTCAGTATCGTCAGTAAACCCATAGTGAACGCTGTTTCCACAAATGACCACAAAACAATACCTGAAAGACTTTATTAATCTGAAATTACATCTCTGGTTAAAGTCTATTGTCGTTCTTCAGAAAGCGCCTCTTCTATGCTGCTCCATCAAGCCAACGGCGCTCGCCCTGAAACCAGGAAGTGTTGCTGTTGTTTGCTCCAACATACTCAAACGTCATTGGTCACTCCGTCCACTGCGAAAAATGGTCGAGGAAACTGATTGGTTGACTTTCATGCCTCCGTGCCCACCTCTCGGCCCGGTTAAGGGCGAGTCTGTGTTTTGATTGGTTAAACCAACCGTCAATCGCAGGAAAACCATCCTTTTACTGCTCACCCTGTAGAGTTAAAGGGGAACTCCAACGATTTTAAAAGTGTCTGCATACTTCAGTAGTTGATGTAAACAAAGTCAGTCATAGTGGTTTGATGTGAATGAAATGCGTCACCGTAGAGAAACTTCATTATAGAGAAAGTCAACATTGTTCACAGTGCTGGTGATAGGAACCAGACGTCTGAAGATTTCAGATGTGTTCACAGTGCTGGTGATAGGAACCAGACGTCTGAAGATTTCAGATATGTTTACAGTGCTGGTGATAGGAACCAGGAGACACAATGTTTACACTGCAAATACGATATGAATGTGCTATTTAAAATTACCAGCAAACCCAGACCTCTCCTGAGTTTTGTATGCCGTGATAACTAGGTAGTGAATCTGAAAAAAGGTTTTTCTTTGGGTATTATTTTGCCTTACAACAACCTATATGTACACCTTCACCATGAATGGATTTTTGGAACACTTTGGACTAAAACTTTATCTCAGAAATGTCATAAAACAATGTGTGTGGCATCAGACAGTGTATTTGTAATCATTTCATGTAATAACTTTCTGTGAGGTAGCTTTAAGGGGCATTAAACACTTCAGTCTTCCCTCAAGTCTGGTTCCTACTGCCACTATGAACAATGCTGACATTTTCTTTGGAACAGCTCATTTCATGTCAGTGGAATTACCTTTTAATGATCAACATTTTCATCTGGATGAGTGGGCTTAAAGGGGAAATCATACATGTAATACTGAGGTTGGCTAGTCAGTGAAAGAAAAAACAAACTTTGGTTTCCTCCCAAAACCAATGTACTGCTCTCTCCTCAACCCCCATTAACACATATTTTAAGAACTTTTCTTGCACCAGTTCACTATTATCTTATTCTGGGGAAGTAAATCCCAGAAATTCTGTGATCCAAACACAGTTTCAGAAGTAATTTCAGGGCATAGCCATTAGTGAATGTATAAATTGCTTCACTGTTATTTAAAGGGGGGTTGTCAGTTACATAGTTATATTTGAACATGCATGTGGATGTAAACTTCTTTTCCTATTTGCTCTTCTTATGAGAGACTCATCCCTGGGAACATCTCTGGGAGCGACTCATTAAAGCTCCCAAAGGGAAATGGAGCACTGAAAGAGAAAGTAAAAGGCACATTGCTGAATGCTGAATGTTACGCAACCTTCAGCAAACAGAAAGAGGCGTTAGCCAGACACTTCATCACTTCCCAGACTATCCCTCAGCACATGCCATGCCTACAGGATGCATGACCATATAAGGTATTAAAAAGATTAGGCAATAGTTGAATTATGCTTAAGCCCTCAGCAGTTTCTGCTTACGATGTCAGGGATCATAAGAACAACTTGATCTGTGTTCAAGTGGTTTTGGTCAGAAGCAAAATAGATGTGCTGGTAATAATGCTATTTGTGTTTACTGTTGTTTTCTGTCATTAAAGAGAGTATTTTTATTTTACATTGCTGCAACAAAGTAAAGAGCAAAGGATCCATATGAGATGAACAATCATTTTTTATTCAGTTAGAAGCATCACATAACATGCTTATACTTGCATTTCTACATGTGGATAATATGAGCCTGCAGTGTTGATGTGTGGCTGCTGAATAGCTGAGGCCTTGTACACACATACAAAGGTATTTTTTAAACTCTGTGTGTTTAGGCTTTCTGTCCACACCCACTACACAACTGTGATTTAGGTCACTGAAAATGGACCTTTTGCAAAACTCCTTCCAGGGTGAAGATGTTCAGAAACTCCATTTTCAGTGGGATTATTTTTAAAAAATGAAGGAAGAAAACTCCCTTCTTAAAAAATACCCATGTGTACTAGGCCTGAAATACAACCAGTTTATAATACGACTAGCAGTGACCACCATTGCTTATTGTTGAAACTCCCCCAAATCTGGAACTCTGGGCTCATGGAAAAATCCATGTTTCCCGCTAGTAAACATTGTGTATTGGCATTCATGTGTACCCGTCTCACAAGTACAGCATTAGAGGCAATGGCGAACTGCTAAAAACAGCAAATGTTGAGATCATGATGCAATATGCAGGATGACACACCAGCCTCTACAGCATTTCTATTTATTACTTATTAGTTTCTTTGATCCAAGTCTGGTGTTTCTCAGAAAAAGCAGTGTTAGGGCCGTCTGCCTCCTTATGCCTACACTGTAAAAACGTCCAGTAAAAGTATCGTAAAACATCTGGCAGAAAACTACACACAGAAAAAAGATGTATCAACCAACTATTGAGGCAACCAAAAATCAGAAAAAGTGCAACAGTCACTCTATATGAAGTTATTATTTTAGCTTAATAAAGTCACTCTTTTTGTTGCTATGTATAGAGTGTGTGTTGTACCATTTTCTTCTCAGTTTACAACTAATTGCCTTTTTTTTTTTTACAGTTTTAATATGTGGCATGTTGAAGGAAAAACTATATAATTTTTATGTGGCCCTCTTGTGGGAGTTAACAGAATGTTAGTAGAGTAAACAGTTTCTCAGACAGGACACTAAATGTCCTGTTGAACAGGTTGGTTGAACAGAAAATAATGTTTTTTTTCATTTACTGTTGGTTGTGCTACAGGATTAACCATCCCCCATATTCTACCTTTATTTAACCTGTACTTGTAGACCATCTCACTAGGACTTAGAGGGGAATTCCGCCGATTTATCAAAATTTCTGCATAATTCAATGATTAAGATGTAAACAAAGTCATTCAGAATGTTCTGATGTGAAGTGGTCCATTGCAGAGAAGCTTGATGATAGGAACCAGGGGTTTTGATGACAACGGTGCAAAAATAGTAATTTTATTTTCCATCCAAAATGACCAGTGAACCTACATGTGTCTTCTTGGTTTCTCATATGTAATGTTAATAATGGTAAAATAATTGAAAATTTGTATAAAGTCTTCTTTTGCCTAGCAACACCCTGCATGTGCCTATCTGGAACACCTTTAAGCCAAAAGCTTATTTAAAAAATTGTTGAACAATGTCTCAGGCAGCAGGCAACGTATCTGTAATCACTTTGTTTATGTCTCTAAAAGCTAACTTCCCACGAGTTAGCTTTTAGAGACATAAAACACTTTGGGCGTCTGGTTCTCATCACAACCTCTGTGAAAATTCTTACTCTGTTTCTCTATAGAACAGAGGATTTTACATTAAACCACTCTTGTTTACATCTTAATTACTTTATTCATTTTAACTGTAGAATCTAAAGTGTGTGTGTAGTAGGGCTAAGACTTTTTGCTTTAATTGATCGCTTAATCTTTTACTTTAAATCATTCAAGTAAAATGTAATTTTTTCCATGAATCAGCCATGACTGAAGGCGATTGTGATGAAAATGCATGGTTAGTTACTGTTCAGTTTAATCCATTTTTATTGTTCTAAAAAGTTTTCTTATTACTTAATGAAAGAGCCAGATAAAGTAATTGCTAGATTACTTCACTAATAATCATCATTAATATTTGACTAGTTTAATTCCAAAATACCATATTTTACATTTGTAGCAAGGAATAATAGCTGATGTTAATGGAAAACACATCATTTCACTGATAAAAGTGGTATCAATCACAATATAGCACTGATATTTCATATCATTTGTATGTGTAAAGCTCACTCCCAACAACGTATATCATGAAAAGAAGAAAAAAATGAAAGTGGTTTATAATGGATTTTGGAACAAAACTCTTATCTTGTAATTTCATTTTAATGTCCTTTCCCATTGTGCTTGTTGACTTGGTGCCAAGGGATTTCACATTTTTCTGCCCACTCTCACATGGCAGGAAATGGGATTTGAAAAACAGAAGCATCCATTGGAACGAACTGGGTCCTCTGACAGTCTACTGTGAATGTGAAGTTTATATAGTTAGATATAGAGGTAAAGGATTTATAGCTTAATGTAGATATTTAGGTTTAAGATATATATTTATATGTGGATGTATGGTATAGGATATAGAGGTTTATGTAGATATTTAGGTATAGGTTCTATAAGTTTATACAGATATATAGGTTTAGGATCTATAGGTATATAAATTTATGTGTGTATAGGATCCTTAGGTTTATATAGATATACAAGTATAGGATGAATAGGTTTATATAGATATACAGGTATAGTATATGTAGGTGTGGAGAATAAATTTAATCTCACTGAAAAAATGTGAAAAATCCAACCTTTAATTGAAGTAAATTTATTCTGAGATAAAAAAAAAAATTCTCATCAAGAAATATTTTGAACACAACCATATGTGCCACAATTATAGTCACCCCAAGAAATTCTTAGAAACAAAATGAAACAGCTGCATTTATTCATTTTTTATTAATTTTTTAAGTATGAACTTTCAAGCAGTAATCTAAGACTTCCTGTTTCATTGGGGTATATAAATGACACGGAGTTCAAGTTCCCTCAGTCATTCTACAACATGGAAAAGACAAGAGAACACACGGTTCAAATAAGTGAAAAGTGTGTTTCCCTTCATAAGTCAGGGACTGGCTAGAAAAATAGCTATTTGCCTGAAAAATGCCCGCATCTACAGTTAGGGCAATAATTAAAAAGTTCCAGTCAACTGTAACTGTGACAAACTTGCCTGGATGAGGACCCAAGATTCTTTTGCCCCCACGCACAGTGAGGAGGATGGTGAGAAAGCTACAAAATCCCCAAGGATCACTGTTGGAGAGTTGCAGTAACATCTTGGGATCACCAAGTCTCCAAAACTACCATTAGATGCCACCTCCAAACAGACTATTTGGAAGACATGCCAGGAAAAAGCCTTTCCTGTCTTCTAAGCACCTGTAGTTTGCTAAACACTACTGAGACTTTATAGGGGGCTGTTAGCATAGCACACACACAAACACACATATGTATACATATACATACGTTACATAGGTAAATATAGGAATGTATAGGATGTATAGGTTTATACAGGTAGTGTTGGAAAAATCAGCGATGTTACTGTAAGAATATATTTAATAATGGTGGTTTGTCTGGACAGTGGGAAAAGGGACTCTTGTGTCCCTGGGGGCCCATGATCCGATGATCCGTCCCTACACGTACTTAGACTCACACCATGATTCATAAAGCTTGAAGTGGTGGTGTTAAAGCATGGCTGCCCTTACTGCTGTGTTTGTGGTGTTCTGGTAGGAATGGTTAGGATAACGTAGTGTATGTGTGTGTGTGTGTGTGTGTGTGTGTGTGTGTGTGTGTGTGTGTGTAGCGAGCAGTAGACCGTGCGTGGGCGCGTGTGGGGCTGTGAGAGCGGGAAATGGGCAGTACGGGAAGAAGCTCGTGCTTCCTCCTGCTCCGCGAACACGGGCGTTTAAAATAAGGTGAAACTGAAAGCGACTGTGGTGGCCAGCGCGAGCTATAAAGCCGGCAGGGTTTCATCATCAGCCACTGTGCACGCGCTCACTGCACTGTCTCATTCTGAGTGCGGCTGGTCCGCGCGCTTTCTGAGAAACACGCTCTTGGGTCTGTGTGCGCGTTTAAAAGCCCTGCAGAAGGAGTGAAGGAGTGAGAGTTCATCAGGGTATCAGAGTTCAGTCCTGACCGCTGCACTTCACCACCAGCACGGCCAGCCAGCTGCCTCGAGATGCCGGTTGCGCTCATGGAGAAACTGGACGGGGAAACGAGCTCTCTGTGTGGAAGCGACGCTCACAGTCCACACGACTGGGTAATGCGTCTATCACAAGCCTTTATTATAATAACACTATAATAATAACAATAGGCTACTGTAATCTGGCTCTAACACAGAACTGACACTTAAATTGTAGTAACTGATAGTGATAGTATATTTATTAATATAATAATAATTATTGGTAATGATAAAAATAAATTGTTGTAATTATTCTAATAATAATTATTAATGATGATGACGATTATTATTATAATTTTATTTTATTATTAAAAGCTTAATATATTGTATAAAAGCTTAACAGATTCTGTGAAATATTGCATCATGTGTTGGATAGTCTTGTGTGTGTGTGTGTGTGTGTGTGTGTGTGTGTTATTTTCAGCATTATTTTATTTTAAATTATTGCTGTTGAAATAACAATTATACTATATTATTGTTATCATTATGAACACACACACATATATTGTATTACAGTTTAAAAGAAGTAAAAAAATAAATATTGCATCGTGTCTTGGTTAGTCACTACAGATTGACAATGATTCTTATTATCAATTATTATCATTATTATTATTATTATTATTATTATTATTAGTAGTAGTAGTAGTAGTATTGCAGTTGCCTTTGTTAATGAATGGATTAATGATTAATTTATGCATGTGTTTATCTGTTTGCTGTGTCTGCTGTGTTCAGGATACAGATCAGCCACCTGAGAGGATATGTCAGCGGCGACAGAGAAACAGAGACGCAGCCCGCAGAAGCCGCAAAAAACAGACAGAGAGAGCTGATGTGCTGCATGAGGTCAGTGTGCTTTTACACTCACCATCACTTATGGCCGAACATCCCGCTGTCTAGGACATAAGCTTAAATGTCAAATATTCTCATATCTGGCTTGCTCACCTAAGCCACCACTCATTTATATATATGCCAGGAGAGGACTGGGGTAAGCAAACTAGATATGAGGCAATATTTGACTCTTAAACCTATATTCCCTGCATATACATGGGGAATGGAGTCATCAAAGACCACAGTCATATATGTACGTAAGAGAAATCATGAAACTACATCTTGAGTACATTCAGACCTCCTCTGCACTGTGTATGTGTGTGAATTTTTATTTGTGTGTGTGTGTGTCGGTGTGTGTGCGCAGACGAGGTTAATGCCACTTTGTGGGGACCAAAACATGTTCCTGCGCTCACATTGTGGGACCTTTAAATTTTAAGGTGAGGGTAAAGTTAAGGTTAGGGTTAGGGTTAGGCTAGTAGTAGTTCTTGTTAGGGCTTGCGTAAGTCTGTAGGAAACGAATGGAAGTCTATATAATGCCCCACAATTCACAGAAACAAGATTGTGTGTGTGTGTGTGTGGGTGGGTGGGTGGGTGTATATGATATGTGTGTGGATGTTTTATGATCTCACACTAAGTACCACAGTGACGCTGTTATTCAGTAGAATGTAATCACTGATGAGTAGGTAGTAGTTGTATCTGTGTGTGTGTGTGTGTGTGTGTGTGTGTGTGTGTGTGTGTGTGTTTGTGTGTGTATGTGTGTGTCATGAAATTGTGCCTGTCCTGGCAGGCATTTCTTGGAAACAGGCTGTGTTAAAGGAAGAGGAGGCTGAGGTTACAGGAGGTCAAATTCCACACTTCATGTGTGTTACAGTTTATGTGCCATTTGAGCAATTTCTTGGTAACTATTACGAAATGGTCCATTATTTAAAAGCATTTTGTGGTTCTTCATGCATATTAACTTTAATTATCTCCCTGGCCTACCTTATGAATAGCCTCTTCATAGGGAACAGAGATTTCATTCTGAACTTCAGCCGTGTTTCACTTTCACTTTCTCTTTTGGGCTTGTATAAATATTGGACTTTCCCTCTGCTTGACATCGTCCTCACGCCTGATTTTCTTCAGAATACCAGGGAACAGTATGACTTATCTAGCAGGATGTATGAATAAAACCTTCTATCAAAACAAGGGGAAAATAATATAACAATTAGTCTGAAGTGTTTTTTGGAGAGAAGCCATACATTGTTAATAATGAAACGTCAGCTCAATGTAAAATTAACTGATAACACAGCTTTTCTTGAGTTCCCCCAACTCAGACTTCCCAGTTCAGTCAAAAGTTCTCTCAACTCACGTTTCTTTACTTCTGCATCTCAATTAGGTAAATAACATAGAATTTGTTTTGAACTCAATTTCCCCTCTTTGTTTTCCATCATCCAGTCACCAGGCATTTTCTCCTCTTGGGCTCCCAGTTATGGAAAGCTGTGGCATCTTCCAATGGTTACCTTTTAAAGTTAAAACAGCAAATTTTTTTAGAGTATATTAACCCCATAATTGGCCAGGGCCCACCAGCGGGCCCAAAGTTTAATTACACACTTCTATAACCTTAGAATAGTTCAGCTAGTTTGCAATAAAGTCCGTTAATTGCTGAATAATAAGCTTTTGTTTGTAATAAGCCTGAGATTTTGAGGGTTGAACCTTTTTGGATACAGAAATCTGAGTAATTTTAGGAGTTTCTAAGTAGTGCAACTATCTGGAGTTTGAACCCCAGCGATCTTGTAGCCATCCATAACTGGGTCCTCAAGAGGAGAACATACCTGGCAGGAGCGTGTGATAGAAAGAGTCCCAGCAAGTAGGTAAACAGAGTGAAAAACAAAGTATATGTTGTTTACCTAACTGAACTGTGGCACTGCTGGGTTTCAAAACTCGTGAGCTCCAGAGGTTGTGGTGAATACTTGTTAGAGGTTAGAACTACCCAGGAACCCCTGAAATTGCTTAGATTTCTATGTCTATAAATGATGATAAGAACTTTTCGTTTCCCAAAAAACTGTATTTATAAATTAGATGTGTGAGTGTGAAGAACCTCAACATAATGTAAAGGTTCTTTTCGTAATGTAATCTGTCCAATCCAAGATCCACTTCATTTTTAGGAGTGTAAGAAAACGGAATCCTTTCATCAAAGCAAGGGCATATAGCTATTACGATTAATATAACAGTAAGTGTGTAAACATTTCACAAACAAGATCCAAAAGGGTTCTTTGAGTTTTGCCATAGAAGAACTGTTTTTGATTCCTTAAAGAACCTTTCAGTAGTAGGTTCTTTAAAGATTACTTTTGTTAAAGAGTTTAAAAACCTTTAGATAAGGTGAATGTTATGCACCAGTTGAGTTTTTTTCTAGATCTGATTAAGCCCAGAACCAATTAGAAACTTTGATGTTAGGACTGTAATTTGTTTAGTTACCATAAATTATTTGCAAATGAAAAGATAAACAATCCTTGTATCAAAACAAGTCATTTCTGCCAGGACATGTAAAACGACAGTAGCTATGCAAACATTACTGTGTTTAGTTAAATCGTTTGTGTATGAGATGAAAACTAAACCCTTGCTTGTCCACACAGGAGCTGCAGGCTCTGGAGCAGTCCAATGCTGCCTATGTGAAAGAGATCGCAGAACTGAAAAAGGAACTGCAGCATTACACTACAGTTTTGAAGGAACATGAACCCCACTGCAGAGTACAATGTTGGCCAGGGCCTTCGGTGCCCTTCACAGCGTCCACACCCAGCACCACTACCTCAGACTTGACCCTAACTTTCGACCCTAATCCAATTCCAGAGCTTCCACTTCTGCCTCCACCCACACCAGAGCCAGACTTCTCTTTGGTTGATCTCCTGGACAGAAATGAGTGGCCACCCTGGGACATGTAATCCAGATGCTATTTTGAAAAAAAAAGTGGCTGTTGAAGAAGGAACCAGATGACTGGCAACAAACAAAGAAACAGAGACCCAGCCCTAGCCTGGCTTTAATGTTCAGATGTTTAATAAGTTGAGAGTTATTTCTTTTGTTTTGCTATACTATTCAAATGTCATAACACAATTATCTACTTAATTATATAGTCAGTTACATTAGTATTTACATTTACAATTGATTTACATTCTGTAATAACAGGTATTTCCACAAAACAAGACTGTACGCACAACAATAACCTCTTCTACTTATGAACACAGGAGGTATGGACTGATAGGATATGCATGCCTGAAAAAATTCCTCCACTTTCTTCAATTTTAATTTTACTGAGGGGGATAGTGGCATTTTCTAAGAGTGGAGATGTTAATTAGCAGGGTCAGTTGTTTTAGGGCTGGAACTAAACTCTGCAAAAGGAGGGCTGGATGACCCTGCCATGGACCATGGCAAAAAGCCTACACCACTACTGACTACTAAACCATTTGCTGCTGATCTGTTTAATATTGATGTAAGACACACATATATGAACATAGATCTATATGTAAGATGTATCTCTATGTACGTACATGATTTGTAAGATTTTGTAGACACATTTGTAGCTCAAACAACATCTCTTCTGAAATGAAGGGAGTTTGTCCCTCTTTGCTGCACTAACAGACTCTACTCTTCTGAGAGGACTTTACACTAGATGTTGGAACATTGCTATAAGGATTTGATTGCATTCAGCCACAAGAGCATTAGTGAGGTCAGGTACTGATGTTGGATGAGACCCAAAGGTACTCAATGGTGCTCCATTGAATACCTTAAGTTCCACTGTTTCATAGTGCAATGCTGGCGGACTTTATACCCCTGTACCTGGTGCTTGGAATTGTTGACCTTAGGCTCATGTGCAGCTGCTCCCATTGTATTGACAATGCATTTCTGTGGAGACTATACAAGCAGTGTATGCAACTGAACTCTTTTGCCCAGTAAAGTAGCTTAAGTGATGTTTGGGTACCTGCATCCATACATCCATATATCCATACACACATGCACACATATGTATTCACAGTCAGGCCAAAGCCTTGTATCTCCATTTTTGTTGTTTTTATATAATTTATGAACACCAACATACACCATGATGAATGGAACAATGGCATTGGTGTTTGACAAACTCTTTTTACATTAACTTCACCTTCAAAAATGTTTGTGAGGTTTTTTCAACAACATATGAAAAACATATTTGTATACTTGCTTTATTACATAAACCTGCCTAGTACTTCCACTAACTGGACACTACATGAGCGGTCTACTATACACACAGTACAGTTCATGTCTGTCTGCCACCATCTCCTCTGTTCATCACTGGTCAGTTGCTGACCATAGGATAGCTGTTGGCCAGATATTATTTTGGTGATGGACAATTCTCAGCACTGAAGTCACACTCATATGTGACATGTGTGGTGCTGATTCAACTGTGTCAGGCAGAGCAGGGTTGATTTATGAGTTTTTACACACATCAGTACTATTGTGAGTGATCTGCCATCCAAAATATCCAGCCAAGAGCAGTTCCATTGTCAGAAGCTAAACACTGATGAATGGCTAAAGGATAGCTAACATGAACTGGGCATCAACAGATGCAGGGCTACAAGGTGGGCCTTCAAGATATGTGTTTCTAATAAATGTCAGGTGGAGGCATGAGGGAGGGCATGTATTATTCAACATTCATTCAACTGTTGAGTAGGCTTCTTTCAATTTCAGATGTAAAGTATAGAATGTATTAAATTACAGAGTGCTATATTAAATCACTGTATTAAGTCTTATGTAATATATTTAATATATTTGTGTGTTTGAAAGATATGCAATTTATATGCAAAGTCATTTCAAATGTGAAGTGCAGATTGTATTACATTTTGTTGAAGATGATTAAACATTAAACATTTTGACATGAGAAAACTTTTTGCACACTGAACACACACATACACACACTAACACACATCAGCTGGACTTCGTGTGAGAAGGTATGTGTGTGCCAAGAAAGAGGGAGAGAAATAAAGAGAGAGACAGAGAGATAACAAGAAAGAAAGAGAGAGAGAAATACACAGAGATAGAGACAGCGAGAGAGAGATAGAAAGAGAGATGAAAAAATACAATTTTGGATGTAAGGAGTTTCTGAAAAGAGTAAGAGCTAACTCAGAATAGGAAAGATTTTTTTTCTCTTTTCTCTAATAAAGAAGAATAAGAAGGAGACACAAGAAACAATGAGCTTTAAAGGCAAATGCTCTTTTATTCAACAGGCGGCAAGGGAGATCCACTGCTCAGGATTTGCTAACATGGCCGAGAAGCAGGTAGTTCACTTCTAACCATGCAGCTCTTCTTCAGTGTAGACACTTAACCCACCAAACTACCCCACAACCCAGCACAGAATAGGACAAATAACACTGCTACAATACTGGTGTCCACAACAACAGTATCCAAACATTAAATGTCTCTTCTTACCAGGAGCGCAGTGCCTCCCAAAAACCTCTTTGCATGGCCACGCCTCATGTGGTCCTCGGGCACTATATGGACAAAAGTATTGGGACACCCCTCCTAATTATTGCGTTCAGGTGTTTCAGTCACACCCATTGCTAAGAGGTGGATCAGATTAAGCACATAGCCTTGCAGTCTTGATAGACAAACACTGACAGTAGAATGGGTAATATTGATGAACTCAGTGACTTTAAACATGGTACTGTCATAGGATACCACCTCTGGCACAAGTCAGTTTGGGAATTTTTGTCCTGCTATATCTGCCCCATCAACTGTCAGGGCTATTATTGTGAAATGGAAGCGTCACAGAGCAACAACAGCTCAGCCATGAAGCGATAGACCACGCAAACTCACAGAGTGGGGCCGGTGAGTGCTGAAGCGCACAGTGCCTATCCTCTGTTGAATCACTCACTAAAGAGTTCCAAATTGCCTCTGGAAGCAACATAAGCAAAAGAACTGCACATTAGGAGCTTCACAATATGGGTTTCCATGACCAAGCAACTACACACAAGCCTACACTGTAAGCCCGGATAAGCTGAATTTACTTAAAAAAATTGAGGAAAGCGGTTGCCTTAAAAAAAAATAAGTAATGTGTAATGAAAACTTGAGTTAGAATAACTATAATTTTTGAGTTAGGCTAACATAAACATATGTTTGCACAACTCATAAATACTAATTAATTTAATTTAACATCTTGAAATTGCAATTTAACTAAATGTTTCATTAGGCAATTGAGAATTTTTTTCTATTTAAGTGATATTAACCACTTTGCCAAACACCGAGGGGTTAACCTTTACTGTGAACATGGTCACTGACCAACACAAATGCCTACTCATCAGCAAAGAGAATGATAACCTTCACTCTTAGCCAACAATACAATGTAAAGCAACTGAGTAAACCATATATATACAAAACATTCGCCTGAGGAAAGGCAACCTGGGTGGAATAAAAGCACACTGACGGTGAGTACAACAAAGGGAAAGAAACACTCAGTATGCAAATAGATGGAGTCAGGAGCCAATGGGAAAAAAAATATATGTTTTATCTAATAAGATCATGCTAACAAAACAAACATGTAATTATATTTCACAGCTTACTTAGCTTCACTCAGTTTCACAGATTTGTTCAGCAACTTTAATGAGAAAGAAGCAATTAAAACCAACAGAAATGTCATCATTTTTTGAATATGGGGTTTCAAAGTTGCCATAGCAACAGACTAAACTAAATAGCAAAAAGTTAGTTCAACTCAAAAATGTCATTTGCGTGTACAAAATCATCAAAAATGTTCCCTTAACTTAAAATTGTTGAGCAATGTGTGGGATATACTGAGTTTTATGTACAACTGACTTAATTTATTTGAGTTAAAACAAAATGAGGGTTTACAGTGTAAGATCACAATGCAGCTACTGGACTCTGGAGCAGTGGAAACGTATTCTGTGGAGTGACGAATCACGATTCTCTATCTGGCAGTTTGATGGATGAGTCTGGGTTTGGTTAATGTCAGGAGAATGTTACCTGCCTGACTGCATTGTGCCAACTGTAAAGTTTGGTAGAGGAGGGATAATGCTATGTTGTTTTTCAGGGGTTGGCCTAGGCCCCTTAGTTCCAGTGAGGGGAAATCTTAATGCTTCAGCACACCAAGACATTTTGGATGATTGTACACTTATAACTTCGTGGGGACAGTTTGGGGAAGGCTCTTTTCTGTTCCAGCATGACTGTGCCCCAGTGCACAAAGCAATATATACACACACACACTCAGAAATAAAGGTATGAAACTGTCACTGGGGCAGTACCCCTCTTGTCACTGGGGTGGTACCCTCAAGGGTACAACTCAGTACCTTTTGTGAGGGAACATAACTATACCATATTACACTGAAATTATATTTTCTTAGTTGTATTGACTCCACACACCCCATCTCGTCTCCAGGCTTTTTATTTTATTGTTCTGTTTTAAAACATTAGGTTATGAAAAGGTACAAATACTTTTCACCTGGAAAAAATTGGACTTTAAAACCACTGTTGTACTTTTGAGGGTACATTTACATTGTTTGTATCTTAGTGAATGAAAAATGTACCTGCACAATACGTTTATTTCTAACAGTGTATATATGTATACAGAATAGCCAAAACATTAAAACTTGTATCTACACTCTTTGTCTATTTGTCCATCTGTTTCTCTGCATACTTTGTTAGCCCCCTTTCACCCTGTTCTTCAGTGGTCAGTAATTTCTTACTTTCACCCCTACCTTGTCGGTCCATCTTGTAGATGTTAAGTCAGTTTGTGTTGGTCCTCTAGTCCCTCATCAGTAGTCACAAGTGCTCCTGTTGCCTCAATATTTTTGGTTGGTGGACTATTCTCAGTCCAGCAGTGATACTGATGTGTTTAAAAACTTCAGCAGTACTGCTGTACCTGATCCACTCAGACCAGCGCCCCACACACTAACACACCACTGCCACGTCAGTGTCACTGCACTGCTGAGAACGATCCACCACCCAAATAATACCTGCTCTATAGGGGTCCTGACCATTGAAGAACAGGGTGAAAGGGTAACAAAGTATACAGTTTAGGACTCCAAAGTATATATATTGTATATATATTATACATGTGTGTATAATATATATATATATATATATATATATATATATATATATATATATATATATAGATATAGAGAGAGAGAGAGAGAGAGAGAGAGAGAGAGAGAGAGAAAGAGAGAGAGAGCAAGAAAGGCACAGGAACCTCGAACCGGCGGTTCATTCACGCGCGTACTAAGACAACAAAGCCACAAAATCCGAACACCGAACCGTCCCGCGTGCGCGCAGCAGCAAATACGTAAACAGACGAATAAATGAATAAATAAATAAATAAATAAATAAATAAGAGCGAGGCAGCGCCATCCGCAGTGTGCAGCCTCGCCTCCATCTCCTTTGCAGCACCTGAGCGCGCGGAGGGAGGAGGAGAGCAGCGGTGGAGGGAGGGAGAGAGAGAGAGAGAGAAGAGAGAGAGAGAACGTCAATCGCGAGGAGAGGAGAGAAGCGAAGAGGAGAGAGGAGGAGAGGAGAGAAGGAAAGGAAAGAGTGAAGCCACACGCTAAAGAAACTGCCCTTCATCAGTGCAGCAGGAGGAGGAGGAGGAGGAAGAGGCCTCTGCTGCTGCTGCTGCTGTGAGCCTCGCGGAGTCTCGCGCGTGCCGAGGCGCGTCCCCGCCCTGCGCGCGCTCACGGCCGCGGGGTGAGGAGGATAGAGAGAGAGAGGGAGAGAGAGAGGGAGAGAGAGAGAGAGAGAGAGAGAGAGGGAGAGAGAGAGAGAGAGAGAGAGAGAGAGAGAGAGAGAGCACCGAGACGACGAGTGCTTCTTACGAGATCACATCAACAGCTCGAGGCATCCGAACGGATTTTATTGTTATTGTTGTTATTATTATTGTTTTTACTGTTATTTTTTTCTCCACGAATTCCTTAATCGGACTCTCGACATGGAGCGGCGGCGTTGATGGAAAGCGAGGCGAGGCGGCGCGGCGCGTGCACTGCATCTCCCTTCGGTTTTTGAATGATTATTTTGTGCTGTAATCCCCGCACCTGATCCGGACGTTGCCTGCAAGCGTGTAAATATTTAAATAAAGCCCCCATTTAGGCCGATGACTGGCTGATGACGCCAATCGAACCGAGCTTTGTGTTTTATAGTGGCGGCACATGGGCTCCCCCGTATTTCTATAAGTAGACCTGCTCAGCTATAGGCAGCTCTCTGCAGCGGTCATTGTCTTGGAGATGCGCTCGCGCTCGCTTGTAAGGCACGTCCCGTTTTCTCGGGTCTGCTGAAAAAAAAAGAAAAGACAAACACGGGGGGATCGCGGACCGCTTCGAATCGAGCACTGAATCCCCTCCATCCACACCTTTACCGGCTTTATTTATTTTCCTCTATCGCCCTCCCCCCTCCATTCCCCCCATTCCATTCGCTTGAAGCCGTTTTCTTCCTCCTTCTCTCCATCCTGCGCTGTTTTGCCAGCAACTAAGGCTAAAGCTGTGAGTGGTGCTCTTCATTCGCCTTATCTCTCCCCTCCACCTCCTCCTCCTCCTCCTTGAAGCATCAGCCAGGGCTTCTGCAGGCAGCCATGGAGACCCCCACTAAGCTCCCTCCGTCCAGTCCGTCCTCGCCCACCACGGGCTTTTCTGTGCCCAGCGCCGAGAAGGTGGACGGCTTCCCCCGCAGGTCCATGCGCCGGGCCCGCCAGAGAAGGTCCCACAGCTCCTCGCAGTTCCGCTATCAGAGCTCGCAGGTGGAGCTGACGCCTCTGCCGCTGCTCAAAGGTAAGGCCACAGGCTGCCGGGACAAGCCAGGAGGCCATGTTGAGTTTGTATGTTTCTTTGAGCACCGTTACACTCCACAGATCAAAGACACAAACCCTTAAAAATGAAGGTTCCTGCATGGTTCTTGGCATGGATGTACAATTCTAAGAGATCACCTCGAACTGGCTTTATGGAGGTTCTTTAAGCTTTAAAAAGGTTACTCACACTCATGACTCATATACAAAAATGTCTCTTTAAAGAACCATTGGTTCTTTGAGGAACCAAAGCTGGTTATTCCCTGGCATTGCTCAAAAGGACATTTTTTGGCACCTTCATCTGGTCCATTTTGAGGAGTCTGTAAGGAAAGGTGTCTCGCTCAAGGTCTAGGCCTCAGCCAGGTCAACATATGCCACCAGATGTTCTCAGTAGAACAAGACAGGTTTCAGTTATAGTAACCCTAAGAGCGAACCAGTTACAGTGTATTTTGTGATTAAATGTCACTAAGAAGTCCAGCCATGTGCATTTGATTTCCAGTATTGTAGTAACTCCCATATCCTGCTTCATCTATAATGTATAGCGTTACAGCTTTGGAAGCAGCTCTTGCATGTGAGCTGAAATCATTTTCCGAGGTTAAGAGCAGAATTTAGGCAGGTAGAGCTGCCATGTTTCAGCATAAAAGGGCAGCTTATTGGTCCAAGATGAGATTTTTGTCTTGACATCTGGATGTTCTCTTTTGTACTTCTTTAAACTCGCTGATTTTCGACGCATTATTCGAAATCCTGGACGCAGAACATTAATGCTATATTTCTCTCCACCATCACTGATTGAGGTGTACTTGCTATAAAAGACAACCATTCAGAGTGGTCCACTGGATTTGCTTTCAAAATATGAGAAACAGCAGAATGGTCGAGGTCAGGAGCTTACTAAATTGCCCAGACTAGGTTTCAGTACAAAGCATACCAAACCACACATATTCACTCTCTCCAGTCATCTTTGTCACCTTGACAACTCAAGCAGCAAAGCCTCCATGCTCTGAATGCTGTTGCGATGCTAACGTTATAAAACAGGAGATTGCATCCCCCTCGACAGGATATTAAACCTATTTCTCGATGAATCACTAAAACGTGGCCAGATGTAGTCAAAAGTCAGTTTATTTTGGACTGTGGTTCATAAAGCAGATGCATCCCTCTCCTCCCCTTATCACACGTATGATTCAGTTTTTATTTATTTCATTTGGACGCCCACAACACATGCATGATTCACGCTTGGGCTTCGTGTGATTCGCTGTTTATTCCTTTGGGGTCTGTTTTTTGAGTTGGATTTCTAGTGCAGCAGAATTTGGCAGGACACCTCCCCATGTGATGGTGCACATGTGGGTGAGCTGCCAGTATGGGGGTCCGGATTGAGCCGTTGTCCTGCTTTACCACCCTGATGGCCTGCTTCTAGTGGCACACATGATGCTCTCAGAAAGAGCAGTTCTACAACAACTCTACTGTCCTCATAATGCCTGACTAATGCTTGTAACCTTTATGCCCTCCATTGTCTTTATTGCACTTTGTCTTTTTGGTGTTGCATATCTGTCACTTGCACTTATTGAAGCCATCAGTTCAATAATATGCAAGCATCGCTACTTTCTCCCAAGACCGTCTGATCTAAATTTACAGTTTGGTTTCTAATAGGACCACCAGAAAAACCACTGCTGTTGTTATGTATGTGCACCATTTTGAAGAACACAAGCTAGCAGTAGCACATGCTTTATAGCCTAAAAACATTTAAACCAGCCATGTGTAGAATAGGCTTATTGTCATTTCCCTCTCCATGTTGTATGTGGTATCTACTTAAGTATTTAGAGTAGCACATGATCAGTTTACATACAGCAGCCAAAGTCCAGTGTGTCATTGTTATGCTCCACATACTGGAATAAGCTTTTCCTCAGGCAAGGCATTACCGCAGCTTTATGACTTAGGCACGATGTTGCAACCTCATAACAGCTGACATTTCAGCAGTTCTGCAGTAAGGTGTGAACAACAGCAATTACTAATTATCGCCATGAGTGGTCACATGAGTCATTTAATTGGTGTTGTATCAAGAGCCTGAATGATACGGAATTTTTTGGAATCTATGCCCATACAAATATTACCGTTAAGTCACAGTTTACTGGTGACATTTTGATTCAGGAGTTGCATCAGGAAACATATTTAGCAGCGTTTTACACTGTGAAGATGAAGGATTAATAAACCTGGACTCAAGGCAGATATGCGAAGCTGATTACACCACCGATCATGAAAAGGCTACAAAAATGTTAGTATTTACAAAAAGGCTAATACAACTTTTGAAAGGTTCAAGTGTCTAAAAAACTGAGCATATTGTAGTGGAACAGCATGTTTTATTAGCTGTGACTGGTAGCCACACTCTTCAGACTAAAGATGTCAAAAAGAGTACTCTGCATGATGTCATAGAAGAACTGCTTTTCCCCTATGGAACCTTTCAGTGTATGGTTCTTTTGAGAACCACTTTTGTAAATGACGTGTAAATATGAAGAACGTTTTTAACATTTTGAGAGCACCTACCTAATTTAAAGACCCTTAATGTTATGGGAAGGTTTTATTAAACCTTCAAAAGGTTCTTCACACTCAAATCTCTTTTCAGACTTGGTTCTTTAGGGAGCCAAAAGTGGTTCTTCTATATCAGGTCAAAGAACCTTTTAAAGGATATTTCTTTAAAGAACTGGTTTTGTAAATGAGATGTGTGAGGGTTAAGAGGCCTTTTAAAGTTAAAAGAACCTCCATGTAGTGTACATGTGCTTTACAAGTTAAAGGTTGTTTTCATAGAACTGGGTGTCTAAGCCAAGAACCACTAAGGGACCATCACTTTTAAAAGTGCAGATTTGTCTTTAGAAGCTGTGTGTTCTTACTTAGTTCTAAATGCTGGTATCATATTATAAACTCTCATCAACGATATATCAGCTAGATAAGCTGCCAAAGCATTTGTTTTTCCCTAACTGAACAATGTATTGAACAACTCTACACAGAGCACGAAAATAAGCCCAGTTTTTGTTCTTCACACGTAATGAATAGAGAGAAGTCCTCATGTTCTAAGAGTAAAGAGAAGTAAACCGCTTTACAGAATTGCAGTGTAACTGTAAGTGCAAGTCACACAGTATCTATCAGTGTGTAAAGTGGAGCTTGCTGGGCTTGCTTTTGTCTTTCAGTACTACTGGTCTGCAGTAAAAATAATTATGCTTGAAAGAAAGACTAACTGACAGTCAGTGTGCTGGCAGTTGGCAACAGAATATGATGATATTGATCATGAGAAACAGATTTGCAACTGGAGTTGAATGACCATGTATAACAAAATAAAGTGTGGAGTCCTTTGTGCACAAATATACTTCTGTAAAAAGAGAATTAAAAAAAATATATATTGATTGAAATACAAAAAAACAGAAAGGTGCAAAGATTCCTTCAGATTTCACTTAAGCAACAGCTTCAAAAATCAAGTGTGCACGACTCCAAATTACTCCAAAATACTCACTCAGCCAAGACATATTTGATGTTTGAAGTCTGCTTTATTACTTTTGCACTGGAGCTACTAGGCTAATGTAGCTAGCAAGTATTGAAGGCTTATACTGCCTTACCATACATCCACACTAGGCACACTTGCCCAAGATTGGTCCGAGGACCCAAGACTCTGCCCTCTGAGGTTTTGTTCCTACCAGCATTTTATTCCTATTCCCAATAGTATCCCTCAAAATAATGAGGTGAAACGTATAAACCTGTATGCATATAAGCAATGTACATGCCCACACTTGACAACAAGAGCAGCCTTGAGCACATCCACAAGAGACAAACTTCAGACGACATGTGATTTGTGACGTGATAGTGATTTGTTACCTCCTAATGTGAATGTACAACTAGTCTTGTAGGCCAGACATGATCTTGTAACGGAAATGCAGATACGTCTGGGTAAAACTTGTTAAAATTTTGGTGCTGGATGGCAGTGAAACCTCCTGTAGACAAGGGTACAGTCATTAATTCTGCTCTTTTAGTAACACAAGCAAAGCAAACTAGCTAGTGAACTGCTGTCATTAGCTAATGGAACTGGTTTCCCTTACAAGAGGTAATGTTTATTTTTATTACATGTAATGTGTTCCCTGCACACATGACACACATCTACATATTTAACAGGAGTTTTTTGGGGGACTTTTCAGTCATGCTAACTTACGCTACATCCATGGCCTACATTACGCTACATCAGACAGTGTTTAGGAGTTCAACATCGCCCTCTACTTTGAGCTCTGACTTCACAAAGTGTTGGATTTGTTGGAACTGAGTTCACACTCAGTTTGTTCCCAACCTAATAAGTCTTTCTTCCCACCCACGTTTAGCCCAAAATCGTCACAAGATCTTGTCTGGTCCCGCAAGACAAATTCTGCCTAAATCACTGTGTCACGTTAAATAACCTCAACCAGATTTGCTAATGTAAGGTTTCTGACCCTGTATTGCATACCGTTATCAAAAGACACTGAGCAAAGTGCAGACAAAATTCAGGGTTCAAAATGGCTACTAGTACTGTTTTTAGCTATGTGTTATAATTTTGTCTATTTTTATCAGCCTTGGCTTTTATTTTTAACAGTCCTGGCTAATCAACTACATGGGTACGAGAATATCTAAAATCAGATTGATATAGTTATTAAATACTCCGTAAATCACCAACCACCTCTGCTTCAAATGCATTGCCAGATGTGCTGTACGACTTCTCTGACATATCTCTTGTTTTTGCTCAGTGTAAATACAGATGTGAGCCTTCATTATCTCCAGCTTCACATATGCAGCAGTGTGCTCAGCTGAGTGTGACAGACATTGTGTCATACAGTGTTTCATGAACATCTGAACATCATAAATGTATGTTTGTATGTGCTGGTGTGTCTGTGTGTGAATCTGGATGTGACAGCTTGTGTATGTGTCTATGTGTGATAAGAGATAACATAACAGAGAATCAGCAATGTAACTGTCAGTGCAAGC